TTGATAAGTATTTATTATTTAAATTTTTGATGAAGTTGTTTGTAGTGGGGTTAGCTGGCTAATTTTAGAGTGTTAAAAAAGATGTTAGAGGGGGAGGATTTAGGGGGCACCGCGGTTCCCCTTCAGGTCTCTCTTAATCCTCCATATAGGTGACCCAACAGGGGTTACCCCCGGCCGGGGTAGGCCGAGGCTGAAGATCACCTATTTGTCCTCTGTGAAGGTGAAAATAAAGGGGCAGGGGAGGGAATAAGAAAGGGGGGGTGTTAGAGAGAGGGGGAGAGATGAGGGGGAGAGATGAGGGAGAGAGATGAGGGAGAGAGAGAGAGAGAGAGAGAGAGAGTGTGTGTGTGTGTGTGTGTGTGTGTGTGTGTGTGTGTGTGTGTGTGTGTGTGAGAGAGAGAGAGAGAGAGAGAGAGAGAGAGAGGGAAGAGGGAGAGGGGGGTTTAAGGGAGAGGTGGAGATGGTGGAAAATAAAGATTGGTGAGGGGGATGTTGACATATCACATGTTCCCAGTCAAGTCTCCAAGCTCAATCTGTGTGTAAAAATTATGTGTTGGTAGGAAGTTTAATGACTCCACTCAATTGGTATGCCATGCTGTCTATCTTTTAGACTATGTGTTTGTAAATTATGTATATATTATATTACAGGGCTAGGGTAAGGTTAAAGGTTTTTGGCGTTAGGGTTAAAATCACTGTCCAAAACCTTTGTAGGAACTCTTTTCCAACCTTTTGGAGTAAGCTAGACCAAAAAAAAAAAAATGAAAAATGAAAAAAAAAATGTTTGGGGTGTGAAGGCTTCCTTAAGTTAATACCCGGGTATAAGGTTCGGGAATAGGGTAAGGTTGAAGGTTTTTGGCGTTAGGGTTAAAATCACTGTCCAAAACCTTTGTAGGAACTCTTTTCCAACCTTTTGGAGTTAGCTAGACCAAAAAAAAAAAAAAGAAAAATGAAAAAAAAAATGTTTGGGGTGTGAAGGCTTCCTTAAGTTAATACCCGGGTGTTAGGTTCGGGAATAGGGTAAGGTTGAAGGTTTTTGGCGTTAGGGTTAAAATCACTGTCCAAAACCTTTTTAGGAACATGTTTCAGACCTTTTGGAGTTGGTTACACCAAAAAAAATGTAAAATGAAAAAAAAAATTTGGGGGGTTTTCGGACTTCCTGAAGGTAATACCCAGGTATTAGGTTATGGGGCTATGGTAAGGTTTAAGGTTTTTGGCGTTAGGGTTAAAATCACTGTCCAAAACCTTTTTAGGAACATGTTTCAGACCTTTTGGAGTTAGTTAGACCAAAAAAAAAAAGAAAAAAAAAAAGTATTTTGGGTGTTCAGGACCCCTGAAGGTTATACAGGTATTATATTAGGTTATGGGGCTTGGGTAAGGTTTAAGGTTTTTGGCGTTAGGGTTAAAATCACTGTCCAAAACCTTTGTAGGAACTCTTTTCCAACCTTTTGGAGTAAGCTAGACCAAAAAAAAAAAAATGAAAAATGAACAAAAAAAATGTTTGGGGTGTGAAGGCTTCCTTAAGTTAATACCCGGGTAAAAGGTTCGGGAATAGGGTAAGGTTGAAGGTTTTTGGCGTTAGGGATAAAATCACTGTCCAAAACCTTTATAGGAACATGTTTCAGACCTTTTGGAGTTGGTTACACCAAAAAAATGTAAAAAGAAAAAAAAATAATTGGGGTGTTCGGGCTTCCTGAAGGTAATACCCAGGTATTAGGTTATGGGGCTATGGTAAGGTTTAAGGTTTTTGGCGTTAGGGTTAAAATCACTGTCCAAAACCTTTTTAGGAACATGTTTCAGACCTTTTGGAGTTAGATAGACCAAAAAAAAAAGAAAAAAAAAAAAAAGTATTTTGGGTGTTAAGGCCTCCTGAAGGTTATACAGGTATAATATTAGGTTATGGGGCTTGGGTAAGGTTTAAGGTTTTTGGCGTTAGGGTTAAAATCACTGTCCAAAACCTTTGTAGGAACTCTTTTCCAACCTTTTGGAGTTAGCTAGACCAAAAAAAAAAAAAAAAGAAAAATGAAAAAAAAAATGTTTGGGGTGTGAAGGCTTCCTTAAGTTAATACCCGGGTGTTAGGTTCGGGAATAGGGTAAGGTTGAAGGTTTTTGGCGTTAGGGTTAAAATCACTGTCCAAAACCTTTTTAGGAACATGTTTCAGACCTTTTGGAGTTGGTTACACCAAAAAAAATGTAAAATGAAAAAAAAAATTTGGGGGGTTTTCGGGCTTCCTGAAGGTAATACCCAGGTATTAGGTTATGGGGCTATGGTAAGGTTTAAGGTTTTTGGCGTTAGGGTTAAAATCACTGTCCAAAACCTTTTTAGGAACATGTTTCAGACCTTTTGGAGTTAGTTAGACCAAAAAAAAAAAAGAAAAAAAAAAAAGTATTTTGGGTGTTCAGGACTCCTGAAGGTTATACAGGTATTATATTAGGTTATGGGGCTTGGGTAAGGTTTAAGGTTTTTGGCGTTAGGGTTAAAATCACTGTCCAAAACCTTTGTAGGAACTCTTTTCCAACCTTTTGGAGTTAGTTAGACCAAAAAAAAAAAAATGAAAAATGAAAAAAAAATATTTGGGGTGTTCAGGCTTCCTAAAAGTAATACCCGGGTATTAGGTTATGGGGCTATGGTAAGGTTTAAGGTTTTTGGCGTTAGGGTTAAAATCACTGTCCAAAACCTTTGTAGGAACTCTTTCCCAACCTTTTGGAGTTAGTTAGACCAAAAAAAAAATGAAAAATGAAAAAAAAATGTTTGGGGTTTTTGTGCTTCCTGAATGTAATACCCAGGTATTAGGTTATGGGGCTAGGGTAAGGTTTAAGTTTTATGGCGTTAGGGTTAAAATCACTGTCCAAAACCTTTGTAGGAACTCTTTTCGAACCTTCTGGAGTTAGTTAGACCAAAAAAAAAAAGAAAAATGAAAAAAAAATATTTGGGGTGTTCAGGCTTCCTAAAAGTAATACCCCGGTATTAGGTTATGGGGCTATGGTAAGGTTTAACGTTTTTGGCGTTAGGGTTAAAATCACTGTCCAAAACCTTTGTAGGAACTCTTTTCCAACCTTTTGGAGTTACTTAGACCAAAAAAATATTAAAAAAGGAAAAAAAAATATTTGGGGTTTTCGGGCTTCCTGTGGTAATACCCGGGTATTAGATTTAAAGGCCAGGGTAAGGTTTAAGCTTAATGGCGTTAGGGTTAAAATCACTGTCCAAAACCTTTGTAGGAACTCTTTTCCAACCTTTTGGAGTTACTTAGACCAAAAAAAAACGAAAAATGAAAAAAAAATATTTGGGGTGTTCAGGCTTCCTCAAAGTAATACCCGGGTATTAGGTTATGGGGCTATGGTAAGGTTTAAGGTTTATGGCATTAGGGTTAAAATCACTGTCCAAAACCTTTGTAGGAACTCTTTCCCAACCTTTTGGAGTTAGTTAGACCAAAAAAAAAGAAAAATGAAAAAAAAATATTTGGGGTGTTCAGGCTTCCTAAAAGTAATACCCGGGTATTAGGTTATGGGGCTATGGTAAGGTTTAAGGTTTTTGGCATTAGGGTTAAAATCACTGTCCAAAACCTTTGTAAGAACTCTTTTCCAACCTTTTGGAGTTGGTTACACCAACAAAAATGTAAAATGAAAAAAAAAATATGGGGTGTTCGGGCTTCCTAAAAGTAATACCCGGGTATTAGGTTATGGGGCTATGGTAAGGTTTAAGGTTTTTGGCGTTAGGGTTAAAATCACTGTCCAAAACCTTTGTAGGAACTCTTTTCCAACCTTTTGGAGTTACTTAGACCAAAAAAATATGAAAAAAGAAAAAAAAATATTTGGGGTGTTCGGGCTTCCTGTGGTAATACCCGGGTATTAGATTTAAAGGCTAGGGTAAGGTTTAAGCTTAATGGCGTTAGGGTTAAAATCACTGTCCAAAACCTTTGTAGGAACTCTTTTCCAACCTTTTGGAGTTACTTAGACCAAAAAAAAAAACGAAAAATGAAAAAAAAATATTTGGGGTGTTCAGGCTTCCTAAAAGTAATACCCGGGGAATTAGGTTATGGGGCTATGGTAAGGTTTAAGGTTTATGGCATTAGGGTTAAAATCACTGTCCAAAACCTTTGTAGGAACTCTTTCCCAACCTTTTGGAGTTAGTTAGACCAAAAAAAAAAGAAAAATGAAAAAAAAATGTTTGGGGTTTTTGTGCTTCCTGAATGTAATACCCAGGTATTAGGTTATGGGGCTAGGGTAAGGTTTAAGTTTTATGGCGTTAGGGTTAAAATCACTGTCCAAAACCTTTGTAGGAACTCTTTTCGAACCTTCTGGAGTTAGTTAGACCAAAAAAAAAAAGAAAAATGAAAAAAAAATATTTGGGGTGTTCAGGCTTCCTAAAAGTAATACCCCGGTATTAGGTTATGGGGCTATGGTAAGGTTTAAGGTTTTTGGCGTTAGGGTTAAAATCACTGTCCAAAACCTTTGTAGGAACTCTTTTCCAACCTTTTGGAGTTACTTAGACCAAAAAAATATTAAAAAAGGAAAAAAAAATATTTGGGGTTTTCGGGCTTCCTGTGGTAATACCCGGGTATTAGATTTAAAGGCCAGGGTAAGGTTTAAGCTTAATGGCGTTAGGGTTAAAATCACTGTCCAAAACCTTTGTAGGAACTCTTTTAGAACCTTTTGGAGTTAGTTAGACCAAAAAAAAAACGAAAAATGAAAAAAAAATATTTGGGGTGTTCAGGCTTCCTAAAAGTAATACCCGGGTATTAGGTTATGGGGCTATGGTAAGGTTTAAGGTTTTTGGCGTTAGGGTTAAAATCACTGTCCAAAACCTTTGTAAGAACTCTTTTCCAACCTTTTGGAGTTGGTTACACCAACAAAAATGTAAAATGAAAAAAAATATATATGGGGTGTTCGGGCTTCCTAAAAGTAATACCCGGGTATTAGGTTATGGGGCTATGGTAAGGTTTAAAGTTTTTGGCATTAGGTTTAAAATCACTGTCCAAAACCTTTGTAGGAACTCTTTCCCAACCTTTTGGAGTTAGTTAGACCAAAAAAAAATGAAAAATGAAAAAAAAATGTTTGGGGTTTTCGGGCTTCCTGAATGTAATACCCGGGTATTAGATTTTAAGGCTAGGGTAAGGTTTAAGTTTTATGGCGTTAGGGTTAAAATCACTGTCCAAAACCTTTGTAGGAACTCTTTTCCAATTTTTTGGAGCTAGTTAGACCAAAAAAAAAAGAAAAATGAAAAAAAAATATATATGGGGTGTTCGGGCTTCCTAAAAGTAATACCCGGGTATTAGATTTTAAGGCTAGGGTAAGGTTTAAGTTTTATGGCGTTATGGTTAAAATCACTGTCCAAAACATTTGTAGGAACTCTTTTCCAACTGTTACGGCTGTGTGTTTGTTTTGCATGTGTTTTCCTCTTTTGTCTCTCCATAGCTGCCCAGGTGAAATCACTTGAGTGACAATCAGACTCACCTGGTGCTGGGAGTCTAAAAGCCCAGAGCTGCCTGCAGTCTGGAGAGGCATTTGGTGGGGAACTGCTGCCCTGCTGCCTCTCATTTGTGTTGTGGGTGCTTTGTGTTTAGTTTGCAATTTTGTTGTTTTTTCACAATAAATCACGTGTTAAACTTTTGAAGGTGTTTTGGTTAATTTGATGGGTAAAAAGTTGAGGATTGTTGTTAGCCCCATAGGGCCGCCTAAGGGTGGGGTGTAACACCAACCTTTTGGAGTTGGTTACACCAACAAAAATGTAAAATGAAAAAAAAAATATTTGGGGTGTTCGGGCTTCCTGAAGGTAATACCCGGGTATTAGGTTATGGGGCTATGGTAAGGTTTAAGCTTAATGGCATTAGGTTTAAAATCACTGTCCAAAACCTTTGTAGGAACTCTTTTCCAACCTTTTGGAGTTAGTTAGACCAAAAAAAAAAAAATGAAAAATGAAAAAAAAATATTTGGGGTGTTCAGGCTTCCTAAAAGTAATACCCGGGTATTAGGTTATGGGGCTATGGTAAGGTTTTATTGTTTGGCGTTAGGTTTAAAATCAAAAAAACAAACAAACAAACAAACAAAAAATCTCAAAAACAAAAGTTCAAACAAGACACAAACTCAAGATCAAAAAACACCACAAACTCAAGTTCAACCAACACCCAAATCTCAAGTTTAACAATTGCCACAACCTCTAGTTCAAAAACAACACAAACTCAAGTTCAAACACGACACAAACTCAGGTGCAAAAACACCACAAACTCGAGTTCAACAATTGCCACCAACTAAAGTTCAGAGAAAAATACAGACTCAAGTTCAACAAATTCCAAAATTTCAAGTTCAACAAATGACCTAAACTCACATTTAACAATTGCCAAAAACTTAAAAGTTAAAAAAGTGCCACAAACTGAAGTTCAAAAACACCACAAACTGAAGTGTGTGAGGACATGCAAACCACCAGACTGCACCTGTCTCAGCAATGGGCTGAAGTGCACAAACCTGTGCAAATTACAAACTTGTGCCAACCAGTACAGTGAGGAAGAGCCCCTTGCACACCGGCAGATTCAGATGTAGAAGAAGATACAGATACTGATGTCGATTACTGATGTTGATTAATAAGTGATGACCAAAGGGAGCTATGTTAGCAGACCCACTGTGACTCAGTGACAGAATTATGTGCTAAGCCAAAACTTGTCATATTTGCCGTCACTGTTCCTTATGGAAAGAATAGGACTTTGAATAGGAATTGGAGTTTTTCTCAGATGATTGTATAGAGTGTATACATCAGTAGATCTTATTTTGTTGCTAATGTCTTCTTGCCCTGCACCAGCCAGGATGATTGTATATTGAGTGCCTACATTTAAAATATGTCAGTGTCATATTAAAGTTGTGTTATTATAATGCTATTAGTCTGCATTTATTTTATTTCTACTTCTAAGTCAAAAAATATCCTTAATTTAGACCTTGATTTAGACCTGACAATTAGCTAATTGAAGCTTATATATACACACCTGTATTAGATAAATTACTTGAAATACTACTTAGGGGGTTAATACAAGTCTCTATGGCTAGCCAATAGTTCAAACACACCTAAATGAGAGGTTAAAATGAAAGAAAGCTCATTTTGAAGGAAGGCGATTTTTCGTTTTTGAACAGCTGCACTCTATTACTTCAATGAGTAATAACTACAATAAAGCTACCAGTTACCAAGGTCTATCAAATAAAAACTTATTGTAGGGATGTATAAAAAAATCACAACTAGAATTTGCCCACCTAGGTGGTACCGATATGTGAAATTTTGGTTCTTGGCTTAAGGACTAAAACTCAAGTTCAACAAACACAACAAGTCAAGTTCAAGCAACACCCGATCCTCAAGTTCAACAATTTCCACAAACTTAAGTTAAAAAACACCAGAACCTCTAGTTCAAAAAACATGATAAACTCAAGTTCAAATATGCCACAAACTCAAGTTCAATGAACACCACAAACTCAAGTTCAACCACCACCCGATTCTCAAGTTTAACAATTGCCACAACCTCAAGGTTAAAAAAAACACAAACTCAAGTTCAAACACTTCACAAACTCAAGTTCAAAAACACCACACAAACTCAAGTTCAACAAACACCACAAACTCAAGTTAAACAAACACAACAAGTCAAGTTCAAGCAACACCCGATCCTCAAGTTCAACAATTTCCACAAACTTAAGTTAGAAAACACCAGAACCTCAAGTTCAAAAAACATAATAAACTCAAGTTCAAATATGCCACAAACTCAAGTTCAATGAACACCACAAACTCAAGTTCAACCACCACCCGATTCTCAAGTTTAACAATTGCCACAACCTCAAGGTTAAAAAAACACAAACTCAAGTTCAAACACTTCACAAACTCAAGTTCAAAAACACCACACAAACTCAAGTTCAACAAACACCACAAACTCAAGTTAAACAAACACAACAAGTCAAGTTCAAGCAACACCCGATCCTCAAGTTCAACAATTTCCACAAACTTAAGTTAGAAAACACCAGAACCTCAAGTTCAAAAACATAATAAACTCAAGTTCAAATATGCCACAAACTCAAGTTCAATGAACACCACAAACTCAAGTTCAACCACCACCCGATTCTCAAGTTTAACAATTGCCACAACCTCAAGGTTAAAAAAACACAAACTCAAGTTCAAACACTTCACAAACTCAAGTTCAAAAACACCACACAAACTCAAGTTCAACAAACACCACAAACTCAAGTTAAACAAACACAACAAGTCAAGTTCAAGCAACACCCGATCCTCAAGTTCAACAATTTCCACAAACTTAAGTTAGAAAACACCAGAACCTCAAGTTCAAAAAACATAATAAACTCAAGTTCAAATATGCCACAAACTCAAGTTCAATGAACACCACAAACTCAAGTTCAACGAACGCCACAAACAAAAGTTCAACAATTGCCACCAACTAAAGTTCACTAAAAACCATAGACTCAAGTTCAACAATTGCCAAAAAATCAAGCCAAACAAACTCAAGTTCATAAGTTGCCACAAACTTCAAACACGACACAAACTCAAGTTCAAAAACACCACAAACTCAAGTTCAAAAACGACACAAACTCAAGTTCAACAAGCAAAACTAACTATTTAGAGTAATTTTGAGGTGTTTGAGAGGTTTTTTGTAGACTTACCCTAGTGGTCCTAAGTTGTTGTTGATGTGAGGGGTTTCTTTTCCAGTAGTCTAAAATCTGTTGGAGGGGGGAAAGGTTCCAGCTGTCCATCCGCGATGGCAGCGGTGTGTCTGAAGTCCGGGGTCCTTGGCGGGGGAAAGAAGATCAGCGCTCCGCGGGAAGGTTTGCTGGGACTCGGTGCTGTCGGCGGGTCGAAGCTCGGTGGTGGGCGGCTTGGAGTGATGGAGGTGCGGCGTCTTCTTTCAGTTGGCGGCGCGGCGTCTTCCTCGATGGTGGTCCGTCTTCTTGGTCCAGAGGTCAGTGCTTTGTCTCAATAACTGGAACAGGAATTGCTCTTTAGTGCACGGCACTTAAATGTGCTTTTCACACGAGAAGACGTCCCCAGAGTTGGGCTCCAGTCATGGTTTGTGCTGTTCCTCTCAGACATGGTTGTGTTCTCTTCTCGATGTTTGTATTCCAGAATGGATGTCTCTTGGTTGTATTTTAAACCTTCAAGTTGTTTTAAGTTAATTTTAATGTAGTTTATTGTTTTAAATTGAGTTTTGCTACATTCAATTTGTATGCAATCGCAAGGGATTGTGGGTATTTTAGTTCTGAGGGATGAGAGCCTAAGGAATCAATCTTCCTGTTACAGCAAAGGATTGTGGGTAAAACCGTGAGGGAGTGAGGTACTTCCTTTCTGGCATGAGAGCCTTGGGAATCAATCTCCCTGTTGCAGCAAAGGATTGTGGGTAAAACCGTGAGTGAGGGAGGTACATTTTTCCTGGCATGAGAACCTCAGGAGTCAGTCCTTCCTAAGAAAAAAGAGGGGAGGGGGGAAGAAAAACAAAAGCACAGGAACCCTAAAATAAAATAAAATAATATAAAACAATGAAAAAATAAAAGAAGAACAAAAGTGGATTGAAAAGGGAAAGGGGAAGAAAAAAGGAAAAAAAGAAGTGTCAAGAGCAAATAGCAAAAATCAGAAGTGAGCTTAAAAACAAAGAACAGTTCCCTAAAAAAAAAACAGAAATGTAAATCTGATCAATGTCCTAAGGGAAAATCTGTACGTGTGTGTGTGTGTTCTTTTTTGCTAACTTAGTCTGGTGTCACTGATGGTCAGTTATTGATAAGTATTTATTATTTAAATTTTTGATGAAGTTGTTTGTAGTGGGGTTAGCTGGCTAATTTTAGAGTGTTAAAAAAGATGTTAGAGGGGGAGGATTTAGGGGGCACCGCGGTTCCCCTTCAGGTCTCTCTTAATCCTCCATATAGGTGACCCAACAGGGGTTACCCCCCGGCCGGGGTAGGCCGAGGCTGAAGATCACCTATTTGTCCTCTGTGAAGGTGAAAATAAAGGGGCAGGGGAGGGAATAAGAAAGGGGGGGTGTTAGAGAGAGGGGGAGAGATGAGGGGGAGAGATGAGGGAGAGAGATGAGAGAGAGAGAGAGAGAGAGAGAGAGAGAGGTGTGTGTGTGTGTGTGTGTGTGTGTGTGTGTGTGAGAGAGAGAGAGAGAGAGAGAGAGAAGGGAAGAGGGAGAGGGGGGTTTAAGGGAGAGGTGGAGATGGTGGAAAATAAAGATTGGTGAGGGGGATGTTGACATATCACATGTTCCCAGTCAAGTCTCCAAGCTCAATCTGTGTGTAAAAATTATGTGTTGGTAGGAAGTTTAATGACTCCACTCAATTGGTATGCCATGCTGTCTATCTTTTAGACTATGTGTTTGTAAATTATGTATATATTATATTACAGGGCTAGGGTAAGGTTAAAGGTTTTTGGCGTTAGGGTTAAAATCACTGTCCAAAACCTTTGTAGGAACTCTTTTCCAACCTTTTGGAGTAAGCTAGACCAAAAAAAAAAAAAAAAAAATGAAAAAAAAAATGTTTGGGGTGTGAAGGCTTCCTTAAGTTAATACCCGGGTATAAGGTTCGGGAATAGGGTAAGGTTGAAGGTTTTTGGCGTTAGGGTTAAAATCACTGTCCAAAACCTTTGTAGGAACTCTTTTCCAACCTTTTGGAGTTAGCTAGACCAAAAAAAAAAAAAAAGAAAAATGAAAAAAAAAATGTTTGGGGTGTGAAGGCTTCCTTAAGTTAATACCCGGGTGTTAGGTTCGGGAATAGGGTAAGGTTGAAGGTTTTTGGCGTTAGGGTTAAAATCACTGTCCAAAACCTTTTTAGGAACATGTTTCAGACCTTTTGGAGTTGGTTACACCAAAAAAAATGTAAAATGAAAAAAAAAAATTGGGGGGTTTTCGGACTTCCTGAAGGTAATACCCAGGTATTAGGTTATGGGGCTATGGTAAGGTTTAAGGTTTTTGGCGTTAGGGTTAAAATCACTGTCCAAAACCTTTTTAGGAACATGTTTCAGACCTTTTGGAGTTAGTTAGACCAAAAAAAAAAAAGAAAAAAAAAAAAGTATTTTGGGTGTTCAGGACTCCTGAAGGTTATACAGGTATTATATTAGGTTATGGGGCTTGGGTAAGGTTTAAGGTTTTTGGCGTTAGGGTTAAAATCACTGTCCAAAACCTTTTTAGGAACATGTTTCAGACCTTTTGGAGTTGGTTACACCAAAAAAAATGTAAAATGAAAAAAAAAATTTGGGGGGTTTTCGGACTTCCTGAAGGTAATACCCAGGTATTAGGTTATGGGGCTATGGTAAGGTTTAAGGTTTTTGGCGTTAGGGTTAAAATCACTGTCCAAAACCTTTTTAGGAACATGTTTCAGACCTTTTGGAGTTAGTTAGACCAAAAAAAAAAAGAAAAAAAAAAAAGTATTTTGGGTGTTCAGGACTCCTGAAGGTTATACAGGTATTATATTAGGTTATGGGGCTTGGGTAAGGTTTAAGGTTTTTGGCGTTAGGGTTAAAATCACTGTCCAAAACCTTTGTAGGAACTCTTTTCCAACCTTTTGGAGTAAGCTAGACCAAAAAAAAAAAAATGAAAAATGAACAAAAAAAATGTTTGGGGTGTGAAGGCTTCCTTAAGTTAATACCCGGGTAAAAGGTTCGGGAATAGGGTAAGGTTGAAGGTTTTTGGCGTTAGGGATAAAATCACTGTCCAAAACCTTTATAGGAACATGTTTCAGACCTTTTGGAGTTGGTTACACCAAAAAAATGTAAAAAGAAAAAAAAATAATTGGGGTGTTCGGGCTTCCTGAAGGTAATACCCAGGTATTAGGTTATGGGGCTATGGTAAGGTTTAAGGTTTTTGGCGTTAGGGTTAAAATCACTGTCCAAAACCTTTTTAGGAACATGTTTCAGACCTTTTGGAGTTAGATAGACCAAAAAAAAAAAAAAAAAAGTATTTTGGGTGTTAAGGCCTCCTGAAGGTTATACAGGTATAATATTAGGTTATGGGGCTTGGGTAAGGTTTAAGGTTTTTGGCGTTAGGGTTAAAATCACTGTCCAAAACCTTTGTAGGAACTCTTTTCCAACCTTTTGGAGTTAGCTATACCAAAAAAAAAAAAAAAAAGAAAAATGAAAAAAAAAATGTTTGGGGTGTGAAGGCTTCCTTAAGTTAATACCCGGGTGTTAGGTTCGGGAATAGGGTAAGGTTGAAGGTTTTTGGCGTTAGGGTTAAAATCACTGTCCAAAACCTTTGTAGGAACTCTTTTCCAACCTTTTGGAGTTACTTAGACCAAAAAAAATGTAAAATGAAAAAAAAAATTTGGGGGGTTTTCGGGCTTCCTGAAGGTAATACCCAGGTATTAGGTTATGGGGCTATGGTAAGGTTTAAGGTTTTTGGCGTTAGGGTTAAAATCACTGTCCAAAACCTTTTTAGGAACATGTTTCAGACCTTTTGGAGTTAGTTAGACCAAAAAAAAAAAGAAAAAAAAAAAAAGTATTTTGGGTGTTCAGGACTCCTGAAGGTTATACAGGTATTATATTAGGTTATGGGGCTTGGGTAAGGTTTAAGGTTTTTGGCGTTAGGGTTAAAATCACTGTCCAAAACCATTGTAGGAACTCTTTTCCAACCTTTTGGAGTTACTTAGACCAAAAAAAAAAAAATGAAAAATGAAAAAAAAATATTTGGGGTGTTCAGGCTTCCTAAAAGTAATACCCGGGTATTAGGTTATGGGGCTATGGTAAGGTTTAAGGTTTTTGGCGTTAGGGTTAAAATCACTGTCCAAAACCTTTGTAGGAACTCTTTCCCAACCTTTTGGAGTTAGTTAGACCAAAAAAAAAATGAAAAATGAAAAAAAAATGTTTGGGGTTTTTGTGCTTCCTGAATGTAATACCCAGGTATTAGGTTATGGGGCTAGGGTAAGGTTTAAGTTTTATGGCGTTAGGGTTAAAATCACTGTCCAAAACCTTTGTAGGAACTCTTTTCGAACCTTCTGGAGTTAGTTAGACCAAAAAAAAAAAGAAAAATGAAAAAAAAATATTTGGGGTGTTCAGGCTTCCTAAAAGTAATACCCCGGTATTAGGTTATGGGGCTATGGTAAGGTTTAACGTTTTTGGCGTTAGGGTTAAAATCACTGTCCAAAACCTTTGTAGGAACTCTTTTCCAACCTTTTGGAGTTAGTTAGACCAAAAAAAAAAAATGAAAAATGAAAAAAAAATATTTGGGGTGTTCAGGCTTCCTAAAAGTAATACCCGGGTATTAGGTTATGGGGCTATGGTAAGGTTTAAGGTTTTTGGCGTTAGGGTTAAAATCACTGTCCAAAACCTTTGTAGGAACTCTTTCCCAACCTTTTGGAGTTAGTTAGACCAAAAAAAAAATGAAAAATGAAAAAAAAATGTTTGGGGTTTTTGTGCTTCCTGAATGTAATACCCAGGTATTAGGTTATGAGGCTAGGGTAAGGTTTAAGTTTTATGGCGTTAGGGTTAAAATCACTGTCCAAAACCTTTGTAGGAACTCTTTTCGAACCTTCTGGAGTTAGTTAGACCAAAAAAAAAAAGAAAAATGAAAAAAAAATATTTGGGGTGTTCAGGCTTCCTAAAAGTAATACCCCGGTATTAGGTTATGGGGCTATGGTAAGGTTTAACGTTTTTGGCGTTAGGGTTAAAATCACTGTCCAAAACCTTTGTAGGAACTCTTTTCCAACCTTTTGGAGTTACTTAGACCAAAAAAATATTAAAAAAGGAAAAAAAAATATTTGGGGTTTTCGGGCTTCCTGTGGTAATACCCGGGTATTAGATTTAAAGGCCAGGGTAAGGTTTAAGCTTAATGGCGTTAGGGTTAAAATCACTGTCCAAAACCTTTGTAGGAACTCTTTTCCAACCTTTTGGAGTTACTTAGACCAAAAAAAAAACGAAAAATGAAAAAAAATATTTGGGGTGTTCAGGCTTCCTCAAAGTAATACCCGGGTATTAGGTTATGGGGCTATGGTAAGGTTTAAGGTTTATGGCATTAGGGTTAAAATCACTGTCCAAAACCTTTGTAGGAACTCTTTCCCAACCTTTTGGAGTTAGTTAGACCAAAAAAAAAAGAAAAATGAAAAAAAAATATTTGGGGTGTTCAGGCTTCCTAAAAGTAATACCCGGGTATTAGGTTATGGGGCTATGGTAAGGTTTAAGGTTTTTGGCATTAGGGTTAAAATCACTGTCCAAAACCTTTGTAAGAACTCTTTTCCAACCTTTTGGAGTTGGTTACACCAACAAAAATGTAAAATGAAAAAAAAAATATATGGGGTGTTCGGGCTTCCTAAAAGTAATACCCGGGTATTAGGTTATGGGGCTATGGTAAGGTTTAAGGTTTATGGCATTAGGGTTAAAATCACTGTCCAAAACCTTTGTAGGAACTCTTTCCCAACCTTTTGGAGTTAGTTAGACCAAAAAAAAATGAAAAATGAAAAAAAAATGTTTGGGGTTTTTGTGCTTCCTGAATGTAATACCCAGGTATTAGGTTATGGGGCTAGGGTAAGGTTTAAGTTTTATGGCGTTAGGGTTAAAATCACTGTCCAAAACCTTTGTAGGAACTCTTTTCGAACCTTCTGGAGTTAGTTAGACCAAAAAAAAAAAGAAAAATGAAAAAAAAATATTTGGGGTGTTCGGGCTTCCTGTGGTAATACCCGGGTATTAGATTTAAAGGCTAGGGTAAGGTTTAAGCTTAATGGCGTTAGGGTTAAAATCACTGTCCAAAACCTTTGTAGGAACTCTTTTCCAACCTTTTGGAGTTACTTAGACCAAAAAAAAAAACGAAAAATGAAAAAAAAATATTTGGGGTGTTCAGGCTTCCTAAAAGTAATACCCGGGTATTAGGTTATGGGGCTATGGTAAGGTTTAAGGTTTATGGCATTAGGGTTAAAATCACTGTCCAAAACCTTTGTAGGAACTCTTTCCCAACCTTTTGGAGTTAGTTAGACCAAAAAAAAATGAAAAATGAAAAAAAAATATTTGGGGTTTTTGTGCTTCCTGAATGTAATACCCAGGTATTAGGTTATGGGGCTAGGGTAAGGTTTAAGTTTTATGGCGTTAGGGTTAAAATCACTGTCCAAAACCTTTGTAGGAACTCTTTTCGAACCTTCTGGAGTTAGTTAGACCAAAAAAAAAAAGAAAAATGAAAAAAAAATATTTGGGGTGTTCAGGCTTCCTAAAAGTAATACCCCGGTATTAGGTTATGGGGCTATGGTAAGGTTTAAGGTTTTTGGCGTTAGGGTTAAAATCACTGTCCAAAACCTTTGTAGGAACTCTTTTCCAACCTTTTGGAGTTACTTAGACCAAAAAAATATTAAAAAAGGAAAAAAAAATATTTGGGGTTTTCGGGCTTCCTGTGGTAATACCCGGGTATTAGATTTAAAGGCCAGGGTAAGGTTTAAGCTTAATGGCGTTAGGGTTAAAATCACTGTCCAAAACCTTTGTAGGAACTCTTTTAGAACCTTTTGGAGTTAGTTAGACCAAAAAAAAAACGAAAAATGAAAAAAAAATATTTGGGGTGTTCAGGCTTCCTAAAAGTAATACCCGGGTATTAGGTTATGGGGCTATGGTAAGGTTTAAGGTTTTTGGCGTTAGGGTTAAAATCACTGTCCAAAACCTTTGTAGGAACTCTTTTCCAACCTTTTGGAGTTGGTTACACCAACAAAAATGTAAAATGAAAAAAAATATATATGGGGTGTTCGGGCTTCCTAAAAGTAATACCCGGGTATTAGGTTATGGGGCTATGGTAAGGTTTAAAGTTTTTGGCATTAGGTTTAAAATCACTGTCCAAAACCTTTGTAGGAACTCTTTCCCAACCTTTTGGAGTTAGTTAGACCAAAAAAAAATGAAAAATGAAAAAAAAATGTTTGGGGTTTTCGGGCTTCCTGAATGTAATACCCGGGTATTAGATTTTAAGGCTAGGGTAAGGTTTAAGTTTTATGGCGTTAGGGTTAAAATCACTGTCCAAAACCTTTGTAGGAACTCTTTTCCAATTTTTTGGAGCTAGTTAGACCAAAAAAAAAAGAAAAATGAAAAAAAATATATATGGGGTGTTCGGGCTTCCTAAAAGTAATACCCGGGTATTAGATTTTAAGGCTAGGGTAAGGTTTAAGTTTTATGGCGTTAGGGTTAAAATCACTGTCCAAAACATTTGTAGGAACTCTTTTCCAACTGTTACGGCTGTGTGTTTGTTTTGCATGTGTTTTCCTCTTTTGTCTCTCCATAGCTGCCCAGGTGAAATCACTTGAGTGACAATCAGACTCACCTGGTGCTGGGAGTCTAAAAGCCCAGAGCTGCCTGCAGTCTGGAGAGGCATTTGGTGGGGAACTGCTGCCCTGCTGCCTCTCATTTGTGTTGTGGGTGCTTTGTGTTTAGTTTGCAATTTTGTTGTTTTTTCACAATAAATCAGGTGTTAAACTTTTGAAGGTGTTTTGGTTAATTTGATGGGTAAAAAGTTGAGGATTGTTGTTAGCCCCATAGGGCCGCCTAAGGGTGGGGTGTAACACCAACCTTTTGGAGTTGGTTACACCAACAAAAATGTAAAATGAAAAAAAAATATTAGGGGTGTTCGGGCTTCCTGAAGGTAATACCCGGGTATTAGGTTATGGGGCTATGGTAAGGTTTAATGTTTTTGGCATTAGGGTTAAAATCACTGTCCAAAACCTTTGTAGGAACTCTTTTCCAACCTTTTGGAGTTGGTTACACCAACAAAAATGTAAAATGAAAAAAAAAATATTTGGGGTGTTCGGGCTTCCTGAAGGTAATACCCGGGTATTAGGTTATGGGGCTATGGTAAGGTTTAAGCTTAATGGCATTAGGTTTAAAATCACTGTCCAAAACCTTTGTAGGAACTCTTTTCCAACCTTTTGGAGTTAGTTAGACCAAAAAAAAAAAAATGAAAAATGAAAAAAAAATATTTGGGGTGTTCAGGCTTCCTAAAAGTAATACCCGGGTATTAGGTTATGGGGCTATGGTAAGGTTTAAAGTTTTTGGCATTAGGTTTAAAATCACTGTCCAAAACCTTTGTAGGAACTCTTTCCCAACCTTTTGGAGTTAGTTAGACCAAAAAAAAATGAAAAATGAAAAAAAAATGTTTGGGGTTTTCGGGCTTCCTGAATGTAATACCCGGGTATTAGATTTTAAGGCTAGGGTTAGGTTTAAGTTTTTTGGCGTTAGGGTTAAAATCACTGTCCAAAACCTTTGTAGGAACTCTTTTCCAACCTTTTGGAGTTACTTAGACCAAAAAAATATGAAAAAAGAAAAAAAAATATTTGGGGTGTTCAGGCTTCCTCAAAGTAATACCCGGGTATTAGGTTATGGGGCTATGGTAAGGTTTAAGGTTTATGGCATTAGGGTTAAAATCACTGTCCAAAACCTTTGTAGGAACTCTTTTCGAACCTTTTGGAGTTAGTTAGACCAAAAAAAAAAGAAAAATGAAAAAAAAATATTTGGGGTGTTCAGGCTTCCTAAAAGTAATACCCGGGTATTAGGTTATGGGGCTATGGTAAGGTTTAAGGTTTTTGGCATTAGGGTTAAAATCACTGTCCAAAACCTTTGTAAGAACTCTTTTCCAACCTTTTGGAGTTGGCTACACCAACAAAAATGTAAAATGAAAAAAAATATATATTGGGTGTTCGGGCTTCCTAAAAGTAATACCCGGGTATTAGGTTATGGGGCTATGGTAAGGTTTAAGGTTTTCGGCGTTAGGGTTAAAATCACTGTCCAAAACCTTTGTAGGAACTCTTTTCCAACCTTTTGGAGTTACTTATACCAAAAAAATATGAAAAAAGAAATAAATATATTTGGGGTGTTCGGGCTTCCTGTGGTAATACCCGGGTATTAGATTTAAAGGCTAGGCTAAGGTTTAAGCTTAATGGCGTTAGGGTTAAAATCACTGTCCAAAACCTTTGTAGGAACTCTTTTCCAACCTTTTGGAGTTACTTAGACCAAAAAAAAAAAGAAAAATGAAAAAAAAATATTTGGGGTGTTCAGGCTTCCTAAAAGTAATACCCGGGTATTAGGTTATGGGGCTATGGTAAGGTTTAAGGTTTTTGGCGTTAGGGTTAAAATCACTGTCCAAAACCTTTGTAGGAACTCTTTCCCAACCTTTTGGAGTTAGTTAGACCAAAAAAAAAATGAAAAATGAAAAAAAAATGTTTGGGGTTTTTGTGCTTCCTGAATGTAATACCCAGGTATTAGGTTATGGGGCTAGGGTAAGGTTTAAGTTTTATGGCGTTAGGGTTAAAATCACTGTCCAAAACCTTTGTAGGAACTCTTTTCGAACCTTCTGGAGTTAGTTAGACCAAAAAAAAAAAGAAAAATGAAAAAAAAATATTTGGGGTGTTCAGGCTTCCTAAAAGTAATACCCCGGTATTAGGTTATGGGGCTATGGTAAGGTTTAACGTTTTTGGCGTTAGGGTTAAAATCACTGTCCAAAACCTTTGTAGGAACTCTTTTCCAACCTTTTGGAGTTACTTAGACCAAAAAAATATTAAAAAAAAAAAAAATATTTGGGGTTTCGGGCTTCCTGTGGTAATACCCGGGTATTAGATTTAAAGGCCAGGGTAAGGTTTAAGCTTAATGGCGTTAGGGTTAAAATCACTGTCCAAAACCTTTGTAGGAACTCTTTTCCAACCTTTTGGAGTTACTTAGACCAAAAAAAAACGAAAAATGAAAAAAATATTTGGGGTGTTCAGGCTTCCTCAAAGTAATACCCGGGTATTAGGTTATGGGGCTATGGTAAGGTTTAAGGTTTATGGCATTAGGGTTAAAATCACTGTCCAAAACCTTTGTAGGAACTCTTTCCCAACCTTTTGGAGTTAGTTAGACCAAAAAAAAAAGAAAAATGAACAAAAAATATTTGGGGTGTTCAGGCTTCCTAAAAGTAATACCCGGGTATTAGGTTATGGGGCTATGGTAAGGTTTAAGGTTTTTGGCATTAGGGTTAAAATCACTGTCCAAAACCTTTGTAAGAACTCTTTTCCAACCTTTTGGAGTTGGCTACACCAACAAAAATGTAAAATGAAAAAAAAAATATATGGGGTGTTCGGGCTTCCTAAAAGTAATACCCGGGTATTAGGTTATGGGGCTATGGTAAGGTTTAAGGTTTTTGGCGTTAGGGTTAAAATCACTGTCCAAAACCTTTGTAGGAACTCTTTTCCAACCTTTTGGAGTTACTTAGACCAAAAAAATATGAAAAAAGAAAAAAAAATATTTGGGGTGTTCGGGCTTCCTGTGGTAATACCCGGGTATTAGATTTAAAGGCTAGGGTAAGGTTTAAGCTTAATGGCGTTAGGGTTAAAATCACTGTCCAAAACCTTTGTAGGAACTCTTTTCCAACCTTTTGGAGTTACTTAGACCAAAAAAAAAACGAAAAATGAAAAAAAATATTTGGGGTGTTCAGGCTTCCTAAAAGTAATACCCGGGTATTAGGTTATGGGGCTATGGTAAGGTTTAAGGTTTTTGGCATTAGGGTTAAAATCACTGTCCAAAACCTTTGTAGGAACTCTTTCCCAACCTTTTGGAGTTAGTTAGACCAAAAAAAAATGAAAAATGAAAAAAAAATGTTTGGGGTTTTTGTGCTTCCTGAATGTAATACCCAGGTATTAGGTTATGGGGCTAGGGTAAGGTTTAAGTTTTATGGCGTTAGGGTTAAAATCACTGTCCAAAACCTTTGTAGGAACTCTTTTCGAACCTTTTGGAGTTAGTTAGACCAAAAAAAAAAGAAAAATGAAAAAAAAATATTTGGGGTGTTCAGGCTTCCTAAAAGTAATACCCCGGTATTAGGTTATGGGGCTATGGTAAGGTTTAAGGTTTTTGGCGTTAGGGTTAAAATCACTGTCCAAAACCTTTGTAGGAACTCTTTTCCAACCTTTTGGAGTTACTTAGACCAAAAAAATATTAAAAAAGGAAAAAAAAATATTTGGGGTTTTCGGGCTTCCTGTGGTAATACCCGGGTATTAGATTTAAAGGCCAGGGTAAGGTTTAAGCTTAATGGCGTTAGGGTTAAAATCACTGTCCAAAACCTTTGTAGGAACTCTTTTAGAACCTTTTGGAGTTAGTTAGACCAAAAAAAAAACGAAAAATGAAAAAAAAATATTTGGGGTGTTCAGGCTTCCTAAAAGTAATACCCGGGTATTAGGTTATGGGGCTATGGTAAGGTTTAAGGTTTTTGGCATTAGGGTTAAAATCACTGTCCAAAACCTTTGTAAGAACTCTTTTCCAACCTTTTGGAGTTGGCTACACCAACAAAAATGTAAAATGAAAAAAAAAATATATGGGGTGTTCGGGCTTCCTAAAAGTAATACCCGGGTATTAGGTTATGGGGCTATGGTAAGGTTTAAGGTTTTTGGCGTTAGGGTTAAAATCACTGTCCAAAACCTTTGTAGGAACTCTTTTCCAACCTTTTGGAGTTACTTAGACCAAAAAAATATGAAAAAAGAAAAAAAAATATTTGGGGTGTTCGGGCTTCCTGTGGTAATACCCGGGTATTAGATTTAAAGGCTAGGGTAAGGTTTAAGCTTAATGGCGTTAGGGTTAAAATCACTGTCCAAAACCTTTGTAGGAACTCTTTTCCAACCTTTTGGAGTTACTTAGACCAAAAAAAAAACGAAAAATGAAAAAAAAATATTTGGGGTGTTCAGGCTTCCTAAAAGTAATACCCGGGTATTAGGTTATGGGGCTATGGTAAGGTTTAAGGTTTTTGGCATTAGGGTTAAAATCACTGTCCAAAACCTTTGTAAGAACTCTTTTCCAACCTTTTGGAGTTGGCTACACCAACAAAAATGTAAAATGAAAAAAAAAATATATGGGGTGTTCGGGCTTCCTAAAAGTAATACCCGGGTATTAGGTTATGGGGCTATGGTAAGGTTTAAGGTTTTTGGCGTTAGGGTTAAAATCACTGTCCAAAACCTTTGTAGGAACTCTTTTCCAACCTTTTGGAGTTACTTAGACCAAAAAAATATGAAAAAAAAAAAAAATATTTGGGGTGTTCGGGCTTCCTGTGGTAATACCCGGGTATTAGATTTAAAGGCTAGGGTAAGGTTTAAGCTTAATGGCGTTAGGGTTAAAATCACTGTCCAAAACCTTTGTAGGAACTCTTTTCCAACCTTTTGGAGTTACTTAGACCAAAAAAAAAAACGAAAAATGAAAAAAAAATATTTGGGGTGTTCAGGCTTCCTAAAAGTAATACCCGGGTATTAGGTTATGGGGCTATGGTAAGGTTTAAGGTTTATGGCATTAGGGTTAAAATCACTGTCCAAAACCTTTGTAGGAACTCTTTCCCAACCTTTTGGAGTTAGTTAGACCAAAAAAAAATGAAAAATGAAAAAAAAATGTTTGGGGTTTTTGTGCTTCCTGAATGTAATACCCAGGTATTAGGTTATGGGGCTAGGGTAAGGTTTAAGTTTTATGGCGTTAGGGTTAAAATCACTGTCCAAAACCTTTGTAGGAACTCTTTTCGAACCTTCTGGAGTTAGTTAGACCAAAAAAAAAAAAAGAAAAAAAAATATTTGGGGTGTTCAGGCTTCCTAAAAGTAATACCCGGGTATTAGGTTATGGGGCTATGGTAAGGTTTAAGGTTTTTGGCGTTAGGGTTAAAATCACTGTCCAAAACCTTTGTAGGAACTCTTTTCCAACCTTTTGGAGTTACTTAGACCAAAAAAATATTAAAAAAGGAAAAAAAAATATTTGGGGTTTTCGGGCTTCCTGTGGTAATACCCGGGTATTAGATTTAAAGGCTAGGGTAAGGTTTAAGCTTAATGGCGTTAGGGTTAAAATCACTGTCCAAAACCTTTGTAGGAACTCTTTTCGAACCTTTTGGAGTTAGTTAGACCAAAAAAAAAAACGAAAAATGAAAAAAAAATATTTGGGGTGTTCAGGCTTCCTAAAAGTAATACCCGGGTATTAGGTTATGGGGCTATGGTAAGGTTTAAGGTTTTTGGCGTTAGGGTTAAAATCACTGTCCAAAACCTTTGTAAGAACTCTTTTCCAACCTTTTGGAGTTGGTTACACCAACAAAAATGTAAAATGAAAAAAAATATATATGGGGTGTTCGGGCTTCCTAAAAGTAATACCCGGGTATTAGGTTATGGGGCTATGGTAAGGTTTAAAGTTTTTGGCATTAGGGTTTAAAATCACTGTCCAAAACCTTTGTAGGAACTCTTTCCCAACCTTTTGGAGTTAGTTAGACCAAAAAAAAATGAAAAATGAAAAAAAAATGTTTGGGGTTTTCGGGCTTCCTGAATGTAATACCCGGGTATTAGATTTTAAGGCTAGGGTAAGGTTTAAGGTTTTTGGCGTTAGGGTTAAAATCACTGTCCAAAACCTTTGTAGGAACTCTTTTCCAATTTTTTGGAGCTAGTTAGACCAAAAAAAAAAGAAAAATGAAAAAAATATATATATGGGGTGTTCGGGCTTCCTAAAAGTAATACCCGGGTATTAGATTTTAAGGCTAGGGTAAGGTTTAAGTTTTATGGCGTTAGGGTTAAAATCACTGTCCAAAACATTTGTAGGAACTCTTTTCCAACTGTTACGGCTGTGTGTTTGTTTTGCATGTGTTTTCCTCTTTTGTCTCTCCATAGCTGCCCAGGTGAAATCACTTGAGTGACAATCAGACTCACCTGGTGCTGGGAGTCTAAAAGCCCAGAGCTGCCTGCAATCTGGAGAGGCATTTGGTGGGGAACTGCTGCCCTGCTGCCTCTCATTTGTGTTGTGGGTGCTTTGTGTTTAGTTTGCAATTTTGTTGTTTTTTCACAATAAATCAGGTGTTAAACTTTTGAAGGTGTTTTGGTTAATTTGATGGGTAAAAAGTTGAGGATTGTTGTTAGCCCCATAGGGCCGCCTAAGGGTGGGGTGTAACACCAACCTTTTGGAGTTGGTTACACCAACAAAAATGTAAAATGAAAAAAAAAAATATTTGGGGTGTTCGGGCTTCCTGAAGGTAATACCCGGGTATTAGGTTATGGGGCTATGGTAAGGTTTAATGTTTTTGGCATTAGGGTTAAAATCACTGTCCAAAACCTTTGTAGGAACTCTTTTCCAACCTTTTGGAGTTGGTTACACCAACAAAAATGTAAAATGAAAAAAAAAAATATTTGGGGTGTTCGGGCTTCCTGAAGGTAATACCCGGGTATTAGGTTATGGGGCTATGGTAAGGTTTAAGCTTAATGGCATTAGGTTTAAAATCACTGTCCAAAACCTTTGTAGGAACTCTTTTCCAACCTTTTGGAGTTAGTTAGACCAAAAAAAAAAAAATGAAAAATGAAAAAAAAATATTTGGGGTGTTCAGGCTTCCTAAAAGTAATACCCGGGTATTAGGTTATGGGGCTATGGTAAGGTTTAAAGTTTTTGGCATTAGGTTTAAAATCACTGTCCAAAACCTTTGTAGGAACTCTTTCCCAACCTTTTGGAGTTAGTTAGACCAAAAAAAAAAGAAAAATGAAAAAAAAAATGTTTGGGGTTTTCGGGCTTCCTGAATGTAATACCCGGGTATTAGATTTTAAGGCTAGGGTTAGGTTTAAGTTTTTTGGCGTTAGGGTTAAAATCACTGTCCAAAACCTTTGTAGGAACTCTTTTCCAACCTTTTGGAGTTACTTAGACCAAAAAAATATGAAAAAAGAAAAAAAAATATTTGGGGTGTTCAGGCTTCCTCAAAGTAATACCCGGGTATTAGGTTATGGGGCTATGGTAAGGTTTAAGGTTTATGGCATTAGGGTTAAAATCACTGTCCAAAACCTTTGTAGGAACTCTTTTCCGAACCTTTTGGAGTTAGTTAGACCAAAAAAAAAAAAGAAAAATGAAAAAAAAATATTTGGGGTGTTCAGGCTTCCTAAAAGTAATACCCGGGTATTAGGTTATGGGGCTATGGTAAGGTTTAAGGTTTTTGGCATTAGGGTTAAAATCACTGTCCAAAACCTTTGTAAGAACTCTTTTCCAACCTTTTGGAGTTGGCTACACCAACAAAAATGTAAAATGAAAAAAAATATATATTGGGTGTTCGGGCTTCCTAAAAGTAATACCCGGGTATTAGGTTATGGGGCTATGGTAAGGTTTAAGGTTTTCGGCGTTAGGGTTAAAATCACTGTCCAAAACCTTTGTAGGAACTCTTTTCCAACCTTTTGGAGTTACTTAGACCAAAAAAATATGAAAAAAGAAATAAATATATTTGGGGTGTTCGGGCTTCCTGTGGTAATACCCGGGTATTAGATTTAAAGGCTAGGGTAAGGTTTAAGCTTAATGGCGTTAGGGTTAAAATCACTGTCCAAAACCTTTGTAGGAACTCTTTTCCAACCTTTTGGAGTTACTTAGACCAAAAAAAAAAAGAAAAATGAAAAAAAAATATTTGGGGTGTTCAGGCTTCCTAAAAGTAATACCCGGGTATTAGGTTATGGGGCTATGGTAAGGTTTAAGGTTTTTGGCGTTAGGGTTAAAATCACTGTCCAAAACCTTTGTAGGAACTCTTTCCCAACCTTTTGGAGTTAGTTAGACCAAAAAAAAATGAAAAATGAAAAAAAAATGTTTGGGGTTTTTGTGCTTCCTGAATGTAATACCCAGGTATTAGGTTATGGGGCTAGGGTAAGGTTTAAGTTTTATGGCGTTAGGGTTAAAATCACTGTCCAAAACCTTTGTAGGAACTCTTTTCGAACCTTCTGGAGTTAGTTAGACCAAAAAAAAAAGAAAAATGAAAAAAAAATATTTGGGGTGTTCAGGCTTCCTAAAAGTAATACCCCGGTATTAGGTTATGGGGCTATGGTAAGGTTTAAGGTTTTTGGCGTTAGGGTTAAAATCACTGTCCAAAACCTTTGTAGGAACTCTTTTCCAACCTTTTGGAGTTACTTAGACCAAAAAAATATTAAAAGGAAAAAAATATTTGGGGTTTTCGGGCTTCCTGTGGTAATACCCGGGTATTAGATTTAAAGGCCAGGGTAAGGTTTAAGCTTAATGGCGTTAGGGTTAAAATCACTGTCCAAAACCTTTGTAGGAACTCTTTTCCAACCTTTTGGAGTTACTTAGACCAAAAAAAAAACGAAAAATGAAAAAAAATATTTGGGGTGTTCAGGCTTCCTCAAAGTAATACCCGGGTATTAGGTTATGGGGCTATGGTAAGGTTTAAGGTTTTTGGCATTAGGGTTAAAATCACTGTCCAAAACCTTTGTAGGAACTCTTTCCCAACCTTTTGGAGTTAGTTAGACCAAAAAAAAAAAGAAAAATGAAAAAAAAATATTTGGGGTTTTTGTGCTTCCTGAATGTAATACCCAGGTATTAGGTTATGGGGCTAGGGTAAGGTTTAAGGTTTATGGCGTTAGGGTTAAAATCACTGTCCAAAACCTTTGTAGGAACTCTTTTCGAACCTTTTGGAGTTAGTTAGACCAAAAAAAAAAAGAAAAATGAAAAAAAAATATTTGGGGTGTTCAGGCTTCCTAAAAGTAATACCCGGTATTAGGTTATGGGGCTATGGTAAGGTTTAAGGTTTTTGGCGTTAGGGTTAAAATCACTGTCCAAAACCTTTGTAGGAACTCTTTTCCAACCTTTTGGAGTTACTTAGACCAAAAAAATATTAAAAAAGGAAAAAAAAATATTTGGGGTTTTCGGGCTTCCTGTGGTAATACCCGGGTATTAGATTTAAAGGCCAGGGTAAGGTTTAAGCTTAATGGCGTTAGGGTTAAAATCACTGTCCAAAACCTTTGTAGGAACTCTTTTAGAACCTTTTGGAGTTGGTTACACCAAAAAAAACGAAAAATGAAAAAAAAATATTTGGGGTGTTCAGGCTTCCTAAAAGTAATACCCGGGTATTAGGTTATGGGGCTATGGTAAGGTTTAAGGTTTTTGGCGTTAGGGTTAAAATCACTGTCCAAAACCTTTGTAAGAACTCTTTTCCAACCTTTTGGAGTTGGTTACACCAACAAAAATGTAAAATGAAAAAAAATATATATGGGGTGTTCGGGCTTCCTAAAAGTAATACCCGGGTATTAGGTTATGGGGCTATGGTAAGGTTTAAAGTTTTTGGCATTAGGTTTAAAATCACTGTCCAAAACCTTTGTAGGAACTCTTTCCCAACCTTTTGGAGTTAGTTAGACCAAAAAAAAATGAAAAATGAAAAAAAAATGTTTGGGGTTTTCGGGCTTCCTGAAGGTAATACCGGGTATTAAGATTTTAAGGCTAGGGTAAGGTTTAAGTTTTATGGCGTTAGGGTTAAAATCACTGTCCAAAACCTTTGTAGGAACTCTTTTCCAACCTTTTGGAGTTAGTTAGACCAAAAAAAAAAGAAAAATGAAAAAAAAATATATATGGGGTGTTCGGGCTTCCTAAAAGTAATACCCGGGTATTAGATTTTAAGGCTAGGGTAAGGTTTAAGTTTTATGGCGTTAGGGTTAAAATCACTGTCCAAAACATTTGTAGGAACTCTTTTCCAACTGTTACGGCTGTGTGTTTGTTTTGCATGTGTTTTCCTCTTTTGTCTCTCCATAGCTGCCCAGGTGAAATCACTTGAGTGACAATCAGACTCACCTGGTGCTGGGAGTCTAAAAGCCCAGAGCTGCCTGCAATCTGGAGAGGCATTTGGTGGGGAACTGCTGCCCTGCTGCCTCTCATTTGTGTTGTGGGTGCTTTGTGTTTAGTTTGCAATTTTGTTGTTTTTTCACAATAAATCAGGTGTTAAACTTTTGAAGGTGTTTTGGTTAATTTGATGGGTAAAAAGTTGAGGATTGTTGTTAGCCCCATAGGGCCGCCTAAGGGTGGGGTGTAACACCAACCTTTTGGAGTTGGTTACACCAACAAAAATGTAAAATGAAAAAAAAATATTAGGGGTGTTCGGGCTTCCTGAAGGTAATACCCGGGTATTAGGTTATGGGGCTATGGTAAGGTTTAAGGTTTTTGGCATTAGGGTTAAAATCACTGTCCAAAACCTTTGTAGGAACTCTTTTCCAACCTTTTGGAGTTGGTTACACCAACAAAAATGTAAAATGAAAAAAAAAATATTTGGGGTGTTCGGGCCTTCCTGAAGGTAATACCCGGGTATTAGGTTATGGGGCTATGGTAAGGTTTAAGCTTAATGGCATTAGGTTTAAAATCACTGTCCAAAACCTTTGTAGGAACTCTTTTCCAACCTTTTGGAGTTACTTAGACCAAAAAAAAAAAATGAAAAATGAAAAAAAAATATTTGGGGTGTTCAGGCTTCCTAAAAGTAATACCCGGGTATTAGGTTATGGGGCTATGGTAAGGTTTAAAGTTTTTGGCATTAGGTTTAAAATCACTGTCCAAAACCTTTGTAGGAACTCTTTCCCAACCTTTTGGAGTTAGTTAGACCAAAAAAAAATGAAAAATGAAAAAAAAATGTTTGGGGTTTTCGGGCTTCCTGAATGTAATACCCGGGTATTAGATTTTAAGGCTAGGGTTAGGTTTAAGTTTTTTGGCGTTAGGGTTAAAATCACTGTCCAAAACCTTTGTAGGAACTCTTTTCCAACCTTTTGGAGTTACTTAGACCAAAAAAATATGAAAAAAGAAAAAAATATTTGGGGTGTTCAGGCTTCCTCAAAGTAATACCCGGGTATTAGGTTATGGGGCTATGGTAAGGTTTAAGGTTTATGGCATTAGGGTTAAAATCACTGTCCAAAACCTTTGTAGGAACTCTTTTCGAACCTTTTGGAGTTAGTTAGACCAAAAAAAAAAAGAAAAATGAAAAAAAAATATTTGGGGTGTTCAGGCTTCCTAAAAGTAATACCCGGGTATTAGGTTATGGGGCTATGGTAAGGTTTAAGGTTTTTGGCATTAGGGTTAAAATCACTGTCCAAAACCTTTGTAAGAACTCTTTTCCAACCTTTTGGAGTTGGCTACACCAACAAAAATGTAAAATGAAAAAAAAAATATATTGGGTGTTCGGGCTTCCTAAAAGTAATACCCGGGTATTAGGTTATGGGGCTATGGTAAGGTTTAAGGTTTTTGGCGTTAGGGTTAAAATCACTGTCCAAAACCTTTGTAGGAACTCTTTTCCAACCTTTTGGAGTTACTTATACCAAAAAAATATGAAAAAAGAAAAAAATATATTTGGGGTGTTCGGGCTTCCTGTGGTAATACCCGGGTATTAGATTTAAAGGCTAGGGTAAGGTTTAAGCTTAATGGCGTTAGGGTTAAAATCACTGTCCAAAACCTTTGTAGGAACTCTTTTCCAACCTTTTGGAGTTACTTAGACCAAAAAAAAAAAGAAAAATGAAAAAAAAATATTTGGGGTGTTCAGGCTTCCTAAAAGTAATACCCGGGTATTAGGTTATGGGGCTATGGTAAGGTTTAAGGTTTTTGGCGTTAGGGTTAAAATCACTGTCCAAAACCTTTGTAGGAACTCTTTCCCAACCTTTTGGAGTTAGTTAGACCAAAAAAAAAATGAAAAATGAAAAAAAAATGTTTGGGGTTTTTGTGCTTCCTGAATGTAATACCCAGGTATTAGGTTATGGGGCTAGGGTAAGGTTTAAGTTTTATGGCGTTAGGGTTAAAATCACTGTCCAAAACCTTTGTAGGAACTCTTTTCGAACCTTCTGGAGTTAGTTAGACCAAAAAAAAAAAGAAAAATGAAAAAAAAATATTTGGGGTGTTCAGGCTTCCTAAAAGTAATACCGCGGTATTAGGTTATGGGGCTATGGTAAGGTTTAACGTTTTTGGCGTTAGGGTTAAAATCACTGTCCAAAACCTTTGTAGGAACTCTTTTCCAACCTTTTGGAGTTACTTAGACCAAAAAAATATTAAAAGGAAAAAAAAATATTTGGGGTTTTCGGGCGTCCTGTGGTAATACCCGGGTATTAGATTTAAAGGCCAGGGTAAGGTTTAAGCTTAATGGCGTTAGGGTTAAAATCACTGTCCAAAACCTTTGTAGGAACTCTTTTCCAACCTTTTGGAGTTACTTAGACCAAAAAAAAAACGAAAAATGAAAAAAAATATTTGGGGTGTTCAGGCTTCCTCAAAGTAATACCCGGGTATTAGGTTATGGGGCTATGGTAAGGTTTAAGGTTTATGGCATTAGGGTTAAAATCACTGTCCAAAACCTTTGTAGGAACTCTTTCCCAACCTTTTGGAGTTAGTTAGACCAAAAAAAAAAGAAAAATGAAAAAAAAATATTTGGGGTGTTCAGGCTTCCTAAAAGTAATACCCGGGTATTAGGTTATGGGGCTATGGTAAGGTTTAAGGTTTTTGGCATTAGGGTTAAAATCACTGTCCAAAACCTTTGTAAGAACTCTTTTCCAACCTTTTGGAGTTGGCTACACCAACAAAAATGTAAAATGAAAAAAAAAATATATGGGGTGTTCGGGCTTCCTAAAAGTAATACCCGGGTATTAGGTTATGGGGCTATGGTAAGGTTTAAGGTTTTTGGCGTTAGGGTTAAAATCACTGTCCAAAACCTTTGTAGGAACTCTTTTCCAACCTTTTGGAGTTACTTAGACCAAAAAAATATGAAAAAAGAAAAAAAAATATTTGGGGTGTTCGGGCTTCCTGTGGTAATACCCGGGTATTAGATTTAAAGGCTAGGGTAAGGTTTAAGCTTAATGGCGTTAGGGTTAAAATCACTGTCCAAAACCTTTGTAGGAACTCTTTTCCAACCTTTTGGAGTTACTTAGACCAAAAAAAAAAACGAAAAATGAAAAAAAATATTTGGGGTGTTCAGGCTTCCTAAAAGTAATACCCGGGTATTAGGTTATGGGGCTATGGTAAGGTTTAAGGTTTATGGCATTAGGGTTAAAATCACTGTCCAAAACCTTTGTAGGAACTCTTTTCCAACCTTTTGGAGTTACTTAGACCAAAAAAATATTAAAAAAGGAAAAAAAAATATTTGGGGTTTTCGGGCTTCCTGTGGTAATACCCGGGTATTAGATTTAAAGGCCAGGGTAAGGTTTAAGCTTAATGGCGTTAGGGTTAAAATCACTGTCCAAAACCTTTGTAGGAACTCTTTTAGAACCTTTTGGAGTTAGTTAGACCAAAAAAAAAACGAAAAATGAAAAAAAAATATTTGGGGTGTTCAGGCTTCCTAAAAGTAATACCCGGGTATTAGGTTATGGGGCTATGGTAAGGTTTAAGGTTTTTGGCGTTAGGGTTAAAATCACTGTCCAAAACCTTTGTAAGAACTCTTTTCCAACCTTTTGGAGTTGGTTACATCAACAAAAATGTAAAATGAAAAAAAATATATATGGGGTGTTCGGGCTTCCTAAAAGTAATACCCGGGTATTAGGTTATGGGGCTATGGTAAGGTTTAATGTTTTTGGCATTAGGGTTAAAATCACTGTCCAAAACCTTTGTAGGAACTCTTTTCCAACCTTTTGGAGTTGGTTACACCAACAAAAATGTAAAATGAAAAAAAAAATATTTGGGGTGTTCGGGCTTCCTGAAGGTAATACCCGGGTATTAGGTTATGGGGCTATGGTAAGGTTTAAGTTTTATGGCGTTAGGGTTAAAATCACTGTCCAAAACCTTTGTAGGAACTCTTTTCCAATTTTTTGGAGCTAGTTAGACCAAAAAAAAAAGAAAAATGAAAAAAAAATGTTTGGGGTTTTCGGGCTTCCTGAATGTAATACCCGGGTATTAGATTTTAAGGCTAGGGTAAGGTTTAAGTTTTATGGCGTTAGGGTTAAAATCACTGTCCAAAACCTTTGTAGGAACTCTTTTCCAATTTTTTGGAGCTAGTTAGACCAAAAAAAAAAGAAAAATGAAAAAAAAATATATATGGGGTGTTCGGGCTTCCTAAAAGTAATACCCGGGTATTAGATTTTAAGGCTAGGGTAAGGTTTAAGTTTTATGGCGTTAGGGTTAAAATCACTGTCCAAAACATTTGTAGGAACTCTTTTCCAACTGTTACGGCTGTGTGTTTGTTTTGCATGTGTTTTCCTCTTTTGTCTCTCCATAGCTGCCCAGGTGAAATCACTTGAGTGACAATCAGACTCACCTGGTGCTGGGAGTCTAAAAGCCCAGAGCTGCCTGCAGTCTGGAGAGGCATTTGGTGGGGAACTGCTGCCCTGCTGCCTCTCATTTGTGTTGTGGGTGCTTTGTGTTTAGTTTGCAATTTTGTTGTTTTTTCACAATAAATCAGGTGTTAAACTTTTGAAGGTGTTTTGGTTAATTTGATGGGTAAAAAGTTGAGGATTGTTGTTAGCCCCATAGGGCCGCCTAAGGGTGGGGTGTAACACCAACCTTTTGGAGTTGGTTACACCAACAAAAATGTAAAATGAAAAAAAAATATTAGGGGTGTTCGGGCTTCCTGAAGGTAATACCCGGGTATTAGGTTATGGGGCTATGGTAAGGTTTAATGTTTTTGGCATTAGGGTTAAAATCACTGTCCAAAACCTTTGTAGGAACTCTTTTCCAACCTTTTGGAGTTGGTTACACCAACAAAAATGTAAAATGAAAAAAAAAATATTTGGGGTGTTCGGGCTTCCTGAAGGTAATACCCGGGTATTAGGTTATGGGGCTATGGTAAGGTTTAAGCTTAATGGCATTAGGTTTAAAATCACTGTCCAAAACCTTTGTAGGAACTCTTTTCCAACCTTTTGGAGTTAGTTAGACCAAAAAAAAAAATGAAAAATGAAAAAAAAAATATTTGGGGTGTTCAGGCTTCCTAAAAGTAATACCCGGGTATTAGGTTATGGGGCTATGGTAAGGTTTAAGGTTTTTGGCATTAGGTTTAAAATCACTGTCCAAAACCTTTGTAGGAACTCTTTCCCAACCTTTTGGAGTTAGTTAGACCAAAAAAAAATGAAAAATGAAAAAAAAATGTTTGGGGTTTTCGGGCTTCCTGAATGTAATACCCGGGTATTAGATTTTAAGGCTAGGGTTAGGTTTAAGTTTTTTGGCGTTAGGGTTAAAATCACTGTCCAAAACCTTTGTAGGAACTCTTTTCCAACCTTTTGGAGTTACTTAGACCAAAAAAATATGAAAAAAGAAAAAAAATATTTGGGGTGTTCAGGCTTCCTCAAAGTAATACCCCAGTATTAGGTTATGGGGCTATGGTAAGGTTTAAGGTTTATGGCATTAGGGTTAAAATCACTGTCCAAAACCTTTGTAGGAACTCTTTTCGAACCTTTTGGAGTTAGTTAGACCAAAAAAAAAAAAGAAAAATGAAAAAAAAATATTTGGGGTGTTCAGGCTTCCTAAAAGTAATACCCGGGTATTAGGTTATGGGGCTATGGTAAGGTTTAAGGTTTTTGGCATTAGGGTTAAAATCACTGTCCAAAACCTTTGTAAGAACTCTTTTCCAACCTTTTGGAGTTGGCTACACCAACAAAAATGTAAAATGAAAAAAAATATATATTGGGTGTTCGGGCTTCCTAAAAGTAATACCCGGGTATTAGGTTATGGGGCTATGGTAAGGTTTAAGGTTTTTGGCGTTAGGGTTAAAATCACTGTCCAAAACCTTTGTAGGAACTCTTTTCCAACCTTTTGGAGTTACTTATACCAAAAAAATATGAAAAAAGAAAAAAATATATTTGGGGTGTTCGGGCTTCCTGTGGTAATACCCGGGTATTAGATTTAAAGGCTAGGGTAAGGTTTAAGTTTTTTGGCGTTAGGGTTAAAATCACTGTCCAAAACCTTTGTAGGAACTCTTTTCCAACCTTTTGGAGTTACTTAGACCAAAAAAAAAAAAGAAAAATGAAAAAAAAATATTTGGGGTGTTCAGGCTTCCTAAAAGTAATACCCGGGTATTAGGTTATGGGGCTATGGTAAGGTTTAAGGTTTTTGGCGTTAGGGTTAAAATCACTGTCCAAAACCTTTGTAGGAACTCTTTCCCAACCTTTTGGAGTTAGTTAGACCAAAAAAAAAATGAAAAATGAAAAAAAAATGTTTGGGGTTTTTGTGCTTCCTGAATGTAATACCCAGGTATTAGGTTATGGGGCTAGGGTAAGGTTTAAGTTTTATGGCGTTAGGGTTAAAATCACTGTCCAAAACCTTTGTAGGAACTCTTTTCGAACCTTCTGGAGTTAGTTAGACCAAAAAAAAAAAGAAAAATGAAAAAAAAATATTTGGGGTGTTCAGGCTTCCTAAAAGTAATACCCCGGTATTAGGTTATGGGGCTATGGTAAGGTTTAACGTTTTTGGCGTTAGGGTTAAAATCACTGTCCAAAACCTTTGTAGGAACTCTTTTCCAACCTTTTGGAGTTACTTAGACCAAAAAAATATTAAAAAAGGAAAAAAAAATATTTGGGGTTTTCGGGCTTCCTGTGGTAATACCCGGGTATTAGATTTAAAGGCCAGGGTAAGGTTTAAGCTTAATGGCGTTAGGGTTAAAATCACTGTCCAAAACCTTTGTAGGAACTCTTTTCCAACCTTTTGGAGTTACTTAGACCAAAAAAAAAACGAAAAATGAAAAAAAATATTTGGGGTGTTCAGGCTTCCTCAAAGTAATACCCGGGTATTAGGTTATGGGGCTATGGTAAGGTTTAAGGTTTATGGCATTAGGGTTAAAATCACTGTCCAAAACCTTTGTAGGAACTCTTTCCCAACCTTTTGGAGTTAGTTAGACCAAAAAAAAAAGAAAAATGAAAAAAAAATATTTGGGGTGTTCAGGCTTCCTAAAAGTAATACCCGGGTATTAGGTTATGGGGCTATGGTAAGGTTTAAGGTTTTTGGCATTAGGGTTAAAATCACTGTCCAAAACCTTTGTAAGAACTCTTTTCCAACCTTTTGGAGTTACTTAGACCAAAAAAATGTAAAATGAAAAAAAAAATATATGGGGTGTTCGGGCTTCCTAAAAGTAATACCCGGGTATTAGGTTATGGGGCTATGGTAAGGTTTAAGGTTTTTGGCGTTAGGGTTAAAATCACTGTCCAAAACCTTTGTAGGAACTCTTTTCCAACCTTTTGGAGTTACTTAGACCAAAAAAATATGAAAAAAGAAAAAAAAATATTTGGGGTGTTCGGGCTTCCTGTGGTAATACCCGGGTATTAGATTTAAAGGCTAGGGTAAGGTTTAAGCTTAATGGCGTTAGGGTTAAAATCACTGTCCAAAACCTTTGTAGGAACTCTTTTCCAACCTTTTGGAGTTACTTAGACCAAAAAAAAAAAACGAAAAATGAAAAAAAAATATTTGGGGTGTTCAGGCTTCCTAAAAGTAATACCCGGGTATTAGGTTATGGGGCTATGGTAAGGTTTAAGGTTTTTGGCATTAGGGTTAAAATCACTGTCCAAAACCTTTGTAAGAACTCTTTTCCAACCTTTTGGAGTTGGCTACACCAACAAAAATGTAAAATGAAAAAAAAAATATATGGGGTGTTCGGGCTTCCTAAAAGTAATACCCGGGTATTAGGTTATGGGGCTATGGTAAGGTTTAAGGTTTTTGGCGTTAGGGTTAAAATCACTGTCCAAAACCTTTGTAGGAACTCTTTTCCAACCTTTTGGAGTTACTTAGACCAAAAAAATATGAAAAAAGAAAAAAAAATATTTGGGGTGTTCGGGCTTCCTGTGGTAATACCCGGGTATTAGATTTAAAGGCTAGGGTAAGGTTTAAGCTTAATGGCGTTAGGGTTAAAATCACTGTCCAAAACCTTTGTAGGAACTCTTTTCCAACCTTTTGGAGTTAGTTAGACCAAAAAAAAAAACGAAAAATGAAAAAAAAATATTTGGGGTGTTCAGGCTTCCTAAAAGTAATACCCGGGTATTAGGTTATGGGGCTATGGTAAGGTTTAAGGTTTATGGCATTAGGGTTAAAATCACTGTCCAAAACCTTTGTAGGAACTCTTTCCCAACCTTTTGGAGTTAGTTAGACCAAAAAAAAATGAAAAATGAAAAAAAAATATTTGGGGTTTTTGTGCTTCCTGAATGTAATACCCAGGTATTAGGTTATGGGGCTAGGGTAAGGTTTAAGTTTTATGGCGTTAGGGTTAAAATCACTGTCCAAAACCTTTGTAGGAACTCTTTTCGAACCTTTTGGAGTTAGTTAGACCAAAAAAAAAAAAGAAAAATGAAAAAAAAAATATTTGGGGTGTTCAGGCTTCCTAAAAGTAATACCCCGGTATTAGGTTATGGGGCTATGGTAAGGTTTAAGGTTTTTGGCGTTAGGGTTAAAATCACTGTCCAAAACCTTTGTAGGAACTCTTTTCCAACCTTTTGGAGTTACTTAGACCAAAAAAATATTAAAAAAGGAAAAAAAATATTTGGGGTTTTCGGGCTTCCTGTGGTAATACCCGGGTATTAGATTTAAAGGCCAGGGTAAGGTTTAAGCTTAATGGCGTTAGGGTTAAAATCACTGTCCAAAACCTTTGTAGGAACTCTTTTAGAACCTTTTGGAGTTAGTTAGACCAAAAAAAAAACGAAAAATGAAAAAAAAATATTTGGGGTGTTCAGGCTTCCTAAAAGTAATACCCGGGTATTAGGTTATGGGGCTATGGTAAGGTTTAAGGTTTTTGGCGTTAGGGTTAAAATCACTGTCCAAAACCTTTGTAGGAACTCTTTTCCAACCTTTTGGAGTTGGTTACACCAACAAAAATGTAAAATGAAAAAAAATATATATGGGGTGTTCGGGCTTCCTAAAAGTAATACCCGGGTATTAGGTTATGGGGCTATGGTAAGGTTTAAAGTTTTTGGCATTAGGTTTAAAATCACTGTCCAAAACCTTTGTAGGAACTCTTTTCCAACCTTTTGGAGTTAGTTAGACCAAAAAAAAATGAAAAATGAAAAAAAAATGTTTGGGGTTTTCGGGCTTCCTGAATGTAATACCCGGGTATTAGATTTTAAGGCTAGGGTAAGGTTTAAGTTTTATGGCGTTAGGGTTAAAATCACTGTCCAAAACCTTTGTAGGAACTCTTTTCCAACCTTTTGGAGTTAGTTAGACCAAAAAAAAAAAGAAAAATGAAAAAAATATATATATGGGGTGTTCGGGCTTCCTAAAAGTAATACCCGGGTATTAGATTTTAAGGCTAGGGTAAGGTTTAAGTTTTATGGCGTTAGGGTTAAAATCACTGTCCAAAACATTTGTAGGAACTCTTTTCCAACTGTTACGGCTGTGTGTTTGTTTGCATGTGTTTTCCTCTTTTGTCTCTCCATAGCTGCCCAGGTGAAATCACTTGAGTGACAATCAGACTCACCTGGTGCTGGGAGTCTAAAAGCCCAGAGCTGCCTGCAGTCTGGAGAGGCATTTGGTGGGGAACTGCTGCCCTGCTGCCTCTCATTTGTGTTGTGGGTGCTTTGTGTTTAGTTTGCAATTTTGTTGTTTTTTCACAATAAATCACGTGTTAAACTTTTGAAGGTGTTTTGGTTAATTTGATGGGTAAAAAGTTGAGGATTGTTGTTAGCCCCATAGGGCCGCCTAAGGGTGGGGTGTAACACCAACCTTTTGGAGTTGGTTACACCAACAAAAATGTAAAATGAAAAAAAAAATATTAGGGGTGTTCGGGCTTCCTGAAGGTAATACCCGGGTATTAGGTTATGGGGCTATGGTAAGGTTTAATGTTTTTGGCATTAGGGTTAAAATCACTGTCCAAAACCTTTGTAGGAACTCTTTTCCAACCTTTTGGAGTTGGTTACACCAACAAAAATGTAAAATGAAAAAAAAAATATTTGGGGTGTTCGGGCTTCCTGAAGGTAACACCCGGGTATTAGGTTATGGGGCTATGGTAAGGTTTAAGCTTAATGGCATTAGGTTTAAAATCACTGTCCAAAACCTTTGTAGGAACTCTTTTCCAACCTTTTGGAGTTAGTTAGACCAAAAAAAAAAAATGAAAAATGAAAAAAAAATATTTGGGGTGTTCAGGCTTCCTAAAAGTAATACCCGGGTATTAGGTTATGGGGCTATGGTAAGGTTTAAAGTTTTTGGCATTAGGTTTAAAATCACTGTCCAAAACCTTTGTAGGAACTCTTTCCCAACCTTTTGGAGTTAGTTAGACCAAAAAAAAATGAAAAATGAAAAAAAAATGTTTGGGGTTTTCGGGCTTCCTGAATGTAATACCCGGGTATTAGATTTTAAGGCTAGGGTTAGGTTTAAGTTTTTTGGCGTTAGGGTTAAAATCACTGTCCAAAACCTTTGTAGGAACTCTTTTCCAACCTTTTGGAGTTACTTAGACCAAAAAAATATGAAAAAAGAAAAAAAATATTTGGGGTGTTCAGGCTTCCTCAAAGTAATACCCGGGTATTAGGTTATGGGGCTATGGTAAGGTTTAAGGTTTATGGCATTAGGGTTAAAATCACTGTCCAAAACCTTTGTAGGAACTCTTTTCGAACCTTTTGGAGTTAGTTAGACCAAAAAAAAAAAGAAAAATGAAAAAAAAATATTTGGGGTGTTCAGGCTTCCTAAAAGTAATACCCGGGTATTAGGTTATGGGGCTATGGTAAGGTTTAAGGTTTTTGGCATTAGGGTTAAAATCACTGTCCAAAACCTTTGTAGGAACTCTTTTCCAACCTTTTGGAGTTGGCTACACCAACAAAAATGTAAAATGAAAAAAAATATATATTGGGTGTTCGGGCTTCCTAAAAGTAATACTAATATTAGGTTATGGGGCTATGGTAAGGTTTAAGGTTTTCGGCGTTAGGGTTAAAATCACTGTCCAAAACCTTTGTAGGAACTCTTTTCCAACCTTTTGGAGTTACTTATACCAAAAAAATATGAAAAAAGAAATAAATATATTTGGGGTGTTCGGGCTTCCTGTGGTAATACCCGGGTATTAGATTTAAAGGCTAGGGTAAGGTTTAAGCTTAATGGCGTTAGGGTTAAAATCACTGTCCAAAACCTTTGTAGGAACTCTTTTCCAACCTTTTGGAGTTACTTAGACCAAAAAAAAAAAAGAAAAATGAAAAAAAAATATTTGGGGTGTTCAGGCTTCCTAAAAGTAATACCCGGGTATTAGGTTATGGGGCTATGGTAAGGTTTAAGGTTTTTGGCGTTAGGGTTAAAATCACTGTCCAAAACCTTTGTAGGAACTCTTTCCCAACCTTTTGGAGTTAGTTAGACCAAAAAAAAAATGAAAAATGAAAAAAAAATGTTTGGGGTTTTTGTGCTTCCTGAATGTAATACCCAGGTATTAGGTTATGGGGCTAGGGTAAGGTTTAAGTTTTATGGCGTTAGGGTTAAAATCACTGTCCAAAACCTTTGTAGGAACTCTTTTCGAACCTTCTGGAGTTAGTTAGACCAAAAAAAAAAAGAAAAATGAAAAAAAAATATTTGGGGTGTTCAGGCTTCCTAAAAGTAATACCCCGGTATTAGGTTATGGGGCTATGGTAAGGTTTAACGTTTTTGGCGTTAGGGTTAAAATCACTGTCCAAAACCTTTGTAGGAACTCTTTTCCAACCTTTTGGAGTTAGTTAGACCAAAAAATATTAAAAGGAAAAAAAAATATTTGGGGTTTTCGGGCGTCCTGTGGTAATACCCGGGTATTAGATTTAAAGGCCAGGGTAAGGTTTAAGCTTAATGGCGTTAGGGTTAAAATCACTGTCCAAAACCTTTGTAGGAACTCTTTTCCAACCTTTTGGAGTTACTTAGACCAAAAAAAAAACGAAAAATGAAAAAAAATATTTGGGGTGTTCAGGCTTCCTCAGAGTAATACCCGGGTATTAGGTTATGGGGCTATGGTAAGGTTTAAGGTTTTTGGCATCAGGGTTAAAATCACTGTCCAAAACCTTTGTAAGAACTCTTTCCCAACCTTTTGGAGTTGGCTACACCAACAAAAATGTAAAATGAAAAAAAAAATATATGGGGTGTTCGGGCTTCCTAAAAGTAATACCCGGGTATTAGGTTATGGGGCTATGGTAAGGTTTAAGGTTTTTGGCGTTAGGGTTAAAATCACTGTCCAAAACCTTTGTAGGAACTCTTTTCCAACCTTTTGGAGTTACTTAGACCAAAAAAATATGAAAAAAGAAAAAAAAATATTTGGGGTGTTCGGGCTTCCTGTGGTAATACCCGGGTATTAGATTTAAAGGCTAGGGTAAGGTTTAAGCTTAATGGCGTTAGGGTTAAAATCACTGTCCAAAACCTTTGTAGGAACTCTTTTCCAACCTTTTGGAGTTACTTAGACCAAAAAAAAAACGAAAAATGAAAAAAAAATATTTGGGGTGTTCAGGCTTCCTAAAAGTAATACCCGGGTATTAGGTTATGGGGCTATGGTAAGGTTTAAGGTTTATGGCATTAGGGTTAAAATCACTGTCCAAAACCTTTGTAGGAACTCTTTTCCAACCTTTTGGAGTTAGTTAGACCAAAAAAAAATGAAAAATGAAAAAAAAATGTTTGGGGTTTTTGTGCTTCCTGAATGTAATACCCAGGTATTAGGTTATGGGGCTAGGGTAAGGTTTAAGTTTTATGGCGTTAGGGTTAAAATCACTGTCCAAAACCTTTGTAGGAACTCTTTTCCAACCTTTTGGAGTTAGTTAGACCAAAAAAAAAAAGAAAAATGAAAAAAAAATATTTGGGGTGTTCAGGCTTCCTAAAAGTAATACCCCGGTATTAGGTTATGGGGCTATGGTAAGGTTTAAGGTTTTTGGCGTTAGGGTTAAAATCACTGTCCAAAACCTTTGTAGGAACTCTTTTCCAACCTTTTGGAGTTACTTAGACCAAAAAAATATTAAAAAAGGAAAAAAAAATATTTGGGGTTTTCGGGCTTCCTGTGGTAATACCCGGGTATTAGATTTAAAGGCCAGGGTAAGGTTTAAGCTTAATGGCGTTAGGGTTAAAATCACTGTCCAAAACCTTTGTAGGAACTCTTTTAGAACCTTTTGGAGTTAGTTAGACCAAAAAAAAAACGAAAAATGAAAAAAAAATATTTGGGGTGTTCAGGCTTCCTAAAAGTAATACCCGGGTATTAGGTTATGGGGCTATGGTAAGGTTTAAGGTTTTTGGCGTTAGGGTTAAAATCACTGTCCAAAACCTTTGTAGGAACTCTTTTCCAACCTTTTGGAGTTGGTTACACCAACAAAAATGTAAAATGAAAAAAAAATATATTGGGGTGTTCGGGCTTCCTAAAAGTAATACCCGGGTATTAGGTTATGGGGCTATGGTAAGGTTTAATGTTTTTGGCATTAGGGTTAAAATCACTGTCCAAAACCTTTGTAGGAACTCTTTTCCAACCTTTTGGAGTTGGTTACACCAACAAAAATGTAAAATGAAAAAAAAAATATTTGGGGTGTTCGGGCTTCCTGAAGGTAATACCCGGGTATTAGGTTATGGGGCTATGGTAAGGTTTAAGTTTTATGGCGTTAGGGTTAAAATCACTGTCCAAAACCTTTGTAGGAACTCTTTTCCAACCTTTTGGAGTTAGTTAGACCAAAAAAAAAAGAAAAATGAAAAAAAAATGTTTGGGGTTTTCGGGCTTCCTGAATGTAATACCCGGGTATTAGATTTTAAGGCTAGGGTAAGGTTTAAGTTTTATGGCGTTAGGGTTAAAATCACTGTCCAAAACCTTTGTAGGAACTCTTTTCCAATTTTTTGGAGCTAGTTAGACCAAAAAAAAAAAGAAAAATGAAAAAAAAATATATATGGGGTGTTCGGGCTTCCTAAAAGTAATACCCGGGTATTAGATTTTAAGGCTAGGGTAAGGTTTAAGTTTTATGGCGTTAGGGTTAAAATCACTGTCCAAAACATTTGTAGGAACTCTTTTCCAACTGTTACGGCTGTGTGTTTGTTTTGCATGTGTTTTCCTCTTTTGTCTCTCCATAGCTGCCCAGGTGAAATCACTTGAGTGACAATCAGACTCACCTGGTGCTGGGAGTCTAAAAGCCCAGAGCTGCCTGCAGTCTGGAGAGGCATTTGGTGGGGAACTGCTGCCCTGCTGCCTCTCATTTGTGTTGTGGGTGCTTTGTGTTTAGTTTGCAATTTTGTTGTTTTTTCACAATAAATCACGTGTTAAACTTTTGAAGGTGTTTTGGTTAATTTGATGGGTAAAAAGTTGAGGATTGTTGTTAGCCCCATAGGGCCGCCTAAGGGTGGGGTGTAACACCAACCTTTTGGAGTTGGTTACACCAACAAAAATGTAAAATGAAAAAAAAATATTAGGGGTGTTCGGGCTTCCTGAAGGTAATACCCGGGTATTAGGTTATGGGGCTATGGTAAGGTTTAATGTTTTTGGCATTAGGGTTAAAATCACTGTCCAAAACCTTTGTAGGAACTCTTTTCCAACCTTTTGGAGTTGGTTACACCAACAAAAATGTAAAATGAAAAAAAAAATATTTGGGGTGTTCGGGCTTCCTGAAGGTAATACCCGGGTATTAGGTTATGGGGCTATGGTAAGGTTTAAGCTTAATGGCATTAGGTTTAAAATCACTGTCCAAAACCTTTGTAGGAACTCTTTTCCAACCTTTTGGAGTTAGTTAGACCAAAAAAAAAAAAATGAAAAATGAAAAAAAAATATTTGGGGTGTTCAGGCTTCCTAAAAGTAATACCCGGGTATTAGGTTATGGGGCTATGGTAAGGTTTAAAGTTTTTGGCATTAGGTTTAAAATCACTGTCCAAAACCTTTGTAGGAACTCTTTCCCAACCTTTTGGAGTTAGTTAGACCAAAAAAAAATGAAAAATGAAAAAAAAATGTTTGGGGTTTTCGGGCTTCCTGAATGTAATACCCGGGTATTAGATTTTAAGGCTAGGGTTAGGTTTAAGTTTTTTGGCGTTAGGGTTAAAATCACTGTCCAAAACCTTTGTAGGAACTCTTTTCCAACCTTTTGGAGTTACTTAGACCAAAAAAATATGAAAAAAGAAAAAAAAATATTTGGGGTGTTCAGGCTTCCTCAAAGTAATACCCGGGTATTAGGTTATGGGGCTATGGTAAGGTTTAAGGTTTATGGCATTAGGGTTAAAATCACTGTCCAAAACCTTTGTAGGAACTCTTTTCGAACCTTTTGGAGTTAGTTAGACCAAAAAAAAAAGAAAAATGAAAAAAAAATATTTGGGGTGTTCAGGCTTCCTAAAAGTAATACCCGGGTATTAGGTTATGGGGCTATGGTAAGGTTTAAGGTTTTTGGCATTAGGGTTAAAATCACTGTCCAAAACCTTTGTAAGAACTCTTTTCCAACCTTTTGGAGTTGGCTACACCAACAAAAATGTAAAATGAAAAAAAATATATATTGGGTGTTCGGGCTTCCTAAAAGTAATACCCGGGTATTAGGTTATGGGGCTATGGTAAGGTTTAAGGTTTTTGGCGTTAGGGTTAAAATCACTGTCCAAAACCTTTGTAGGAACTCTTTTCCAACCTTTTGGAGTTACTTATACCAAAAAAATATGAAAAAAGAAAAAAATATATTTGGGGTGTTCGGGCTTCCTGTGGTAATACCCGGGTATTAGTTTAATAGGCTAGGGTAAGGTTTAAGCTTAATGGCGTTAGGGTTAAAATCACTGTCCAAAACCTTTGTAGGAACTCTTTTCCAACCTTTTGGAGTTACTTAGACCAAAAAAAAAAAGAAAAATGAAAAAAAAATATTTGGGGTGTTCAGGCTTCCTAAAAGTAATACCCGGGTATTAGGTTATGGGGCTATGGTAAGGTTTAAGGTTTTTGGCGTTAGGGTTAAAATCACTGTCCAAAACCTTTGTAGGAACTTTTTCCCAACCTTTTGGAGTTAGTTAGACCAAAAAAAAAAGGAAAAATGAAAAAAAAATGTTTGGGGTTTTTGTGCTTCCTGAATGTAATACCCAGGTATTAGGTTATGGGGCTAGGGTAAGGTTTAAGTTTTATGGCGTTAGGGTTAAAATCACTGTCCAAAACCTTTGTAGGAACTCTTTTCGAACCTTCTGGAGTTAGTTAGACCAAAAAAAAAAAGAAAAATGAAAAAAAAATATTTGGGGTGTTCAGGCTTCCTAAAAGTAATACCCCGGTATTAGGTTATGGGGCTATGGTAAGGTTTAAGGTTTTTGGCGTTAGGGTTAAAATCACTGTCCAAAACCTTTGTAGGAACTCTTTTCCAACCTTTTGGAGTTACTTAGACCAAAAAAATATTAAAAAAGGAAAAAAAAATATTTGGGGTTTTCGGGCTTCCTGTGGTAATACCCGGGTATTAGATTTAAAGGCCAGGGTAAGGTTTAAGCTTAATGGCGTTAGGGTTAAAATCACTGTCCAAAACCTTTGTAGGAACTCTTTTCCAACCTTTTGGAGTTACTTAGACCAAAAAAAAACGAAAAATGAAAAAAAATATTTGGGGTGTTCAGGCTTCCTCAAAGTAATACCCGGGTATTAGGTTATGGGGCTATGGTAAGGTTTAAGGTTTATGGCATTAGGGTTAAAATCACTGTCCAAAACCTTTGTAGGAACTCTTTTCCAACCTTTTGGAGTTAGTTAGACCAAAAAAAAAAGAAAAATGAAAAAAAAATATTTGGGGTGTTCAGGCTTCCTAAAAGTAATACCCGGGTATTAGGTTATGGGGCTATGGTAAGGTTTAAGGTTTTTGGCATTAGGGTTAAAATCACTGTCCAAAACCTTTGTAGGAACTCTTTTCCAACCTTTTGGAGTTGGCTACACCAACAAAAATGTAAAATGAAAAAAAAAATATATGGGGTGTTCGGGCTTCCTAAAAGTAATACCCGGGTATTAGGTTATGGGGCTATGGTAAGGTTTAAGGTTTTTGGCGTTAGGGTTAAAATCACTGTCCAAAACCTTTGTAGGAACTCTTTCCAACCTTTTGGAGTTACTTAGACCAAAAAAATATGAAAAAAGAAAAAAAATATTTGGGGTGTTCGGGCTTCCTGTGGTAATACCCGGGTATTAGATTTAAAGGCTATGGTAAGGTTTAAGGTTTTTGGCGTTAGGGTTAAAATCACTGTCCAAAACCTTTGTAGGAACTCTTTTCCAACCTTTTGGAGTTACTTAGACCAAAAAAAAAAACGAAAAATGAAAAAAAAATATTTGGGGTGTTCAGGCTTCCTAAAAGTAATACCCGGGTATTAGGTTATGGGGCTATGGTAAGGTTTAAGGTTTTTGGCATTAGGGTTAAAATCACTGTCCAAAACCTTTGTAGGAACTCTTTCCCAACCTTTTGGAGTTAGTTAGACCAAAAAAAAAAGGAAAAATGAAAAAAAAATGTTTGGGGTTTTTGTGCTTCCTGAATGTAATACCCAGGTATTAGGTTATGGAGCTAGGGTAAGGTTTAAGTTTTATGGCGTTAGGGTTAAAATCACTGTCCAAAACCTTTGTAGGAACTCTTTTCGAACCTTTTGGAGTTAGTTAGACCAAAAAAAAAAAGAAAAATGAAAAAAAAATATTTGGGGTGTTCAGGCTTCCTAAAAGTAATACCCGGTATTAGGTTATGGGGCTATGGTAAGGTTTAAGGTTTTTGGCGTTAGGGTTAAAATCACTGTCCAAAACCTTTGTAGGAACTCTTTTCCAACCTTTTGGAGTTACTTAGACCAAAAAAATATTAAAAAAGGAAAAAAAAAAATTTGGGGTTTTCGGGCTTCCTGTGGTAATACCCGGGTATTAGATTTAAAGGCTAGGGTAAGGTTTAAGCTTTTTGGCGTTAGGGTTAAAATCACTGTCCAAAACCTTTGTAGGAACTCTTTTAGAACCTTTTGGAGTGAGTTAGACCAAAAAAAAAACGAAAAATGAAAAAAAAATATTTGGGGTGTTCAGGCTTCCTAAAAGTAATACCCGGGTATTAGGTTATGGGGCTATGGTAAGGTTTAAGGTTTTTGGCATTAGGGTTAAAATCACTGTCCAAAACCTTTGTAAGAACTCTTTTCCAACCTTTTGGAGTTGGTTACACCAACAAAAATGTAAAATGAAAAAAAATATATATGGGGTGTTCGGGCTTCCTAAAAGTAATACCCGGGTATTAGGTTATGGGGCTATGGTAAGGTTTAAAGTTTTTGGCATTAGGTTTAAAATCACTGTCCAAAACCTTTGTAGGAACTCTTTCCCAACCTTTTGGAGTTAGTTAGACCAAAAAAAAATGAAAAATGAAAAAAAAATGTTTGGGGTTTTCGGGCTTCCTGAATGTAATACCCGGGTATTAGATTTTAAGGCTAGGGTAAGGTTTAAGTTTTATGGCGTTAGGGTTAAAATCACTGTCCAAAACCTTTGTAGGAACTCTTTTCCAATTTTTTGGAGCTAGTTAGACCAAAAAAAAAAGAAAAATGAAAAAAAAATATATATGGGGTGTTCGGGCTTCCTAAAAGTAATACCCGGGTATTAGATTTTAAGGCTAGGGTAAGGTTTAAGTTTTATGGCGTTAGGGTTAAAATCACTGTCCAAAACATTTGTAGGAACTCTTTTCCAACTGTTACGGCTGTGTGTTTGTTTTGCATGTGTTTTCCTCTTTTGTCTCTCCATAGCTGCCCAGGTGAAATCACTTGAGTGACAATCAGACTCACCTGGTGCTGGGAGTCTAAAAGCCCAGAGCTGCCTGCAGTCTGGAGAGGCATTTGGTGGGGAACTGCTGCCCTGCTGCCTCTCATTTGTGTTGTGGGTGCTTTGTGTTTAGTTTGCAATTTTGTTGTTTTTTCACAATAAATCACGTGTTAAACTTTTGAAGGTGTTTTGGTTAATTTGATGGGTAAAAAGTTGAGGATTGTTGTTAGCCCCATAGGGCCGCCTAAGGGTGGGGTGTAACACCAACCTTTTGGAGTTGGTTACACCAACAAAAATGTAAAATGAAAAAAAAAATATTAGGGGTGTTCGGGCTTCCTGAAGGTAATACCCGGGTATTAGGTTATGGGGCTATGGTAAGGTTTAATGTTTTTGGCATTAGGGTTAAAATCACTGTCCAAAACCTTTGTAGGAACTCTTTTCCAACCTTTTGGAGTTGGTTACACCAACAAAAATGTAAAATGAAAAAAAAAATATTTGGGGTGTTCGGGCTTCCTGAAGGTAATACCCGGGTATTAGGTTATGGGGCTATGGTAAGGTTTAAGCTTAATGGCATTAGGTTTAAAATCACTGTCCAAAACCTTTGTAGGAACTCTTTTCCAACCTTTTGGAGTTAGTTAGACCAAAAAAAAATGAAAAATGAAAAAAAATTTTTTGGGGTGTTCAGGCTTCCTAAAAGTAATACCCGGGTATTAGGTTATGGGGCTATGGTAAGGTTTAAAGTTTTTGGCATTAGGTTTAAAATCACTGTCCAAAACCTTTGTAGGAACTCTTTCCCAACCTTTTGGAGTTAGTTAGACCAAAAAAAATGAAAAATGAAAAAAATGTTTGGGGTTTTCGGGCTTCCTGAATGTAATACCCGGGTATTAGATTTTAAGGCTAGGGTTAGGTTTAAGTTTTTTGGCGTTAGGGTTAAAATCACTGTCCAAAACCTTTGTAGGAACTCTTTTCCAACCTTTTGGAGTTACTTAGACCAAAAAAATATGAAAAAAGAAAAAAAAATATTTGGGGTGTTCAGGCTTCCTCAAAGTAATACCCGGGTATTAGGTTATGGGGCTATGGTAAGGTTTAAGGTTTATGGCATTAGGGTTAAAATCACTGTCCAAAACCTTTGTAGGAACTCTTTTCGAACCTTTTGGAGTTAGTTAGACCAAAAAAAAAAAGAAAAATGAAAAAAAAATATTTGGGGTGTTCAGGCTTCCTAAAAGTAATACCCGGGTATTAGGTTATGGGGCTATGGTAAGGTTTAAGGTTTTTGGCATTAGGGTTAAAATCACTGTCCAAAACCTTTGTAAGAACTCTTTTCCAACCTTTTGGAGTTGGCTACACCAACAAAAATGTAAAATGAAAAAAAATATATATTGGGTGTTCGGGCTTCCTAAAAGTAATACCCGGGTATTAGGTTATGGGGCTATGGTAAGGTTTAAGGTTTTTGGCGTTAGGGTTAAAATCACTGTCCAAAACCTTTGTAGGAACTCTTTTCCAACCTTTTGGAGTTACTTATACCAAAAAAATATGAAAAAAGAAAAAAATATATTTGGGGTGTTCGGGCTTCCTGTGGTAATACCCGGGTATTAGATTTAAAGGCTAGGGTAAGGTTTAAGCTTAATGGCGTTAGGGTTAAAATCACTGTCCAAAACCTTTGTAGGAACTCTTTTCCAACCTTTTGGAGTTACTTAGACCAAAAAAAAAAAGAAAAATGAAAAAAAAATATTTGGGGTGTTCAGGCTTCCTAAAAGTAATACCCGGGTATTAGGTTATGGGGCTATGGTAAGGTTTAAGGTTTATGGCATTAGGGTTAAAATCACTGTCCAAAACCTTTGTAGGAACTCTTTCCCAACCTTTTGGAGTTAGTTAGACCAAAAAAAAATGAAAAATGAAAAAAAAATGTTTGGGGTTTTCGGGCTTCCTGAATGTAATACCCAGGTATTAGGTTATGGGGCTAGGGTAAGGTTTAAGTTTTTTGGCGTTAGGGTTAAAATCACTGTCCAAAACCTTTGTAGGAACTCTTTTCGAACCTTCTGGAGTTAGTTAGACCAAAAAAAAAAAAGAAAAATGAAAAAAAAATATTTGGGGTGTTCAGGCTTCCTAAAAGTAATACCCCGGTATTAGGTTATGGGGCTATGGTAAGGTTTAAAGTTTTTGGCATTAGGTTTAAAATCACCGTCCAAAACCTTTGTAGGAACTCTTTCCCAACCTTTTGGAGTTAGTTAGACCAAAAAAAAATGAAAAATGAAAAAAAAATGTTTGGGGTTTTCGGGCTTCCTGAATGTAATACCCGGGTATTAGATTTTAAGGCTAGGGTAAGGTTTAAGTTTTATGGCGTTAGGGTTAAAATCACTGTCCAAAACCTTTGTAGGAACTCTTTTCCAAACTTTTGGAGTTACTTAGACCAAAAAAAAATGAAAAATGAAAAAAAAGATAATTGGGGTGTTCAGGCTTCCTAAAAGTAATACCCCGGTATTAGGTTATGGGGCTATGGTAAGGTTTAAGGTTTTTGGCGTTAGGGTTAAAATCACTGTCCAAAACCTTTGTAGGAACTCTTTTCCAAACTTTTGGAGTTACTTAGACCAAAAAAATATGAAAAAGGAAAAAAAAATATTTGGGGTTTTCGGGCTTCCTGTGGTAATACCCGGGTATTAGATTTAAAGGCTATGGTAAGGTTTAAGCTTAATGGCGTTAGGGTTAAAATCACTGTCCAAAACCTTTGTAGGAACTCTTTTCCAAACTTTTGGAGTTACTTAGACCAAAAATAAAATGAAAAAAGAAAAAAAAATTATTGGGGGTTTTCGGGCTCCCTGAAAGTAATACCCGGGTATTAGGTTTTGGGACTAGGGAAAAGTTTAAGGTTTTTGGCGTTAGGGTTAAAATCACTGTCCAAAACCTTTGTAGGAACTCTTTTCTAACCTTTTGGAGTTACTTAGACCAAAAAAAAATGAAAAATGAAAAAAAAAATATTTGGGGTGTTCAGGCTTCCTAAAAGTAATACCCCGGTATTAGGTTTTGGGGCAATGGTAAGGTTTAAGGTTTTTGGCGTTAGGGTTAAAATCACTGTCCAAAACCTTTGTAGGAACTCTTTCCCAACCTTTTGGAATTAGTTAGACCAAAAAAAAAAAATGAAAAATGAAAAAAAAATATTTGGGGTGTTCAGGCTTCCTAAAAGTAATACCCGGGTATTAGGTTATGGGGCTATGGTAAGGTTTAAAGTTTTTGGCATTAGGGTTAAAATCACTGTCCAAAACCTTTGTAGGAACTCTTTCCCAACCTTTTGGAGTTTGTTAGACCAAAAAAAATTGTAAAATGAAAAAAAAATGTTTGGGGTTTTCGGGATTCCTGAAGGTAATACCCGGGTATTAGGTTATGGGGCTATGGTATGGTTTAAGGTTTTTGGCGTTAGGTCTAAAATCACTGTCCAAAACCTTTGTAGGAACTCTTTTCCAACCTTTTGGAGTTACTTAAACCAAAAAAATATGAAAAAGGAAAAAAAAATATTTGGGGTTTTCGGGCTTCCTGTGGTAATACCCGGGTATTAGATTTAAAGACTATGGTAAGGTTTAAGCTTTATGGCGTTAGGGTTAAAATCACTGTCCAAAACCTTTGTAGGAACTCTTTTCCAACCTTTTGGAGTTACTTAGACCAAAAAATAAATGAAAAAAAAAAAAAAATTATTGGGGGTTTTCGGGCTTCCTGAAAGTAATACCCGGGTATTAGGTTTTGGGACTAGGGAAAAGTTTAAGGTTTTTGGCGTTAGGGTTAAAATAACTGTCCAAAACCTTTGTAGGAACTCTTTTCTAACCTTTTGGAGTTAGTTAGACCAAAAAAAAATTAGAAATGAAAAAAAAATATTTGGGGTGTTCAGGCTTCCTAAAAGTAATACCCCAGTATTAGGTTTTGGGGCTATGGTAAGGTTTAAGGTTTTTGGCGTTAGGGTTAAAATCACTGTCCAAAACCTTTGTAGGAACTCTTTTCCAACCTTTTGGAGTTACTTAGACCAAAAAATATGAAAAAGGAAAAAAAAATATTTGGGGTTTTCGGGCTTCCTGAAGGTAATACCCAGGTATTTGGTTATGGGGCTATGGTAAGGTTTAAGGTTTTTGGCATTAGGTTTAAAACCACTGTCCAAAACCTTTGTAGGAACTCTTTCCCAACCTTTTGGAGTTTGTTAGACCAAAAAAAAATGTAAAATGAAAAAAAAATGTTTGGGGTTTTCGGGCTTCCTGAAGGTAATACCCGGGTATTAGGTTATGGGGCTATGGTATGGTTTAAGGTTTTTGGCATTAGGGTTAAAATCACTGTCCAAAACCTTTGTAGGAACTCTTTTCGAACCTTTTGGAGTTGGTTACACCAACAAAAATGTAAAATGAAAAAAAAAATATTTGGGGTGTTCGGGCTTCCTGAAGGTAATACCTGGGTATTAGATTTTAAGGCCAAGGTAAGGTTTAAGTTTTTTGGCATTAGGGTTAAAATTACTGTCCAAAACCTTTGTAGGAACTCTTTTCCAACCTTTTGGAGTTAGTTAGACCAAAAAAAATAGAAAAATGAAAAAAAAATATTTGGGGTGTTCAGGCTTCCTTAAAGTAATACCTGGGTATTAGGTTATGGGGCTATGGTAAGGTTTAAGGTTTTTGGCGTTAGGGTTAAAATCACTGTCCAAAACCTTTGTAGGAACTCTTTTCCAACCTTTTGGAGTTGGTTACACCAAAAAAAAATGTAAAATGAAAAAAAAAAACATATTTGGGGTTTTCGGGCTTCCTGAAGGTAATACCCTGGTATTAGGTTATGGGGCTATGGTAAGGTTTAAGGTTTTGGCGTTAGGTTTAAAATCACTGTCCAAAATCTTTGTAGGAACTCTTTTCCAACCTTTTGGAGTTAGTAAGACCAAAAAAAAATGAAAAATGAAAAAAGAATATTTGGGGTTTCCGGGCTTCCTAAAAGTAATACCAGGGTATTAGGTTATGGGGCTATGGTAAGGTTTAAGGTTTTTGGCGTTAGGGTTAAAATCACTGTCCAAAACCTTTGTAGGAACTCTTTTCCAACCTTTTGGAGTTGGTTACACCAAAAAAAAATGTAAAATGAAAAAAAAAAACATATTTGGGGTTTTCGGGCTTCCTAAAGGTAATACCCTGGTATTAGGTTATGGGGCTATGGTAAGGTTTAAGGTTTTGGCGTTAGGTTTAAAATCACTGTCCAAAATCTTTGTAGGAACTCTTTTCCAACCTTTTGGAGTTAGTAAGACCAAAAAAAAAATGAAAAATGAAAAAAGAATATTTGGGGTTTCCGGGCTTCCTAAAAGTAATACCCGGGTATTAGGTTATGGGGCTATGGTAAGGTTTAAGGTTTTTGGCGTTAGGGTTAAAATCACTGTCCAAAACCTTTGTAGGAACTCTTTTCCAACCTTTTGGAGTTAATTAGACCAAAAAATATGAAAAAGGAAAAAAAAATATTTGGGGTTTTCGGGCTTCCTGAAGGTAATACCCGGGTATTAGGTTTTGGGGCTAGGGTATGGTTTAAGTTTTCTGGCGTTAGGGTTAAAATCACTGTCCAAAACCTTTGTAGGAACTCTTTTCGAACCTTTTGGAGTTGGTTACACCAACAAAAATGTAAAATGAAAAAAAAAATATTTGGGGTGTTCGGGCTTCCTGAAGGTAATACCTGGGTATTAGGTTATGGGGCTATGGTAAGGTTTAAGGTTTTTGGCATTAGGTTTAAAATCACTGTCCAAAACCTTTGTAGGAACTCTTTTCCTACCTTTTGGAGTTAGTTAGACCAAAAAAAATGAAAAATGAAAAAAAAACATTTGGGGTGTTCAGGCTTCCTAAAAGTAATACCCGGGTATTAGGTTATGGGGCTATGGTAAGGTTTAACGTTTTGGCGTTAGGTTTAAAATCACTGTCCAAAACCTTTGTAGGAACTCTTTCCAACCTTTTGGATTTAGTTAGACCAAAAAAAGAATGAAAAATGAAAAAAAAAATATTTGGGGTTTCCGGGCTTCCTTAATTTAATACCCGGGTATTAGATTTTAAGGCCAGGGTAAGGTTTAAATTTTTTGGCATTAGGGTTAAAATCAATGTCCAAAACCTTTGTAGGAACTCTTTTCCAACCTTTGAGAGCAAGTTAGACCAAAACAAAAAGAAAAATAAAAAATATATATTTGGGGTGTTCGGGCTTCCTGAAGGTAATACCCGGGTATTAGGTTATGGGGCTAGGGTAAGGTTTAAGGTTTTTGGCGTTAGGGTTAAAATCACTGTCCAAAACCTTTGTAGGAACTCTTTTCCAACCTTCGGGAATTAGTTAGACAAAAAAAAAAAAGATAGATGAAAAAAAGAATATTTGGGGTGTTCGGGCTTCCTGAAGGAAATACCCGGGTATTAGGTTTTGGGGCTAGGGTTAGGTTTAAGGTTTTTGGCGTTAGGGTTAAAATAACTGTCCAATATTTTTTAAGGAACATGTTTCAGACCTTTGGGAGTTAGTTAGACAAAAAACAAAGAAAAAGAAAAAAAAATATTTGGGGTGTTCGGGTTTCCTGAAGGTAATACCCGGGTATTAGGTTATGGGGCGAGGGAAAGGTTTAAGGTTTTTGGCGTTTGAGTTAAAATCACTGTCAAAAACCTTTTTAGGAACATGGTTCAGACTTTTTGGAGTTGGTTACACCAAAAAAAAATGTAAAATGAAAAGAAAATATTTGGGGTGTTCAAGCTTCCTGAAGGTAATACCCGGGTATTAGGTTATGGGGCTATAGGAAGGTTTAAGGTTTTTGGCGTTAGGGTTAAAATCACTGTCCAAAACCTTTGTAGGAACTATTTTCCAACCTTTTGGAGTTAGTTAGACCAAAAAAAAATGAAAAATGAAAAAAAATATTTGGGGTTTTCGGGCTTCCTGAAGGTAATACCCGGGTATTAGTTTTTGGGGCTAGGGTTAGGTTTAAGGTTTTTGGCGTTAGTGTTAAAATCACTGTCCAATATTTTTTAAGGAACATCTTTCAGACCTCTGGGAGTTAGTTAGACAAAAAAAAAAGAAAAAAAAAATTTGGGGTGTTCGGGTTTCCTGAAGGTAATATTAGGTAGGTATTAGGTTATGGGGCTAGGGTAAGGTTTAAGGTTTTTGGCGTTAGAGTTAAAATCAGTGTCCAAAACCTTTTTAGGAACATGTTTAAGACCTTTTGGAGTTGGTTACACAAAAAAAAATGTAAAATGAAAAAAAAAATATTTGGGGTGTTCGGGCTTCCTGAAGGTAATACCCGGGTATTAGGTTTTGGGGCTAGGGTAAGGTTTAAGGTTTTTGGCGTAAGGGTTAAAATCACTGTCCAAAACCTTTTTAGGAACATGTTTCAGACCTTTTGGAGTTGGTTACACCAAAAAAAATGTAAAATGAAAAAAAAATTTGGGGGGGTGTTCGGGCTTCCTGAAGGTAATACTTTGTATTACCTTTGTAAGAAGTCTTTTCCAACCTTTTGGAGTTAGTCTTTTGTAGGAAGTCTTGTCCAAACTTTTGGAGGTAGTTAGACAAAAAAAAAAAAGATAAATGAAAAAAAAGTATTTGGGGTGTTTGGGCTTCCTGAAGGTAATACCCGGGTATTAGGTTATGGGGCTAGGGTAAGGTTTAAGGTTTTTGGCGTAAGGGTTAAAATCACTGTCCAAAACCTTATTAGGAACATGTTTCAGACCTTTTGGAGTTGGTTACACCAAAAAAATGTAAAATGAAAAAAAAATTTTTTGGGGTGTTCGGGCTTCCTGAAGGTAATACTTTGTATTACCTTTGTAGGAAGTCTTTTCCAACCTTTTGGAGTTAGTTAGACAAAAAAAAAAAGATAAATGAAAAAAAAATATTTGGGGTGTTCAAGCTTCCTGAAGGTAATACCCGGGTATTAGGTTATGGGGCTATAGTAAGGTTTAAGGTTTTTGGCGTTAGGGTTAAAATCACTGTCCAAAACCTTTGTAGGAACTATTTTCCAACCTTTTGGAGTTAGTTAGACCAAAAAAAAAGGAAAAATGAAAAAAAATATTTGGGGTGTTCGGGCTTCCTGAAGGTAATACCAAGGTATTAGGTTATGGGGCTAGGGTAAGGTTTAAGGCTTTTGGCATTAGGGTTAAAATCACTGTCCAAAACCTTTTTAGGAACATGTTTTAGACCTTTTGGAGTTGGTTACACCAAAAAAAATGTAAAATGAAAAAGAATTTTTTTTTGGTGTTCGGGCTTCCTGAAGGTAATACTAGGTTTCTGGGCTAGGGTAATGTTTTAGGTTTTTGGCGTTAGGGTTGAAATCAATGTCCAAAACCTTTGTAGGAACTCTTTTCCAACCTTTGAGAGCAAGTTAGACCAAAACAAAAAGAAAAATAAAAAATATATATTTGGGGTGTTCGGGCTTCCTGAAGGTAATACCCGGGTATTAGGTTATGGGGCTAGGGAAAGGTTTAAGGTTTTTCGGCGTGAGGGTAAAAATCACTGTCCAAAACCTTTGTAGGAACTCTTTTCCAACCTTTGGGAAAAAGTTAGACAAAAAAAATAAGATAAATGAAAAAAAAATATTTGGGGTGTTCGGGCTTCCTGAAGGTAATACCCGGGTATTAGGTTTTGGGGCTAGGGTTAGGTTTAAGGTTTTTGGCATTAGGGTTAAAATAACTGTCCAATATTTTTTAAGGAACATGTTTCAGACCTTTGGGAGTTAGTTAGACCAAAAAAAACAAAATGAAAAAAATATATTTGGGGTCTTCGGGCTTCCTGAAGGAAATACCCAGGTATTAGGTTATGGGGCTAGGGTAAGGTTTAAGGTTTTTGGCGTTAGAGTTAAAATCAGTGTCCAAAACCGTTTTAGGAACATGTTTAAGACCTTTTGGAGTTGGTTACACCAAAAAAAAATGTAAAATGAAAAAAAAAATATTTGGGGTGTTCGGGCTTCCTAAAGGTAATACCCGGGTATTAGGTTTTGGGGCTAGGGTAAGGTTTAAGGTTTTTGGTGTTAGGGTTAAAATCACTGTCCAAAACCTTTGTAGGAACTCTTTTCCAACCTTTTGGAGTTAGTTAGACCAAAAAAAAATGAAAAAAAAAAAAAAATATTTGGGGTGTTCGGGCTTCCTGAAGGTAATACCCGGGTATTAGGTTATGGGGCTAGGGTAAGGTTTAAGGTTTTTGGCGTAAGGGTTAAAATCACCGTCCAAAACCTTTGTAGGAATGCTTTTCCGACCTTTTGGAGTTAGTTAGACCAAAAAAAAAAAAAATGAAAAAAATATATTTGGGGTCTTCGGGCTTCCTGAAGGAAATACCCAGGTATTAGGTTATGGGGCTAGGGTAAGGTTTAAGGTTTTTGGCGTTAGGGTTAAAATCACTGTCCAAAACCTTTTTAGGAACATGTTTAAGACCTTTTGGAGTTGGTTACACCAAAAAAAAATGTAAAATGAAAAAAAAAATATTTGGGGTGTTCGGGCTTCCTAAAGGTAATACCCGGGTATTAGGTTTTGGGGCTAGGGTAAGGTTTAAGGTTTTTGGTGTTAGGGTTAAAATCACTGTCCAAAACCTTTGTAGGAACTCTTTTCCAACCTTTTGGAGTTAGTTTGACCAAAAAAAAAGAAAAAAGAAAAAAATATATTTGGGGTCTTCGGGCTTCCTGAAGGAAATACTTAGGTATTAGGTTATGGGGCTAGGGTAAGGTTTAAGGTTTTTGGCGTTAGGGTTAAAATCAATGTCCAAAACCTTTTTAGGAACATGTTTCAGACCTTTTGGAGTAGGTTACACCAAAAAAGAAATGTAAAATGAAAAAAAAATATTTGGGGTGTTCAAGCTTCCTGAAGGTAATACCCGGGTATTAGGTTATGGGGCTATAGTAAGGTTTAAGGTTTTTGGCGTTAGGGTTAAAATCACTGTCCAAAACCTTTGTAGGAACTATTTTCCAACCTTTTGGAGTTAGTTAGACCAAAAAAAAAGGAAAAATGAAAAAAAATATTTGGGGTGTTCGGGCTTCCTGAAGGTAATACCAAGGTATTAGGTTATGGGGCTAGGGTAAGGTTTAAGGCTTTTGGCGTTAGGGTTAAAATCACTGTCCAAAACCTTTTTAGGAACATGTTTCAGACCTTTTGGAGTTGGTTACACCAAAAAAAATGTAAAATGAAAAAGATTTTTTTTTGGGTGTTCGGGCTTCCTGAAGGTAATACTAGGTTTCTGGGCTAGGGTAATGTTTTAGGTTTTTGGCGTTAGGGTTAAAATCACTGTCCAAAACCTTTGTAGGAACTCTTTTCCAACCTTTGAGAGCAAGTTAGACCAAAACAAAAAGAAAAATAAAAAAAATATTTGGGGTGTTCGGGCTTCCTGAAGGTAATACCCGGGTATTAGGTTATGGGGCTAGGGAAAGGTTTAAGGTTTTTCGGCGTGAGGGTAAAAATCACTGTCCAAAACCTTTGTAGGAACTCTTTTCCAACCTTTGGGAAAAAGTTAGACAAAAAAAATAAGATAAATGAAAAAAAAATATTTGGGGTGTTCGGGCTTCCTGAAGGTAATACCCGGGTATTAGGTTTTGGGGCTAGGGTTAGGTTTAAGGTTTTTGGCATTAGGGTTAAAATAACTGTCCAATATTTTTTAAGGAACATGTTTCAGACCTTTGGGAGTTAGTTAGACAAAAAAAAAAGAAAAAGAAAAAAATATATATTTGGGGTGTTCGGGTTTCCTGAAGGTAATACCCGGGTATTAGGTTATGGGGCTAGGGTAAGGTTTAAGGTTTTTGGCGTTAGAGTTAAAATCAGTGTCCAAAACCTTTTTAGGAACATGTTTAAGACCTTTTAGAGTTGGTTACACCAAAAAAAAATGTAAAATGAAAAAAAAATATTTGGGGTGTTCGGGCTTCCTGAAGGTAATACCCGGGTATTAGGTTTTGGGGCTAGGGTAAGGTTTAAGGTTTTTGGTGTTAGGGTTAAAATCACTGTCCAAAACCTTTGTAGGAACTCTTTTCCAACCTTTTGGAGTTAGTTAGACCAAAAAAAAAGAAAAAAGAAAAAAATATATTTGGGGTCTTCGGGCTTCCTGAAGGAAATACCCAGGTATTAGGTTATGGGGCTAGGGTAAGGTTTAAGGTTTTTGGCGTTAGGGTTAAAATCACTGTCCAAAACCTTTGTAGGAACATGTTTCAGACCTTTTGGAGTAGGTTACACCAAAAAAAAAATGTAAAATGAAAAAAAAATATTTGGGGTGTTCAAGCTTCCTGAAGGTAATACCCAGGTATTAGGTTATGGGGCTAGGGTAAGGTTTAAGGTTTTTGGCGTTAGAGTTAAAATCACTGTCCAAAACCTTTTTAGGAACATGTTAAAGACCTTTTGGAGTTGGTTACACCAAAAAAAATGTAAAATGAAAAAAAATATATTTGGGGTGTTCGGGCTTCCTGAAGGTAATACCCGGGTATTAGGTTTTGGGGCTAGGGTAAGGTTTAAGGTTTTTGGTGTTAGGGTTAAAATCACTGTCCAAAACCTTTGTAGGAACTCTTTTCCAACCTTTTGGAGTTAGTTAGACCAAAAAAAAAGAAAAAAGAAAAAAATATATTTGGGGTCTTCGGGCTTCCTGAAGGAAATACCCAGGTATTAGGTTATGGGGCTAGGGTAAGGTTTAAGGTTTTTGGCGTTAGGGTTAAAATCAATGTCCAAAACCTTTTTAGGAACATGTTTCAGACCTTTTGGAGTAGGTTACACCAAAAAAGAAATGTAAAATGAAAAAAAATTATTTGGGGTGTTCAAGCTTCCTGAAGGTAATACCCGGGTATTAGGTTATGGGGCTATAGTAAGGTTTAAGGTTTTTGGCGTTAGGGTTAAAATCACTGTCCAAAACCTTTGTAGGAACTATTTTCCAACCTTTTGGAGTTAGTTAGACCAAAAAAAAAGAAAAATGAAAAAAAAATATTTGGGGTGTTCGGGCTTCCTGAAGGTAATACCCGGGTATTAGGTTATGGGGCTAGGGTAAGGTTTAAGGTTTTGGCGTTAGGGTTTAAATCACTGTCCAAAACCTTTGTAGGAACTCTTTTCCAACCTTTTGGAGTTGGTTACACCAAAAAAAATGTAAAATGAAAAAGATTTTTTTTTGGGTGTTCGGGCTTCCTGAAGGTAATACTAGGTTTCTGGGCTAGGGTAATGTTTTAGGTTTTTGGCGTTAGGGTTAAAATCAATGTCCAAAACCTTTGTAGTAACTCTTTTCCAACCTTTGAGAGCAAGTTAGACCAAAACAAAAAGAAAAATAAAAAATATATATTTGGGGTGTTCGGGCTTCCTGAAGGTAATACCCGGGTATTAGGTTATGGGGCTAGGGAAAGGTTTAAGGTTTTTCGGCGTGAGGGTAAAAATCACTGTCCAAAACCTTTGTAGGAACTCTTTTCCAACCTTTGGGAAAAAGTTAGACAAAAAAATAAGATAAATGAAAAAAAAATATTTGGGGTGTTCGGGCTTCCTGAAGGTAATACCCGGGTATTAGGTTTTGGGGCTAGGGTTAGGTTTAAGGTTTTTGGCGTTAGGGTTAAAATAACTGTCCAATATTTTTTAAGGAACATGTTTCAGACCTTTGGGAGTTAGTTAGACAAAAAAAAAAGAAAAAGAAAAAAATATATATTTGGGGTGTTAGGGCCTCCTGAAGGTAATACCCGGGTATTAGGTTATGGGGCTAGGGTAAGGTTTAAGGTTTTTGGCGTTAGAGTTAAAATCAGTGTCCAAAACCTTTTTAGGAACATGTTTAAGACCTTTTAGAGTTGGTTACACCAAAAAAAAATGTAAAATGAAAAAAAAATATTTGGGGTGTTCGGGCTTACTGAAGGTAATACCCGGGTATTAGGGTTTTGGGGCTAGGGTAAGGTTTAAGGTTTTTGGTGTTAGGGTTAAAATCACTGTCCAAAACCTTTGTAGGAACTCTTTTCCAACCTTTTGGAGTTAGTTAGACCAAAAAAAAAGAAAAATGAAAAAATATATTTGGGGTCTTCGGGCTTCCTGAAGGAAATACCCAGGTATTAGGTTATGGGGCTAGGGTAAGGTTTAAGGTTTTTGGCGTTAGGGTTAAAATCAATGTCCAAAACCTTTTTAGGAACATGTTTCAGACCTTTTGGAGTAGGTTACACCAAAAAAAAATGTAAAATGAAAAAAAAATATTTGGGGTGTTCAAGCTTCCTGAAGGTAATACCCAGGTATTAGGTTATGGGGCTAGGGTAAGGTTTAAGGTTTTTGGCGTTAGAGTTAAAATCAGTGTCCAAAACCTTTTTAGGAACATGTTTAAAGCCGCATTCAGACCAGCCGCGACCTGACGCGACTTGGCGACGGCTCTTAATGCAAAGTGTATGGCCAGCCGCGACCTGACGCGACTTGGCGACCGCCGGCTTCCTGTGACGCGACCATGCGCGACCGGGCGACCGGTCGCCAAGGCGCGTCCCCGAGGTCGCGTCGCCGAGGTCGCAGGACGCCAAGTCGCGTCGCTCCCAAAGTTCAAATATTTGAACTTTGGGAGCGACTTCGTGCCGCGACAGCCAATCAGGGCTCTGCTGACGTCAACAAACCGGCGAAACAAGGAAGAGGAGAAGAAGAATCACAATGGAGGAGCAGTTAATCACATCCGTTAGCTACCACCCAGCTAACTGCCCCTGCTTGCTAGGCTACATGTTTCAACGTATGTGTGTGTGTGTCTTTGCAGTGGATGTGTGCCACAAGCGGTGGAAGGGGCTTAGAGACGTTTATATGAGGGACAGACATATAGACAGGCGCTCCGAAGCTGAGATGGAGCGCCTGTATTTCGTGTCCAGGCGGGAGATGCTGCTTCCCACCTGGGCGAGGAGGTCCTCGAACTGCGCCGTCGACACACGGAAATACCGCTGGAAGCGGCCGTCGTCCAGGCGGAGTTCCTGGAGCAAGCGGTGAAATTCACCCAGCTCCGTCCTCCTCCGGATGGTTTCATGCACCCATAAACGCCGGCGGCGTCTACTGCGGATGTACAGATATGCGGCAGCACTGATGAACTGAAAACTGAGCTAGTGACATGGATGACGTCACCGGCGACCAGCCGCGACCTGCGACTGCAACTTTGGACCCGGTGTGAACACACCAGAGCACCACGCGACGCGACCTGACCGACCAACGCGACGCGACGCGACCTGGTCGCGTTTGGTCTGAACGCGGCTTTAGACCTTTTGGAGTTGGTTACACCAAAAAAAAATGTAAAATGAAAAAAAATATATTTGGGGTGTTCGGGCTTCCTAAAGGTAATACCCGGGTATTAGGTTTTGGGGCTAGGGTAAGGTCTAAGGTTTTTGGTGTTAGGGTTAAAATCACTGTCCAAAACCTTTGTAGGAACTCTTTTCCAACCTTTTGGAGTTAGTTAGACCAAAAAAAAAGAAAAAAGAAAAAAATATATTTGGGGTCTTCGGGCTTCCTGAAGGAAATACCCAGGTATTAGGTTATGGGGCTAGGGTAAGGTTTAAGGTTTTTGGCGTTAGGGTTAAAATAACTGTCCAATATTTTTTAAGGAACATGTTTCAGACCTTTGGGAGTTAGTTAGACAAAAAAAAAAGAAAAAGAAAAAAATATATATTTGGGGTGTTCGGGCCTCCTGAAGGTAATACCCGGGTATTAGGTTATGGGGCTAGGGTAAGGTTTAAGGTTTTTGGCGTTAGGGTTAAAATCAGTGTCCAAAACCTTTTTAGGAACATGTTTAAGACCTTTTAGAGTTGGTTACACCAAAAAAAAAAGTAAAATGAAAAAAAAATATTTGGGGTGTTCGGGCTTCCTGAAGGTAATACCCGGGTATTAGGTTTTGGGGCTAGGGTAAGGTTTAAGGTTTTTGGTGTTAGGGTTAAAATCACTGTCCAAAACCTTTGTAGGAACTCTTTTCCAACCTTTTGGAGTTAGTTAGACCAAAAAAAGAAAAAAGAAAAAAATATATTTGGGGTCTTCGGGCTTCCTGAAGGAAATACCCAGGTATTAGGTTATGGGGCTAGGGTAAGGTTTAAGGTTTTTGGCGTTGGGGTTAAAATCAATGTCCAAAACCTTTTTAGGAACATGTTTCAGACCTTTTGGAGTAGGTTACACCAAAAAAAAAATGTAAAATGAAAAAAAAATATTTGGGGTGTTCAAGCTTCCTGAAGGTAATACCCAGGTATTAGGTTATGGGGCTAGGGTAAGGTTTAAGGTTTTTGGCGTTAGAGTTAAAATCAGTGTCCAAAACCTTTTTAGGAACATGTTTAAGACCTTTTAGAGTTGGTTACACCAAAAAAAAAATGTAAAATGAAAAAAAATATATTTGGGGTGTTCGGGCTTCCTAAAGGTAATACCCGGGTATTAGGTTATGGGGCTAGGGTAAGGTCTAAGGTTTTTGGTGTTAGGGTTAAAATCACTGTCCAAAACCTTTGTAGGAACTCTTTTCCAACCTTTTGGAGTTAGTTAGACCAAAAAAAAAGAAAAAAGAAAAAAATATATTTGGGGTCTTCGGGCTTCCTGAAGGAAATACCCAGGTATTAGGTTATGGGGCTAGGGTAAGGTTTAAGGTTTTTGGCGTTAGGGTTAAAATCAATGTCCAAAACCTTTTTAGGAACATGTTTCAGACCTTTTGGAGTAGGTTACACCAAAAAAGAAATGTAAAATGAAAAAAAAATATTTGGGGTGTTCAAGCTTCCTGAAGGTAATACCCGGGTATTAGGTTATGGGGCTATAGTAAGGTTTAAGGTTTTTGGCGTTAGGGTTAAAATCACTGTCCAAAACCTTTGTAGGAACTATTTTCCAACCTTTTGGAGTTAGTTAGACCAAAAAAAAACGAAAAATGAAAAAAAATATTTGGGGTGTTCGGGCTTCCTGAAGGTAATACCCGGGTATTAGGTTCTGGGGCTAGGGTAAGGTTTAAGGTTTTTGGCGTAAGGGTTAAAATCACTGTCCAAAACCTTTTTAGGAACATGTTTCAGACCTTTTGGAGTTGGTTGCACCAAAAAAAATGTAAAATGAAAAAAAAATTTATTTTGGGTGTTCGGGCTTCCTGAAGGTAATCCTAGGTGTCTGGGCTAGGGTAATGTTTAAGGTTTTTGGCGTTAGGGTTAAAATCAATGTCCAAAACCTTTGTAGGAACTCTTTTCCAACCTTTGAGAGCAAGTTAGACCAAAACAAATAGAAAAATAAAAAATATATATTTGGGGTGTTCGGGCTTCCTGAAGGTAATACCCGGGTATTAGGTTATGGGGCTAGGGTAAGGTTTAAGGTTTTTCGGCGTGAGGGTTAAAATCACTGTCCAAAACCTATGTAGGAACTCTTTTCCAACCTTTGAGAGAGAGTTAGACCAAAAAAAAAAAAGGAAAAAAATATATTTGGGGTCTTCGTGCTTCCTGAACGAAATAACCGGGTATGAGGTTATGGGGCTAGGGTAAGGTTTAAGGTTTTTGGCGTTAGGGTTAAAATCACTGTCCAAAACCTTTGTAGGAACTCTTTTCCAACCTTTTGGAGTTAGATAGAGCAAAAACTAACGAAAAATAAAAAAAAAATATTTGGGGTTTTTGGGCTTCTGAAGGTAATACCCGGGTATTAGGTTATGGGGCTATAGTAAGGTTTAAGGTTTTTGGCGTGAGGGTTAAAATCACTGTCCAAAACCTTTGTAGGACCTCTTTTCCAACCTTTTGGTGTTAGTTAGACCAAAAAAAAAACGAACAATGAAAAAAAAATATTTGGGGTTTTTGGGCTTCCTGAAGGTAATACCCGGGTATTAGGTTATGGGGCTAGGGTAAGGTTTGAGGTTTTTGGCGTTAGGTTTAAAATCACTGTCCAAAACCTTTTTAGGAACATGTTTAAGACCTTTTGGAGTTGGTTACACCAAAAAAAATGTAAAAAGAAAAAATATATGTTTGGGTTCATATTTGGGTTTTTATTTCAAGTTCAACAATTGCAACAACCTCAAGTTCAAAAACCGCCACAAACTCAAGTTCAAAAACACCACAACCTCAAGTTAAAAAAACACCACAAACTCAAGTTCAAACACGACACAAACTGAAGTTCAACAAACACAAAACCTCGAGTTCAAAAACACCACAACCTCAAGTTCAAAAACACCACAAACTCAAGTTCAAAAAAACCATAAACTCAAGTTCAAACACGACACAAACTCAAGTTTGAAAACACCACAAACTCAAGTTCAAACACGTCACAAACTCAAATTCAACAATTGCCACAACCTCAAGTTCAAAAACACCAAAAACTCAAGTTCAAAAACACCACAACCTCAAGTTCAAAAAACACCACAAACTGAAGTTCAAACACGACACAAACTGAAGTTCAACAAACACACAAACTCAAGTTCAACCAATACCCAATTATCAAGTTCAACAATTGCCAAAACCTCAAGTTCAGAAACAACAAACTCAAGTTAAAAAAACACACAAACTCAAGTTCAACAAAAACCACAAACTCAAGTTCAACCAACACCTGATTCTCAAGTTTTTACAATTTCCACAACCTCAAGTTCAAAAACAACACAAACTCAAGTACAAAAAAAAACATAAACTAAAGTTCAATCAAAGCACAAAATCAAGTTCAACAAAAACCACAAACTCAAGTTCAACCAACACCTGATTCTCAAGTTTTAACAATTTTCACAACCTCAAGTTCAAAAACCACCACAAACTCAAGTTCAAACACGCCACAATCTCAAGTTCAAACACGCCACAAACTCAAGTTCAAAAACCTCCACAAACTCAATTCAAAAATACCACGACCTCAAGTTCAAACACAACACAAGCTGGAGTTCAACATATACCACAAACTCAAGTTCAACAAATGGCAAAGTTTTAAGTTCAACCAACACCCAAATCTCAAGTTTAACAATTGCAACAACCTCAAGTTCAAACACGCCACGAACTCAAATCAAAAACACCACAAACTCAAGTTCAAACACGACACAAACTGAAGTTCAACAAACACAAAAACTCGAGTTCAAAAACACCACAACCTGAAGTTCAAACGACACAAACTCAAATTCCACAAACACCACGAACTCAAGTTCAAAAACACCACAAACTCAAGTTCAAAAACACCACAAAATCAAGTTCAAACACGTCACAAACTCAAGTTCAACAATTGCCACAACCTCAAGTTCAAAAACCACCACAAACTCAAGTTCAAAAAAACACACAACCTCAAGTTCAAAAAACACCACAAACTCAAGTTCAAACACGACACAAACTGAAGTTCAACAAACACAAAGACTCGAGTTCAAAAACACCACAAACTGAAGTTCAAACATGACACAAACTCAAGTTAAAAAAAAACACAAACTCAAGTTCAACCAATACCCAATTCTCAAGTTTAACAATTTCCACAACCTCAAGTTCAAAAACACCACAAACTCGAGTTCAAAAACACCACAAAATCATGTTTAAACACGTCACAAACTCACGTTTAACAAATGCCACAAACTCAAGTTTAACAAATGCCACAAACTCAAGTTCAACAATTGCCACCAACTAAAGTTCACTTAAAACAACAGACTCAAGTTCAACAATTGACAAAACCTCCAGTTCAGAAAAAACAAACTCAAGTAAAAAAAACACACAAACTCAAGTTAAACAAACACGCAAACTCAAGTTTAAAAACACCAAAACCTCAAGCTCAAAAACGACACAAACTCAAGTTCAACAAAAACCACAAACTCAAGCTAAAAAAACCCCACAAACTCAAGTTCAACCAACACCTGATTCTCAAGTTTTAACAATTTTCACAACCTCAAGTTCAAAAACACCACAAACTCAAGTTCAAACACGCCACAATCTCAAGCTCAAAAACACCACAACCTCAAGCTCAAAAAACACCACAAACTCAAGTTCAAACACTACACAAACTCAAGTTCAAAAACAACACAAACTCAAGTTCAACCAATACCCAATTTTTGGGTTTAACAATTTCCATAACCTCAAGATCAACAAACACACAAACTCAAGTTCAAAAATACCACAAACTCAAGTTCAAACACGACACAAACTCAAGTTCAACAAACACACAAACTCAAGTTCAACCAACACCTGATTCTCAAGTTTAACAATTTCCACAACCTCAAGTTCAAAAACAACAGAAACCCAAGTTGAACCAACACCCGATTCTCAAGTTTAACAATTTCCACAAACTCAAGTTCAAAAACACCACAAACCCAAGTTCAAAAACGACACAAACTAAAGTTAAACAAACAGCTCAAACTCAAGTTCAACAAATGTCAAAGTTTTAAGTTCAACCAACACCAAAATCTCAATTTAACAATTGCAACAACCTAAAGTTCAAAAACGCCACAAACTCAAGTTCAAACATGACACAAACTCAAGTTCAACGAACACCAAAAACTCAAGTTAAAAAACACCACAAACTCAAGTTCGAACACGTCACAAACTCAAGTCCAACAAACACCACAAACTCAAGTTCAACCAACACCCAATCCTCAAGTTTAACAATTTCCACAAACTGAAGTTCAAACACGCCACGAACTCAAGTCAAAAACACCACAACCTCAAGTTCAAAAAACACCACAAACTCAAGTTCAACCACCACCCAATCCTCAAGTTTAACAATTTCCACAAACTGAAGTTCAAAAAACCACAACCTCAAGTTAAAAAAAAACACAAACTCAAGTTCAAACACACCAAAAACTTAAGTTCAACAATCACAAATACTCGAGCTCAAAAACACCACAACCTACAGTTCAAACACGACACAAACTCAAGTTCAACAAAAACCACAAACTCAAGTTCAACAAATGACAAACTTTTAAGTTCAACCAACACCCAAATCTCAATTTTAGAAATTGCCACAACCTAAAGTTCAAAAGCAACACAAACTCAAGTTCAAAAACACCACAACCTCAGGCTCAAAAAACACCACAAACCGAAGTTCAAACACGACACAAACTCAAGTTCAACAAACACACAAACTCAAGTTCAACCAATACCAAATTTTCAAGTTCAACAATTTCTAACAACCTCAAGTTCAAAAACACCACAAACTCAAGTTCAAAAAAACCATAAACTCAAGTTCAAACACGACACAAACTCAAGTTTGAAAACACCACAAACTCAAGTTCAAACAAGACACAAACTTAAGTTCAACAAACACACAAACTCAAGTTCAACAAATGCCAAACTTTTAAGTTGAACCAACACCCAAATCTCAAGTTCAACAAATGTCAAACTCAAGTTAAACAATTGCCACAAACTCAAGTTCAGAAACAACAAACTCAAGTTAAAAAAAACACAAACTCAAGTTTAACAAACACGCAAACTCAAATTCAAAAACACCACAAACTCGAGCTCAAACATGACACAAACTCAAGTTAAAAAAAAACAAATACTCAAGTTCAATCAACACCTGATTCTCAAGTTTAACAAGTTCCACAACCTCAAGTTGAAAAATAACACAAACTCAAGTACAAAACACCACAAACTCAAGTTCAAAAACACCACAACCTCAAGTTCAAAAAACACCACAAACTGAAGTTAAAACACAACACAATCTCTTGTTCAACAAACACACAAACTCAAGTTCAACCAATACCCAATTCTCATGTTTCACAATTTCCAACACCTCAAGTTCAAAAACACCACAAACTCAAGTTCAAAAAAACCACAAACTCAAGTTCAAAGACACCAAAAACTAAAGTTCAAAAAACACACAAACTCAAGTTTGAAAACACCACAAACTCAAGTTCAAACAAGACACAAACTTAAGTTCAACAAACACACAAACTCAAGTTCAACAATTGCCACAACCTAGAGTTCAACAAACGCCACAAACTCAAGTTCAAAAACACAACACACCCTCAAGTTCAAAAACACCAAAAACTCAAGTTCAAAAACACCACAAACAAAGTGCAAACACGAAACAAACTCAAGTTCAAAAACACCACAAACTCAAGTTCAACAATTGCCACCAATTAAAGTTCACCAAAAACCACAGACTCAAGTTCAACAATTGCCACAAACTCAAGTTCAAAAAAATTAAGTTCAAAAAACACACAAATTCAAGTTCAACAAACACGAACTCAAGTTCAAACACGACACAAACTCAAGTTAAACCAACAAACAAATCTCAAGTTTAACAATTGCCACAACCTAGAGTTCAACAAACGCCACAACTCAAGTTCAACAAACACACAAACTCAAGTTCAAAAAGACCACAAACTCAAGTTCAAACATGACACAAACGCAAGTTCAACAAACACACAAACTCAAATTCAACCGATACCCAATTCTCAAGTTTAACAAATTCCACACCCTCAAGTTCAAAAACACCAAAAACTCAAGTTCAAAAACACGACACAAACTCAAGTTCAAACACGACACAAACTCAAGTTCAAACATAACACAAACTCAAGTTCAACAAACACACAAACTCAAGTTAAACAAACAAGAATCCTCAAGTTCAAAAACACCACAACCTCAAGATCAAACATGAAACAAACTCAAGTTCAATCAACACCCAAATCTCAAGTTTACGTTTTTCCACAACCTCAAGTTGAAAAATAACACAAACTCAAGTACAAAACACCACAAACTCAAGTTCAAAAACACCACAACCTCAAGTTCAAAAAACACCACAAACTGAAGTTAAAACACAACACAATCTCTTGTTCAACAAACACACAAACTCAAGTTCAACCAATACCCAATTCTCATCTTTCACAATTTCCAACACCTCAAGTTCAAAAAGACCACAAACTCAAGTTCAAAAACACCACAAACTCAAGTTCAACCACGATTCAAACTCAAGTTTGAAAACACCACAAACTCAAGTTCAAACAAGACACAAACTTAAGTTCAACAAACTCAAGTTCAACAAATGCCAAACTTTTAAGTTGAACCAACACCCAAATCTCAAGTTCAACAATTGCCACAACCTAGAGTTCAACAAACGCCACAAACTCAAGTTCAAACACGAAACAAACTCAAGTTCAAAAACACCACAAACTCAAGTTCAAAAACACAACACACCCTCAAGTTCAAAAACACCAAAAACTCAAGTTCAAAAACACCACAAACAAAGTGCAAACACGAAACAAACTCAAGTTCAAAAACACCACAAACTCAAGTTCAACAATTGCCACCAATTAAAGTTCACCAAAAACCACAGACTCAAGTTCAACAATTGCCACAAACTCAAGTTAAAAAAAATTAAGTTCAAAAAACACACAAATTCAAGTTCAACAAACAACACGAACTCAAGTTCAAACACGACACAAACTCAAGTTAAACCAACAAACAAATCTCAAGTTTAACAATTGCCACAACCTAGAGTTCAACAAACGCCACAACTCAAGTTCAACAAACACACAAACTCAAGTTCAAAAAGACCACAAACTCAAGTTCAAACATGACACAAACTCAAGTTCAACAAACACACAAACTCAAATTCAACCGATACCCAATTCTCAAGTTTAACAAATTCCACACCCTCAAGTTCAAAAACACCAAAAACTCAAGTTCAAAAACACGACACAAACTCAAGTTCATACACGACACAAACTCAAGTTCAAACATAACACAAAGTCAAGTTCAACAAACACACAAACTCAAGTTAAACAAACAAGAATCCTCAAGTTAAAAAACACCACAACCTCAAGATCAAACATGAAACAAACTCAAGTTCAATCAACACCCAAATCTCAAGTTTACGTTTTTCCACAACCTCAAGTTGAAAAATAACACAAACTCAAGTACAAAACACCACAAACTCAAGTTCAAAAACACCACAACCTCAAGTTCAAAAAACACCACAAACTGAAGTTAAAACACAACACAATCTCTTGTTCAACAAACACACAAACTCAAGTTCAACCAATACCCAATTCTCATGTTTCACAATTTCCAACACCTCAAGTTCAAAAAGACCACAAACTCAAGTTCAAAAACACCACAAACTCAAGTTCAAACAAGACACAAACTTAAGTTCAACAAACACACAAACTCAAGTTCAACAAATGCCAAACTTTTAAGTTGAACCAACACCCAAATCTCAAGTTCAACAATTGCCACAACCTAGAGTTCAACAAATGCCACAAACTCAAGTTCAAACACGAAACAAACTCAAGTTCAAAAACACCACAACCTCAAGTTCAAAAACACAACACACCCTCAATTTCGAAAACACCACAAACTCAAGTTCAACCACGATTCAAACTCAAGTTCAAAAACACCACAAACTCAAGTTCAAAGACACCAAAAACTAAAGTTCAAAAAACACACAAACTCAAGTTTGAAAACACCACAAACTCAAGTTCAAACAAGACACAAACTTAAGTTCAACAAACACCCAAATCTCAAGTTCAACAATTGCCACAACCTAGAGTTCAACAAACGCCACAAACTCAAGTTCAAACACGAAACAAACTCAAGTTCAAAAACACCACAAACTCAAGTTCAAAAACACAACACACCCTCAAGTTCAAAAACACCAAAAACTCAAGTTCAAAAACACCACAAAGTTCAAACACAAAACAAACTCAAGTTCAAAAACACCACAAACTCAAGTTCAACAATTGCCACCAATTAAAGTTCACCAAAAACCACAGACTCAAGTTCAACAATTGCCACAAACTCAAGTTCAAAAAAATTAAGTTCAAAAAACACACAAATTCAAGTTCAACAAACAACACGAACTCAAGTTCAAACACGACACAAACTCAAGTTCAACCAACAACCAAATCTCAAGTTTAACAATTGCCACAACCTAGAGTTCAACAAACGCCACAACTCAAGGTAAACAAACACACAAACTCAAGTTCAAAAAGACCACAAACTCAAGTTCAAACAAGACACAAACTCAAGTTCAACAAACACACAAACTCAAATTCAACCAATACCCAATTCTCAAGTTTAAAAAATTCCACACCCTCAAGTACAAAAACACCAAAAACTCAAGTTCAAAAACACAACACAAACTCAAGTTCATACACGACACAAACTCAAGTTCAAACATAACACAAACTCAAGTTCAACAAACACACAAACTCAAGTTCAAACACGACACAAACTCAAGTTCAAAAACAACAGAAACTCAAGTTCAACAAACGCCAAAAACTCAAGTTCTAACACGGACAAACTCAAGTTCAAAAACACCACAAACTCAAGTTCAACCAAAACCAGATTCTCAACTTTAAAAAATTTCACACCCTCAAGTTAAAAATAAAGACAACTTCAAGTTCAAAAACACCACAAACTCAGGTTCAAACACTACACAAACCCAATTTAAAAACACAAAATAGTTCAACCAATACCCAATTCTTAAGTTTAACAATTTCCTCAACCTCAAGTTCAAGACCACCAAAAACTCAAGTTCAAAAACAGCACAAACTCAAGTTAAACAAACACACAAACTCAAGTTCATAAACACCACAAACTCAAGTTCAAACACACCACAAACTCAAGTTCAAAAAACAAACAAACTCAAGTTCAACCAACACCCGATTATAAGGTTTAACAATTTCCACAACCTCAAGTTCAAAAAAACAGAAACTCAAGTTAAAAAAAACACGAAAACTCAAGTTCACCAAACATGCAAATTCAAGTTAAAAAAACCCATAAACTCAAGTTCAAACACAACACAAAATCAAGATCAAAAACACAAAAAAATCAGTTCAACCAATACCCAATTCTCAAGTTTAACAATTTCCACAACCTCAAGTTCAAAAACACCACAAACTCAAGTTCAAAAACACCATAAACTCAAGTTCAAACACGACACAAACTCAAGTTCAAACACGACACAAACGCTAGTTAAAAAACACAAAAAAATCAAGTTCAACCAATACCCAATTCTCAAGTTTAACAATTTCCACAACCTCAAGTTCAAAAACACAAAAAACTCAAGTTCAACCAATAACCAATTCTCAAGTTTAACAACTTCCACAAGCTCAATTTCAAAACCACCAAAAATTCAAGTTCAAAAACACCAAAAACTCAAGTTCAAACATGAAACAAACTCAAGTTAAAAAAAAACACAAACTCAAGTTCAAACACAACACAAACTCAAGTTCAACAAGCACACAAACTCAAGTTCAAACACGACACAAATTCAAGTTCAAAAACAACAGAAACTCAAGTTCAAAAACACCACAAACTCAAGTTCAAACATAACACAAAATCATGTTAAACAAACACACAAACTCAAGTTAAAACACGACACAAACTCAAGTTCAAAAACACCACAAACTCAAGTTCAAACACAAAATCAAGTTCAAAAACACCACAAACTCAAGTTCAAAAACACCACAAACTCAAGTTCAGACACGACACAAACTCAAGTTCAACAAATGCCACAAACTCAAGTTCAAACATGACACAAACTCAAGTTCAACAAACACACAAACTCAAATTCAACCAATACCCAATTCTCAAGTTTAACAAATTCCACACCCTCAAGTTCAAGTTCAAACATAACACAAACTCAAGTTCAACAAACACACAAACTCAAGTTCAAACACGACACAAACTCAAGTTCAAAAACAACAGAAACTCAAGTTCAACAAACGCCAAAAACTCAAGTTCTAACACGGACAAACTCAAGTTCAAAAACACCACAAACTCAAGTTCAACCAAAACCAGATTCTCAACTTTAAAAAATTTCACACCCTCAAGTTAAAAATAAACACAACTTCAAGTTCAAAAACACCACAAACTCAGGTTCAAACACTACACAAACCCAATTTAAAAACACAAAAAAGTTCAACCAATACCCAATTCTTAAGTTTAACAATTTCCTCAACCTCAAGTTCAAGACCACCAAAAACTCAAGTTCAAAAACAGCACAAACTCAAGTTAAACAAACACACAAACTCAAGTTCATAAACACCACAAACTCAAGTTCAAACACACCACAAACTCAAGTTCAAAAAACAAACAAACTCAAGTTCAACCAACACCCGATTATAAGGTTTAACAATTTCCACAACCTCAAGTTCAAAAAAACAGAAACTCAAGTTAAAAAAAACACGAAAACTCAAGTTCACCAAACATGCAAATTCAAGTTAAAAAAACCCATAAACTCAAGTTCAAACACAACACAAAATCAAGATCAAAAACACAAAAAAATCAGTTCAACCAATACCCAATTCTCAAGTTTAACAATTTCCACAACCTCAAGTTCAAAAACACCACAAACTCAAGTTCAAAAACACCATAAACTCAAGTTCAAACACGACACAAACTCAAGTTCAAACACGACACAAACGCTAGTTAAAAAACACAAAAAAATCAAGTTCAACCAATACCCAATTCTCAAGTTTAACAATTTCCACAACCTCAAGTTCAAAAACACAAAAAACTCAAGTTCAACCAATACCCAATTCTCAAGTTTAACAACTTCCACAAGCTCAATTTCAAAACCACCAAAAATTCAAGTTCAAAAACACCAAAAACTCAAGTTCAAACATGAAACAAACTCAAGTTAAAAAAAAACACAAACTCAAGTTCAAACACAACACAAACTCAAGTTCAACAAGCACACAAACTCAAGTTCAAACACGACACAAATTCAAGTTCAAAAACAACAGAAACTCAAGTTCAAAAACACCACAAACTCAAGTTCAAACATAACACAAAATCATGTTAAACAAACACACAAACTCAAGTTAAAACACAACACAAACTCAAGTTCAAAAACACCACAAACTCAAGTTCAAACACAAAATCAAGTTCAAAAACACCACAAACTCAAGTTCAAAAACACCACAAACTCAAGTTCAGACACGACACAAACTCAAGTTCAACAAACGCCACAAACTCAAGTTCAAACATGACACAAACTCAAGTTCAACAAACACACAAACTCAAATTCAACCAATACCCAATTCTCAAGTTTAACAAATTCCACACCCTCAAGTTCAAGTTCAAACATAACACAAACTCAAGTTCAACAAACACACAAACTCAAGTTCAAACACGACACAAACTCAAGTTCAAAAACAACAGAAACTCAAGTTCAACAAACGCCAAAAACTCAAGTTCTAACACGGACAAACTCAAGTTCAAAAACACCACAAACTCAAGTTCAACCAAAACCAGATTCTCAACTTTAAAAAATTTCACACCCTCAAGTTAAAAATAAACACAACTTCAAGTTCAAAAACACCACAAACTCAGGTTCAAACACTACACAAACCCAATTTAAAAACACAAAAAAGTTCAACCAATACCCAATTCTTAAGTTTAACAATTTCCTCAACCTCAAGTTCAAGACCACCAAAAACTCAAGTTCAAAAACAGCACAAACTCAAGTTAAACAAACACACAAACTCAAGTTCATAAACACCACAAACTCAAGTTCAAACACACCACAAACTCAAGTTCAAAAAACAAACAAACTCAAGTTCAACCAACACCCGATTATAAGGTTTAACAATTTCCACAACCTCAAGTTCAAAAAAACAGAAACTCAAGTTAAAAAAAACACGAAAACTCAAGTTCACCAAACATGCAAATTCAAGTTAAAAAAACCCATAAACTCAAGTTCAAACACAACACAAAATCAAGATCAAAAACACAAAAAAATCAGTTCAACCAATACCCAATTCTCAAGTTTAACAATTTCCACAACCTCAAGTTCAAAAACACCACAAACTCAAGTTCAAAAACACCATAAACTCAAGTTCAAACACGACACAAACTCAAGTTCAAACACGACACAAACGCTAGTTAAAAAACACAAAAAAATCAAGTTCAACCAATACCCAATTCTCAAGTTTAACAATTTCCACAACCTCAAGTTCAAAAACACAAAAAACTCAAGTTCAACCAATACCCAATTCTCAAGTTTAACAACTTCCACAAGCTCAATTTCAAAACCACCAAAAATTCAAGTTCAAAAACACCAAAAACTCAAGTTCAAACATGAAACAAACTCAAGTTAAAAAAAAACACAAACTCAAGTTCAAACACAACACAAACTCAAGTTCAACAAGCACACAAACTCAAGATCAAAAACACCAAAAACTTAAGTTCCAACACAACACAAACTCAAGTTCAACAAACACTAACTCAAGTTCATCCAACACCTGATTCTCAAGTTAAACAATTTCCACAAACTCAAGTTCAGAAAAACCCCACAAACTCAAGTTCAACCAATACCAAATTGTCAAGTTAAACAAATTCCACACCCTCAAGTTTAAACACGACACAAACTCAAGTCCAAAAACACCACAACCTCAAGTTCAAACACACAAACTCAAGTTCAAAAACACCCCAAGCTAAAGTTCAAACATGACACAAACTCAAGTTCAACAAACACACAAACTCAAGTTCAACCAACACCTGATTCAAAGGTTTAACAATTTCCAATACCTCAAGTTCAAAAACAACAGAAACTCAAGTTCAAAAACACCACAAACTCAAGTTCAAACACGACACAAACTCTAGTTAAAAAACACAAAAAAATCAAGTTCAACCAATACCCAATTCTCAAGTTTAACAATTTCCACAACCTCAAGTTCAAAAACACCAAAAATCAAGTTCAAAAAGACCACAAACTCAAGTTCAAACACGACACACAAACTCAAGTTCAACAATTGCCAAGAATTCAAGTTCAAACACATAACAAATTCAAGTTCAAAATCACCACAAACTCAAGTTCAACCAATACCCAATTCTCAAGTTTAACAATTTCCACAACCTCAAGTTCGAAAACATCACAAACTCAAGTTCAACAAACATCACAAACTCAAGTTCAACCAATACCCAATTCTAAAGTTTAACAAATTCCACACCCTCAAGTTAAAAAAACCACAAACTCAAGTTCAAAAACCCCATTTACTCAAGTTCAAACACAACACAAACTCAATTTCAACAAACGCCACAAACTCAAGTTCAAACAAGAAACAAACTCAAGTAAAAAAAAACCAGAAACTCAAGTTCAAACACAACACAAACTCAAGTTCAACAAACACCACAAACGAAATTTCCAACATGATACAAACTCAAGTTCAACAAACACACTAACTGAAGTCCATCCAACACCTGATTCTCAAGTTTCAAAATTTCAACAAACTCAAGTTCAAAAACACCACAAAATCAAGTTCAAACACAACACAAAATCAAGTTAAACAAACACACAAACTCAAGTTAAAACACGACACAAACTCAAGTTCAAAAACACCACAAACTCAAGTTCAAACACAAACTCAAGTTCAACAAACACACAAAATCAAGTTAAAAAACACCCCAAACTCAAGTTCAAACTTGACACAAACTCAAGTTCAACAAACACACAAACTCAAGTTAAACCAACACCCAATTCTCAAGTTTAACAAATTCCACACCCTCAAGTTCAAAAACACCAGAAAACTCAAGTTCAAAAACACCACAAACTCAAGTTCAGACACGACACAAACTCAAGTTCAACAAACGCCACAAACTCAAGTTCAAACACGACACAAATTCAAGTTCAAAAACAACAGAAACTCAAGTTCAACAAACGCCACAAACTCAAGTTCAAACACAACACAAACTCAAGTTAAACAAACACACAAACTCAAGTTGAAACACGACACAAACTCAAGTTCAAAAACACCACAAACTCAAGTTCAAACACAAACTCAAGTTCAACAAACACACAAAATCAAGTTAAAAAACACCACAAACTCAAGTTCAAACATGACACAAACTCAAGTTCAACAAACACACAAACTCAAGTTAAACCAACACCTGATTCAAAGGTTTAACAATTTCCAATACCTCAAGTTCAAAAACAACAGAAACTCAAGTTCAAAAACACCACAAACTCAAGTTCAAACACGACACAAACTCTAGTTAAAAAACACAAAAAAATCAAGTTCAACCAATACCCAATTCTCAAGTTTAACAATTTCCACAACCTCAAGTTCAAAAACACCAAAAACTCAAGTTCAAAAACACCACAAACTCAAGTTCAAACTCGACACAAACTCAAGTTCAACAACAACACAAACTCAAGTTCAACCAATACCCAATTCTCAAGATTAATAAATTCCACACCCTCAAGTTCAAAAACACCAAGAACTCAAGTTCAACAAACGCCACAAACTCAAGTTCAAACACGACACAAATTCAATTTCAAAAACAACAGAAACTCAAGTTCAAAAACCCCACAAACTCAAGTTCAAACATAACACAAAATCATGTTAAACAAACACAAAAACTCAAGTTAAAACACGACACAAACTCAAGTTCAAAAACACCACAAACTCAAGTTCAAGCTCGACACAAACTCAAGTTCAACAACAACACAAACTCAAGTTCAACCAATACCCAATTCTCAAGATTAATAAATTCCACACCCTCAAGTTCAAAAACACCAAGAACTCAAGTTCAACAAACGCCACAAAATCAAGTTCAAACACGACACAAATTCAAGTTCAAAAACAACAGAAACTCAAGTTCAAAAACCCCACAAACTCAAGTTCAAACATAACACAAAATCATGTTAAACAAACACACAAACTCAAGTTCAGACACGACACAAACTCAAGTTCAACAAACGCCACAAACTCAAGTTGAAACATGACACAAACTCAAGTTCAACAAACACACAAACTCAAATTCAACCAATACCCAATTCTCAAGTTTAACAAATTCCACACCCTCAAGTTCAAAAACACCAAAAACTCAAGTTCAAAAACACCACAAACTCAAGTTCAAACTCGACACAAACTCAAGTTCAACAACAACACAAACTCAAGTTCAACCAATACCCAATTCTCAAGTTTAACAAATTCCACAACCTCAAGTTCAAAAACACCAAAAACTCAAGTTCAAAAACACCACAAACTCAAGTTCAAACTCGACACAAACTCAAGTTCAACAACAACACAAACTCAAGTTCAACAAACGCCATAAAACTCAAGTTCAAACACGACACAAATTCAAGTTCAAAAACATCACAAACTCAAGTTCAAACACAAACTCAAGTTCAACAAACACACAAAATCAAGTTAAAAAACACCACAAAACTCAAGTTCAAACATGACACAAACTCAAGTTCAACAAACACACAAACTCAAGTTAAACCAACACCTGATTCAAAGGTTTAACAATTTCCAATACCTCAAGTTCAAAAACAACAGAAACTCAAGTTCAAAAACACCACAAACTCAAGTTCAAACACGACACAAACTCAAGTTCAACAACAACACAAACTCAAGTTCAACCAATACCCAATTCTCAAGATTAATAATTTCCACAACCTCAAGTTCAAAAACACCAAAAACTCAAGTTCAAAAACACCACAAACTCAAGTTCAAACTCGACACAAACTCAAGTTCAACAACAACACAAACTCAAGTTCAACCAATACCCAATTCTCAAGATTAATAAATTCCACACCCTCAAGTTCAAAAACACCAAGAACTCAAGTTCAACAAACGCCACAAACTCAAGTTCAAACACGACACAAATTCAAGTTCAAAAACAACAGAAACTCAAGTTCAAAAACCCCACAAACTCAAGTTCAAACATAACACAAAATCATGTTAAACAAACACACAAACTCAAGTTTAAACACGACACAAACTCAAGTTCAAAAACACCACAAACTCAAGTTCAAAAACACCACAAACTCAAGTTCAAAAACACCACAAACTCAAGTTCAGACACGACACAAACTCAAGTTCAACAAACGCCACAAACTCAAGTTCAAACACGACACAAATTCAAGTTCAAAAACAACAGAAACTCAAGTTCAACAAACGCCACAAACTCAAGTTCAAACACGAAACAAACTCAAGTTCAAAAACACCACAAACTCAAGTTCAGACACGACACAAACTCAAGTTCAACAAACGCCACAAACTCAAGTTCAAACACGAAACAAACTCAAGTTCAACCAAAACCCAATTCTCAAGTTTAACAAATTCCACACCCTCAAGTTAAAAAAAACCACAACTTCAAGTTAAAAAAACAACAGATACTCAAGTTAAAAAAACACACAAACTCAAGGTCACCAAACACACCCTCAAGTTCAAAAACACCAAGAACTCAAGTTCAACAAACGCCACAAACTCAAGTTCAAACAAGAAACAAACTCAAGTTAAATAAAACCACAAACTCAAGTTCAAAAACACAAACTCAAGTTCAACAAACACCACAAACTAAATTTCCAACATGATACAAACTCAAGTTCAAAAAAAGCAGAAAACTCAAGTTCAAAAACACCACAAACTCAAGATCAGACACGACACAAACTCAAGTTCAACAAACGCCACAAACTCAAGTTCAAACACGACACAAATTCAAGTTCAAAAACAACAGAAACTCAAGTTCAACCAATACCCAATTCTCAAGTTTAACAATTTCCACAACCTCAAGTTCAAAAACATCACAAACTCAAGTTCAACAAACATCACAAACTCAAGTTCAACCAATACCCAATTCTAAAGTTTAACAAATTCCACACCCTCAAGTTAAAAAAAACCACAAACTCAAGTTCAAAAACCCCACATTTACTCAAGTTCAAACACAACACAAACTCAATTTCAACAAACGCCACAAACTCAAGTTCAAACAAGAAACAAACTCAAGTTCAATAAAACCACAAACTCAAGTTCAAAAACACAAACTCAAGTTCAACAAACACCACAAACTAAATTTCCAACATGATACAAACTCAAGTTCAAAAAAAGCAGAAAACTCAAGTTCAAAAACACCACAAACTCAAGATCAGACACGACACAAACTCAAGTTCAACAAACGCCACAAACTCAAGTTCAAACACGACACAAATTCAAGTTCAAAAACAACAGAAACTCAAGTTCAACAAACGCCACAAACTGAAGTTCAAACACAACACAAACTCAAGTTAAACAAACACACAAACTCAAGTTAAAACACGACAAAAACTCAAGTTCAAAAACACCACAAACTCAAGTTCAAACACAAATTCAAGGTCACCAAACACGCACCTCAAGTTCAAAAACACCACAAATTCAAGTTCAGACACGACACAAACTCAAGTTCAACAAACGCCACAAACTCAAGTTCAAACACGACACAAATTCAAGTTAAAAAACAACAGAAACTAAAGTTCAACAAACGCCACAAACTCAAGTTCAAAAACACCACAAACTCAAGTTCAGAAACACCACAAACTCAAGTTCAAAAACGCCACAAACTCAAGTTCTAACACGTCACAAACTCAAGTTCAAAATCACCACAAACTCAAGATCGAACACAACACAAACTCAAGTTCAACAAACACACAAACTCAAGTTCAAAAACACCACAAACTCAAGTTCAAACACAACACAAACTCAAGTTCAAACACAAAATCAAGTTGAAAAACACCACAAACTCAAGTTCAAAAACACCACAAACTCAAGTTCAGACACGATACAAACTCAAGTTCAACAAACGCCACAAACTCAAGTTCAAACACGACACAAATTCAAGTTCAAAAACAACAGAAACTCAAGTTCAACAAACGCCACAAACTCAAGTTCAAACACGAAACAAACTCAAGTTCAAAAACACCACAAACTCAAGTTCAACCAAAACCCAATTCTCAAGTTTAACAAATTCCACACCCTCAAGTTAAAAAAAACCACAACTTCAAGTTCAAAAAACAACAGATACTCAAGTTCAAAAAACACACAAACTCAAGGTCACCAAACACGCACCTCAAGTTCAAAAACACCACAAACTCAGGTTCAAACACTACACAAACCTAATTTAAAAAACACAAAAACGCAAGTACAACCAAAACCCAATTCTCAAGTTTAACAAATTCCACACCCTCAAGTTCAAAAACACCACAAACTCAAGTTCAACAAATGCCACAAACTCAAGTTCAAACACTACACAAATTCAAGTTCAAAAACAACAGAAACTTAAGTTCAACAAACGCCACAAACTCAAGTTCAAAAACACCACAAACTCAAGTTCAGAAACACCACAAACTCAAGTTCAAAAACGCCACAAACTCAAGTCCAAACACGTCACAAACTCAAGTTCAAAATCACCACAAACTCAAGATCGAACACAACACAAACTCAAGTTCAACAAACACACAAACTCAAGTTCAAAAACACCACAAACTCAAGTTCAAACACAACACAAACTCAAGTTCAACCAACACACAAACCCAAATTCAAAAACATCACAAACTCAAGTTAAAACACGAACCAAACTCACGTTCAAACACGACACAAACTCAAGTTCAACCAATACCCAATTCTCAAGATTAACAATTTCAACAACCTCAAGTTCAAAAACACCACAAACTCAAGTTCAACAAACACACAAACTCAAATTCAACCAACACCTGATTCTCAAGTTTAACAATTTCCACAACCTCAAGTTCCAAAAAAAAGAAACCTAATTTCAAAAAACACAAAAACCTCAAGTTAACCAAACACGCAAATTCAAGTTCAAAAACACCACAAACTCAAGTTCAAACACGAAACAAACTCAAGTTCAAACACGAAACAAACTCAAGTTCAAAAAACACACAAACTCAAGTTCAAAAAACACACAAACTCAAGTTCAAACACGACACAAACTCAAGTTCAACAAAAACCACAAACTCAAGTTCAAACACGACACAAAATCAAGCTCAAAAAACGCCACAAACTAAAGTTCAAACACGACACAAACTCAAGTTCAACAAACACACTAACTCAAGTTCAAAAACACCACAATCTCAAGTTCAAACAGGAAACAAACTCAAGTTCAACGAACACAAAAACTCAAGTTCAAAAACACCAAACTCATGGTCAAACACGCTACAAACTCAAGTTCAAACACCACACAAACTCAAGTTCAACAAACACCACAAACTCAAGTTCAACAAACGCAACAAACTCAAGTTCAAACATGAAACCACCTCAAGTTAAAAAACACCACAAACTCAAGTTCAAACACGACACGAACTCAAGTTCAAACACGAAACAAACTTAAGTTCAAAAACACCACAAACTCAAGTTCAAACACAACACAAACTCAAGTTCAACCAACACACAAACTCAAATTCAAAAACATCACAAACTCAAGTTAAAACACGAACCAAACTCAAGTTCAATAAAATCACAAACTAAAGTTCAACCAATACCCAATTCTCAAGTTTAAAAATTTCAACAACCTCAAGTTCAAAAACATCACAAATTCAAGTTCAACAAACACACAAACTCAAGTTCAACCAACACCTAATTCTTAAGTTTAACAATTTCCACAACCTCAAGTTCAAAAACAACAGAAACCTAAGTTCAACAAACACCTGAGTCTCAAGTTTAACAATTTCCACAACCTAAAGTTCAAAAACAACAGAAACCTAAGTTCAAAAAACACATAAACCCAAGTTAACCAAACATGCAAATTCAAGTTCAAAAACACCACAAACTCAAGTTCAAACATGACACAAACTCAAATTCAACAAACGCCACAAACTCAAGTTCAAACACGAAACAAACTCAAGTTCAAAAACCACACAAACTCAAGTTCAAAAAACACTCAAACTCAAGTTCAAACACGACACAAACTCAAGTTCAACAAAAACCACAAACTCAAGTTCAAACACGACACAAAATCAAGCTCAACAAACGCCACAAACTAAAGTTCAAACACAAGACAAACTCAAGTTCAACAAACACACTAACTCAAGTTCAAAAACACCACAATCTCAAGTTCAAACACGAAACAAACTCAAGTTCAACAAACACAAAAACTCAAGGTCAAAAACACCACAAACTCAAGTTCAAACACGACAAAAAAACTCAAGTTCAACAAACACACTAACTCAAGTTCAACCAACACCTGATTCTCAAGTTTAACAATTTCCAAAACCTCAAGTTCAAAAAACACACAAACTCAAGTTCAAACACGACACAAACTCAAGTTCAACAAAAACCACAAACTCAAGTTCAACAAACACCACAAACTCAAGTTCAACAAACGCAACAAACTCAGGTTCAAACATGAAACCACCTCAAGTTAAAAACACCACAAACTCACGTTCAAACACGACACAAACTCAAGTTCAACAAACACCACAAACTCAAGTTCAACCAATTCCCAAATCTCAAGTTTAAAAATTGCCACAACCTTAAGTTCAAAAACACCACAAACTCAAGTTCAAACACGACACGAACTGAAGTTCAAACACGAAACAAACTTAAGTTCAAAAACACCACAAACTCAAGTTCAAACACAACACAAACTCAAGTTCAACCAACACACAAACTCAAGTTCAACCAACACACAAACTCAAGTTAAAACACGAACCAAACTCAAGTTCAATCAAATCACAAACTAAAGTTCAACCAATACCCAATTCTCAAGTTTAACAATTTCAACAACCTCAAGTTCAAAAACATCACAAATTCAAGTTCAACAAACACACAAACTCAAGTTCAACCAACACCTGATTCTCAAGTTTAACAATTTCCACAACCTCAAGTTCAAACACAACACAAACTCAAGTTCAATAAACACACAAACTCAAGTTCAAAAACGACACAATCTCAAGTTAAAACACGATACAAACTGAAGTTCAAAAAACGCACAATCTCAAGTTCAACCAACACCTGATTCTCAAGTTTAACAATTTCCACATCCTCAAGTTCAAAAACACCACAAACTCAAGTTCAAACATGACAAAAACTCAAATTCAACAAACGCCACAAACTCAAGTTCAAACACGAAACAAACTCAAGTTCAAAAACCACACAAACTCAAGTTCAAAAAACAAACAAACTCAAGTTCAAACACGACAAAAAACTCAAGTTCAACAAACAGACTAACTCAAGTTCAACCAACACCTGATTCTCAAGTTTAACAATTTCCACAACCTCAAGTTCAAAAGCAACAGAAACTCAAGTTCAAATAAACACACAAACTCAAGTTCAAACACAACACAAACTCAAGTTCAACAAACACACAAACTCAAGTTCAAAAACGACACAATCTCAAGTTCAAAAACAACAGAAACTCAAGTTCACAAAACACAAAAACTCAAGTTCAACAAACACCCAAATTCAAGTTCAAAAAACACACAAACTCAAGTTAAAAAAAACAAACTCAAGTTCAAACACGACAAAAACTCAAGTTGACTCAAAACTTGATTCTCAAGTATAACAATTTCAACAACCTCAAGTTCAAAAACACCACAAACTCAAGTTCAACAAACACACAAACTCAAATTCAACCAACACCTGATTCTCAAGTTTAACAATTTCCACAACCTCAAGTTCCAAAAAAAAGAAACCTAATTTCAAAAAACACAAAAACTCAAGTTAACCAAACACGCAAATTCAAGTTCAAAAACACCACAAACTCAAGTTCAAACACGAAACAAACTCAAGTTCAAACATGAAACAAACTCAAGTTCAAAAAACACACAAACTCAAGTTCAAAAAACACACAAACTCAAGTTCAAACACGACACAAACTCAAGTTCAACAAAAACCACAAACTCAAGTTCAAACACGACACAAAATCAAGCTCAAAAAACGCCACAAACTAAAGTTCAAACACGACACAAACTCAAGTTCAATAAAAACACACTAACTCAAGTTCAAAAACACCACAATCTCAAGTTCAAACAGGAAACAAACTCAAGTTCAACGAACACAAAAACTCAAGTTCAAAAACACCAAACTCATGGTCAAACACGCTACAAACTCAAGTTCAAACACCACACAAACTCAAGTTCAACAAACACCACAAACTCAAGTTCAACAAACGCAACAAACTCAAGTTCAAACATGAAACCACCTCAAGTTAAAAAACACCACAAACTCAAGTTCAAACACGACACGAACTCAAGTTCAAACACGAAACAAACTTAAGTTCAAAAACACCACAAACTCAAGTTCAAACACAACACAAACTCAAGTTCAACCAACACACAAACTCAAATTCAAAAACATCACAAACTCAAGTTAAAACACGAACCAAACTCAAGTTCAATAAAATCACAAACTAAAGTTCAACAAATACCCAATTCTCAAGTTTAAAAATTTCAACAACCTCAAGTTCAAAAACATCACAAATTCAAGTTCAACAAACACACAAACTCAAGTTCAACCAACACCTAATTCTTAAGTTTAACAATTTCCACAACCTCAAGTTCAAAAACAACAGAAACCTAAGTTCAACAAACACCTGAGTCTCAAGTTTAACAATTTCCACAACCTAAAGTTCAAAAACAACAGAAACCTAAGTTCAAAAAACACATAAACCCAAGTTAACCAAACATGCAAATTCAAGTTCAAAAACACCACAAACTCAAGTTCAAACATGACACAAACTCAAATTCAACAAACGCCACAAACTCAAGTTCAAACACGAAACAAACTCAAGTTCAAAAACCACACAAACTCAAGTTCAAAAAACACTCAAACTCAATTCAAACACGACACAAACTCAAGTTCAACAAAAACCACAAACTCAAGTTCAAACACGACACAAAATCAAGCTCAACAAACGCCACAAACTAAAGTTCAAACACAAGACAAACTCAAGTTCAACAAACACACTAACTCAAGTTCAAAAACACCACAATCTCAAGTTCAAACACGAAACAAACTCAAGTTCAACAAACACAAAAACTCAAGGTCAAAAACACCACAAACTCAAGTTCAAACACGACAAAAAAACTCAAGTTCAACAAACACACTAACTCAAGTTCAACCAACACCTGATTCTCAAGTTTAACAATTTCCAAAACCTCAAGTTCAAAAAACACACAAACTCAAGTTCAAACACGACACAAACTCAAGTTCAACAAAAACCACAAACTCAAGTTCAACAAACACCAAAAACTCAAGTTCAACAAACGCAACAAACTCAGGTTCAAACATGAAACCACCTCAAGTTAAAAACACCACAAACTCACGTTCAAACACGACACAAACTCAAGTTCAACAAACACAATAACTCAAGTTCAACCAATTTCCAAATCTCAAGTTTAAAAATTGCCACAACCTTAAGTTCAAAAACACCACAAACTCAAGTTCAAACACGACACGAACTCAAGTTCAAACACGAAACAAACTTAAGTTCAAAAACACCACAAACTCAAGTTCAAACACAACACAAACTCAAGTTCAACCAACACACAAACTCAAGTTCAACCAACACACAAACTCAAGTTAAAACACGAACCAAACTCAAGTTCAATCAAATCACAAACTAAAGTTCAACCAATACCCAATTCTCAAGTTTAACAATTTCAACAACCTCAAGTTCAAAAACATCACAAATTCAAGTTCAACAAACACACAAACTCAAGTTCAACCAACACCTGATTCTCAAGTTTAACAATTTCCACAACCTCAAGTTCAAACACAACACAAACTCAAGTTCAATAAACACACAAACTCAAGTTCAACAAACACACAAACTCAAGTTAAAACACGATACAAACTGAAGTTCAAAAAACGCACAATCTCAAGTTCAACCAACACCTGATTCTCAAGTTTAACAATTTCCACATCCTCAAGTTCAAAAACACCACAAACTCAAGTTCAAACATGACAAAAACTCAAATTCAACAAACGCCACAAACTCAAGTTCAAACACGAAACAAACTCAAGTTCAAAAACCACACAAACTCAAGTTCAAAAAACAAACAAACTCAAGTTCAAACACGACAAAAAACTCAAGTTCAACAAACAGACTAACTCAAGTTCAACCAACACCTGATTCTCAAGTTTAACAATTTCCACAACCTCAAGTTCAAAAGCAACAGAAACTCAAGTTCAAATAAACACACAAACTCAAGTTCAAACACAACACAAACTCAAGTTCAACAAACACACAAACTCAAGTTCAAAAACGACACAATCTCAAGTTCAAAAACAACAGAAACTCAAGTTCACAAAACACAAAAACTCAAGTTCAACAAACACCCAAATTCAAGTTCAAAAAACACACAAACTCAAGTTAAAAAAAACAAACTCAAGTTCAAACACGACAAAAACTCAAGTTGACTCAAAACTTGATTCTCAAGTATAACAATTTCCACAATCTCAAGTTCAAAAAACAAAAAAACTCAAGTTCACCAAACATGCCAAATCAAGTTCAAAATCACCACAAACTCAAGATCAAACATGACACAAACTCAAGTTCAAAAACAAAGACTCAAGTTCAACCAACACCTGATTCTCAAGTTTGACCATTTCCACAACCTCAAGTTCAAGAACAACAGAAACTCAAGATCAAAAAACACACAAACTCAAGTTCACTAAACACGCAACTTAAATTCAAACACAACAGAAACTCAGGTTCAACAAACACAAAAACTCAAGGTCAAAAACACCACAAACTCAAGTTCAAACACGACAAAAAACTCAAGTTCAACAAACAGACTAACTCAAGTTCAAACACCTGATTCTCAAGTTTAACAATTTCCACAACCTCAAGTTCAAAAACAACAGAAACTCAAGTTCAAAAAACACACAAACTCAAGTTCACCAAACATGCAACTCAAGTTCAAACACAACACAAACTCAAGTTCAAACACAACACAAACTCAAGTTCAAACACAACACAAACTCAAGTTCAAAAAAATTCAAACTCAAGTTCAAAAACGACACAAACTGAAGTTCAAAGACGACACAAACTCAAGTTCAACAAACACACAAACTTAAGTTCACCCAAAACTTGATTCTCAAGTTTAACAATTTCCACAATCTCAAGTTCAAAAAACACACAAACTCAAGTTCACCAAACATGCAAACTCAAGTTCAAAAACACCACAAACTCAAGATCAAATATGACACAAACTCAAGTTCAAAAACAACACAGACTCAAGTTCAAACACGAAACAAACTCAAGTTCAAAAACACCACAAACTCAAGTTCAACCAACACCTGATTCTCAAGTTTAAAAATTTTCACAAACTCAAGTTCTACAAACAACACGAACTCAAGTTCAAAAAACACACAAACTCAAGTTCAACCAACATCCAAATCTCAAGCTTGAAAATTGCAACAACCTAAAGTTCAACAAACACATAAACTTAAGTTCAAACACACCACAAACTCATGGTCAAACACACTACAAACTCAAGTTCAAACACGACACAAACTCAAGTTCAACTAACACCACAAACTCAAGTTCAACAAACGCCACAAACTCAAGTTCAAACACGAAACAAACTCAAGTTCAAAAACACCACAAATTCACGTTCAAACACAACACAAATTAAAGTTAAAAAAACACACAGACTCAAGTTCAAAAACACTAAAAACTCAAGTTCAAACACTACACGAACTTAAGTTCAACAAACACACTAACTCAAGTTCAACCAATACCCAAATCTCAAGTTTAAAATATTTCAAAACCTCAAATTCAAAAAACAGACAAACTCAAGTTCAACAAACACCACAAACTCAAGTTCAACAAATGCCACAAACTCAAGTTCAAACACGAAACGAACACAAGTTCAAAAACACCACAAATTCACGTTCAAACACAACACAAATTAAAGTTCAAAAAACACACAGACTCAAGTTCAAAAACACTAAAAACTCAAGTTCAAACACTACACGAACTTAAGTTCAACAAACACACTAACTCAAGTTCAACCACCACCCAAATCTCAAATTTCGCAATTGCCACAACCTCAAGTTCAAAAAACACACAAACTCAAGTTCAAACACACGACAAACTCAAGTTTAAACACGACACAAACTTAAGTTCAAAAACAAAAAAAACTCAAGTTCAACAAATACTCAATTCTCAAGTTAAATAATTTCCACAACCTCAAGTTCAAAAATATCATAAACTCAAGTTCAAAAACACCACAAACTCAAGCTCAAACACAACACAAACTCAAGTTCAAACACAACACAAACTCAAGTTCAACAAACACACAAACTCAAGTTCAAAAACACCACAAACTCAAGTTCAAACACGACACGAACTCAAGTTCAACAAACACTATAACTCAAGTTCAACCAATTCCCAAATCTCAAGTTTAAAAATTGCAACAACCTTAAGTTCAAAAAACACACAAACTCAATTTCAAACACACCACAAACTCAAGTTCAAAAACACCACAAACTCAAGTTCAAAAATGACGCGAATTCAAGTTCAAACACGAAACAAACTTAAGTTCAACCAACACACAAACTCAAATTCAAAAACAACACAAACTCAAGTTAAAACACGACACAAACTAAAGTTCAACCACCACCCAAATCTCAAGTTTCACAATTGCCACAACCTCAAGTTCAAAAAACACACAAACTCTAGTTCAAACACACGACAAACTCAATTCAAAAACAACACAAACTCAAGTTCAAAAACACAAAAAACTCAAGTTCAACAAATACTCAATTCTCAAGTTAAACAATTTCCACAACCTCAAGTTAAAAAATATCATAAACTCAAGTTCAAAAACACCACAAACTCAAGCTCAAACACAACACAAACTGAAGTTCAAACACAACACAAACTCAAGTTCAACAAACACAATAACTCAAGTTCAACCAATTCCCAAATCTCAAGTTTAAAAATTGCAACAACCTTAAGTTCAAAAAACACACAAACTCAAGTTCAAACACACCACAAACTCAAGTTCAAAAACACCACAAACTCCAGTTCAAACACAACACAAACTCAAGTTCAACCAACACACAAACTCAAATTCAAAAACATCACAAACTAAAGTTAAGATACGAAACAAACTCAAGTTCAAAAACAACACAAACTCAAGCTCAACCAAGACCCAATTCTCAAGTTTAACAAATTCCACACCCTCAAGTTCAAACATGACACAAACTCAAGTTTAAAATCACCACAAACTCAGGTTCAAACACGACACAAACTCAAGTTCAAGAAACACACAAACTCAAGTTCAACCAACACCTCATTCTAAGGTTTAACAATTTCCACAACCTTAAGTTCAAAAACAACAGAAACTCAAGTTAAAAAATACACAAACTCAAGTTCACCAAGTACCCAAAATCAAGTTCAAAAACACCAAAAACTCAATTCAAAAACAACATAAACTCAAGTTCAAAAACACAAAAAACTAAAGTTCAACCAATACCCAATTCTTAAGTTAAACAATTTCCACAACGTCAAGTTCAAAAACACCACAAACTCAAGTTCAAACACAACACAAACTCAAGTTCAAACACAACACAAACTCAAGTTCAACAAACACATAAACTCAAGTTCAAAATCACCACAAACTCAAGTTCAAACACGACACGAACTCAAGTTCAACAAACACAAAAACTTCAACCAATTCCCAAATCTCAAGTTTAAAAATTGCCACAACCTTAAGTTCAAAAAACACAAACTCAAGTTCAAACACACCACAAACTCAAGTTCAAAAACACGACATGAACTCAAGTTCAAACACGACACAAACTCAAGTTCAAACACGACACGAACTCAAGTTCAAACACGAAAAAAAATCAAGTTCAAAAACAACACAAACTCAAGTTCAAACACGACAAAAACTCAAGTTCACCCAAAACTTGATTCTCAAGTTTAAAAACACCACAAACTCAAGATCAAACACGACACAAACTCAAGTTCAAAAACAACACAGACTCAAGTTCAAAAACACCACAAACTCAAGTTCAAACACGACACAAACTCAGGTCTACCAAAAACCACAAACTCAAGTTCAACCAACACCTGATTCTCAAGTTTAAAAATTTTCACAAACTCAAGTTCAACAAATGCCACAAACTCAAGTTCAAACACGAAACAAACTCAAGTTCAAAAACACCACAAACTCAAGTTCAAACACGACACAAACTCGGGTCTACCAAAAACCACAAACTTAAGTTCATCCAACACCTGATTTTCAAGTTTAAAAAATTTTCACAAACTCAAGTTCAACAAATGCCAAAGACTCAAGTTCAAACACTAAACAAACTCAAGTTCAAAAACACCACAAACTCAAGTTCAAACACGACACAAACTCGGGTCTACCAAAAACCGCAAACTCAAGTTCAACCAACACCTGATTCTCAAGCTTGAAAATTGCCACAACCTCAAGTTCAACAAACACAAAAACTTAAGTTGAAACACAACACAAACTCATGGTCAAACACACTACAAACTCAAGTTCAAACATGACACAAACTCAAGTTCAACAAACACCACAAACTCAAGTTCAACAAACGCCACAAACTCAAGTTCAAACACGACACGAACTCAAGTTCAACAAACACACTAACTCAAGTTCAACCAATACCCAAATCTCAAGTTTAAAAAATGTCAAAACCTCAAGTTAAAAAAACAGACAAACTCAAGTTAAACAAACAACACTAACTAAAGTTCAAACACGACACAAACTAAAGTTCAACGACCACCCAAATCTCAAGTTAAACAATTTCCACAACCTCAAGTTCAAAAATATCATAAACTCAAGTTCAAAAACACCACAAACTCAAGCTCAAAAACAACACAAACTCAAGTTCAAACACAACACAAACTCAAGTTCAACAAACACACAAACTCAAGTTCAAAAACACCACAAACTCAAGCTCAAAAACAACACAAACTCAAGTTCAAACATGACACGAACTCAAGTTCAAACACGAAACAAACTTAAGTTCAAAAACACCACAAACTCAAGTTATAACACGACACAAACTCAAGTTCAACCAACACACAAACTCAAATTCAAAAACATCACAAACTCAAGTTATAACACGACACAAACTCAAGTTCAACCAATACCCAATTCTCAAGTTTAACAATTTCAACAACCTCAAGTTCAAAAACACCACAAACTCAAGTTCAAACACGACACGAACTCAAGTTCAAACACAAAACAAACTTAAGTTAAAAAACACCACAAACTCAAGTTCAAAATCACCACAAACTCAAGTTCAAACACGACACAAACTCAAGTTCAAGAAACACACAAACTCAAGTTCAACCAACACCTGATTCTAAGGTTTAACAATTTCCACAACTTCAAGTTAAAAAAAAACAGAAACTCAAGTTCAAAAAACACACAAACTCAAGTTCACCAAATACCCAATTTCAAGTTCAAAAACACCACAAACTCAATTCAAAAACAACACAAACTCAAGTTAAAACACGACACAAACTCAAGTTCAACCAATACCCAATTCTCAAGTTTAACAATTTCAACAACCTCAAGTTCAAAAACACCACAAACTCAAGTTCAAACACGACACGAACTCAAGTTCAAACACAAAACAAACTCAAGTTCAAGAAACACACAAACTCAAGTTCAACCAACACCTGATTCTAAGGTTTAACAATTTCCACAACTTCAAGTTAAAAAAAAACAGAAACTCAAGTTCAAAAAACACACAAACTCAAGTTTACCAAATACCCAATTTCAAGTTCAAAAACACCACAAACTCAATTCAAAAACAACACAAACTCAAGTTCAAAAACACAAAAAACTCAAGTTCAACCAATAACCAATTCTCAAGTTTAGCAATTTCCACAACCTCAAGTTAAAAAAACCAGAAACTCAAGTTCAAAAACACCAAAAACTAAAGTACAAACACAACACAAATTCAAGTTCAACAAATGCCACAAACTCAAGTTCAAAAACGAAACAAAGTCAAGTTCAAAAACACCACAAACTCAAGTTAAAAAAAAACACAAACTCAAGTTCAACAAACACACAAACTCAAGTTCAAAAACACACAAACACAAGTTCAAAAACACCAAAAACTCAAGTTCAAAGACAATACAAACTCAAGTTCACCAAACAAGCAACTCAAGTTCAACCAAAACCTGATTCTCAAGTTTAACCTTTTCCACAACCTCAAGTTCAAAAACAACAGAAACTCAAGTTCAATAATCACACAATCTCAAGTTCACCAAACACGACACAAACTCAAGTTCAAACACAACACAAACTCCAGTTCAAACACAACCCAAACACAAGTTCAACAAACACACAAACTCAAGTTCAAAAACGACACAAACTCCAGTTCAAACACGGCACAAACTCACGTTCAACAAACACGCAACTCAAGTTCAACCAACACCTGATTCTCAAGTTTAACCATTTCCACAACCTCAAGTTCAAAAACAACAGAAACTCAAGTTCAAATACACCACAAACTCAAGTTCACCAAACACGCAACTCTAGTTTAAACACAACAGAAACTCAAGTTCAACAAACACTAAAACTCAAGTTCAAAAACACCACAAACTCAAGTTCAAACAAGACAAAAAACTCAAGTTCAACAAACAGACTAACTCAAGTTCAACCAACACCTGATTCTCGAGTTTAACAATTTCCACAACCTCAAGTTCAAAAACAAACAGAAACTCAAGTTCAAAAAACACACAAAGTCAAGTTAACCAAACACGCAACTCAAGTTCAAACACAACACAAACTCAGGTCTACCAAAAACCACAAACTCAAGTTCAACCAACACCTAATTCTAAGGTTTAACAATTTCCACAACCTCAAGTTCAAAAACAACAGAAACTCAAGTTCAAAAAACACATCAACTCAAGTTCACCAAATACCCAAATTCAAGTTCACAAACACCAAAAACTCAATTCAAAAACACAACAAACTAAAGTTCAAAAACACAAAAAACTCAAGTTCAACCAATACCCAATTCTCAAGTTTAGCAATGTCCACAACCTCAAGTTAAAAAAAACCACAAACTCAAGTTCAAAAAAAACAAAAACTCAAGTACAAACACAACACAAAGTCAAGTTCAACAAACGCCAGGAACTCAAGTTCAAACACGAAACAAAGTCAAGTTCAAAAACACCACAAACTCAAGATCAAACACGACACAAACTCAAATTCAAAAACAACAATGACTCAAGTTCAACCAACACCCAATTCGCAAGTTTAACAATTTCCAAAACGTCAAGTTCAAAAACAATACAGACTCAAGTTCAAAAACACCACAAACTCAAGTTCAAACACGACACAAAACTCAGGTCAACCAAAAACCACAAACTCAAGTTCAACCAACACCTGATTCTCAAGTTTAAAAATTTTCACAAACTCAAGTTCAACAAATGCCAAAAACTCAAGTTCAAACACGAAACAAACTCAAGTTCAAAAACACCACAAACTCAAGTTCAAACACGACACAAACTCAGGTCTACCAAAAACCACAAACTCAAGTTCAACCACCACCCAAATCTCAAGTTTAACAATTGCCACAACCTCAAGTTCAAAAAACACACAAACTCAAGTTCAAACACAGGACAAACTCAAGTTTAAACACGACACAAACTCAAGTTCAAAAACAAAAAAAACTCAAGTTCAAAAAAATACTCAATTCTGAAGTTAAACAATTTCCACAACCTCAAGTTCAAACATATCATAAAAGTTCAAAAACACCACAAACTCAAGCTCAAACACAACACAAACTCAAGTTCAAACACAACACAAACTCAAGTTCAAAACACACAAACTCAAGTTCAAAAACACCACAAACTCAAGTTCAAACACGACACGAACTCAAGTTCAACAAACACAATAACTCAAGTTTAACCAATTCCCAAATCTCAAGTTTAAAAATTGCAACAACCTCAAGTTCAACAAAACACACAAACTCAAGTTCAAACACACCACAAACTCAAGTTCAAAAACACCACAAACTCAAGTTCAAACATGACACAAACTCAAGTTCAAACACGAAACAAGCTCAAGTTCAACAAACACACAAACTCAAGTTCAACCAACACCCAAATCTCAAGTTTAACAATTTCCACAACCTCCAGTTCAAATACAACACAGATTCAAGTTCAAAAACACTACAACTCAAGTTGTACACAAACTCAAGTTCAACAAAAACCACAAACTCAAATTCAACCAACACCTGATTCTCAAGTTTAAAAATTTTCACAACCTCAAGTTCAAAAAACACACAAACTCAAGTTCAACAAACAACAAGAACTCAATATCAAACACCACACAAACTCAAGTTCAACCAACACCCAAATTTCAAGTTTAACAATTGCCACAACCTCAAGTTCAAAAAACACACAAACGCAAGTTCAAACACACCACAAACTCATTTCAAAAAACACACAAACTCAAGTTCAACAAACAACACAAACTCAAGTTCAAACACAACACAAACTCAAGTTGAACCAACACTCAAATCTAAAGTTTAACAATTTCCACAACCTCAAGTTCAAAAACAACAGAAACTCAAGTTAAACACGAGACAAACTCAAGTTCAACAAACACACATACTCAAGTTCAAACACGACACAAACTCAAGTTCAACAAACACACAAACTCAAGTTTAACAATTCCCACAACCTCAAGTTCAAAAAATTACACACCCTCAAGTTCAAAAACACCACAAACTCAAGTTCAAACACGCCACAAACTCAAGTTTAAATATGAAAAAAAACTCAAGTTCAAAAATACCACAAATTCAAGTTCAAACACAACACAAACTCAAGTTCAACAAACATACAAACTCAAGTTCAAAAAACACACAAACTCAAGTACAACCAACACACAAACTCAAGTTCAAAAAACACACAAACTCAAGTACAACCAACACACAAATCTCAAGTTTTACAATTGCCACAACCTCAAGTTCAACAAACACACAAACTCAAGTTCAAATACACCACAAACTCAAGTTCAAACACGACACAAACTCAAGTTCAACCAACACCTGATTCTCAAGTTTATACATTTTCACAACCTCAATTTCAAAAAACACACAAACTCAAGTTCAACAAACAACACGAACTCAAGTTCAAACACGACACAAACTCAAGTTGAACCAACACTCAAATCTCAAGTTTAACAAATGCCACAACCTAAAGTTCATCAAACAAATCAACTCAAGTTCAAACACACAACAAACTCAAGTTCAAACATGACACAAACTCAAGTTCAAAAACTCAAGTACAGCCAATACCCAATTCTCAAGTTTGACAATTTCCACAACCTCAAGTTCAAAAGCAACACAGACTTAAGTTCAAAAACACCACAAACTCAAGTTCAAACACGACACATGCTCAAGTTCAACAAACCCCACAAACTCAAGTTCAACAACTGCCACCAAGTAAAGTTCACTAAAAACCATAAACTCAAGTTCAACAATTGACAGAAAACTAAAGTTCAAAAAACACACAAACTCTAGTTCAAAATTACCACAAACTCAAGTTCAAACATGACAAAGTCAAGTTCAACCAACACTCAAATCTCAAATTAAACAATATCCAAAACCGCAAGTTCAAAAACAACAGAAACTCAAGTTCAAACACGACACAAACTCAAGTTCAACAAACACACAATCCTCAAGTTCAACAATTGCCACAACCTAAAGTTCAGAAACACCCCCAACTCAAGTTCAAACAAGACACAAACTCAAGTACAAAAACGCTACAAACTAAAGTTCAGTGAAAAATACAGACTCAAGTTCAACAATAGCCACAAACTCAAGTTCAACAAATGACCTAAACTCACATTTAACAATTGCCAAAAACTCAAGTTCAACAAACTCAGGTTCAAAAATTGCCACAAACTCAAGTTCAAAAACACACAAACTCAAGTTCAAAAATTGCCACAAACTCAAGTTCAACGAACACCACAAACCCAAGATCAACAAATTCCAAAGTTTGAAGTTCAACCAACACCCAAATATTAAGTTTAACAATTGCCACAACCTCAAGTTCAACAAACACAAGTTCAAAAATTGCCACAAACTCAAGTTCAAAAACACCACAAACTCAAGTTCTTAACAACACAAACTCAAGTTCAAAAACACACAAGTTCAAGTTCAAAAACACCCCAAACTGAAGTTCAAACATGAAACAAAGTCAAGTTCAACCAAATCCCAAATCTCAAGTTCAACAATTTACACAACTTCAAGTTCAAAAACAACAGAAACTCAAGTTCAAAACACGCCACAAACTCAAGTTCAACAAAGACACAAACTCAAGTTCAAAAACACCACAAACTCAAGTTCAACCAACACCCAAATCTCAAGTTTAACAATTGCCACAAAACTAAGTTAAAAAACACACAAACTCAAGTTCAAAAACACCACAAACTCAAGTTCAAACATGACACAAACTCAAGTTCAACCAACACCCAAATCTCAAGTTCAACAATTGCCACAACCTCAAGTTCAAAAATATCATAAACTCAAGTTCAAAAACACCACAAACTCAAGCTCAAAAACAACACAAACTCAAGTTCAAACACAACACAAACTCAAGTTCAACAAACACACAAACTCAAGTTCAAAAACACCACAAACTCAAGCTCAAAAACAACACAAACTCAAGTTCAAACATGACACGAACTCAAGTTCAAACACGAAACAAACTTAAGTTCAAAAACACCACAAACTCAAGTTCAAACACGACACAAACTCAAGTTCAACCAACACACAAACTCAAATTCAAAAACATCACAAACTCAAGTTCAAAAACACCACAAACTCAAGTTCAACCAATACCCAATTCTCAAGTTTAACAATTTCAACAACCTCAAGTTCAAAAACACCACAAACTCAAGTTCAAACACGACACGAACTCAAGTTCAAACACAAAACAAACTTAAGTTAAAAAACACCACAAACTCAAGTTCAAAATCACCACAAACTCAAGTTCAAACATGACACAAACTCAAGTTCAAGAAACACACAAACTCAAGTTCAACCAACACCTGATTCTAAGGTTTAACAATTTCCACAACTTCAAGTTAAAAAAAAACAGAAACTCAAGTTCAAAAAACACACAAACTCAAGTTCACCAAATACCCAATTTCAAGTTCAAAAACACCACAAACTCAATTCAAAAACAACACAAACTCAAGTTAAAACACCACAAACTCAAGTTCAACCAATACCCAATTCTCAAGTTTAACAATTTCAACAACCTCAAGTTCAAAAACACCACAAACTCAAGTTCAAACACGACACGAACTCAAGTTCAAACACAAAACAAACTCAAGTTCAAGAAACACACAAACTCAAGTTCAACCAACACCTGATTCTAAGGTTTAACAATTTCCACAACTTCAAGTTAAAAAAAAACAGAAACTCAAGTTCAAAAAACACACAAACTCAAGTTTACCAAATACCCAATTTCAAGTTCAAAAACACCACAAACTCAATTCAAAAACAACACAAACTCAAGTTCAAAAACACAAAAAACTCAAGTTCAACCAATAACCAATTCTCAAGTTTAGCAATTTCCACAACCTCAAGTTAAAAAAAACCAGAAACTCAAGTTCAAAAACACCAAAAACTAAAGTACAAACACAACACAAATTCAAGTTCAACAAATGCCACAAACTCAAGTTCAAAAACGAAACAAAGTCAAGTTCAAAAACACCACAAACTCAAGTTAAAAAAAAACACAAACTCAAGTTCAACAAACACACAAACTCAAGTTCAAAAACACACAAACACAAGTTCAAAAACACCAAAAACTCAAGTTCAAAGACAATACAAACTCAAGTTCACCAAACAAGCAACTCAAGTTCAACCAAAACCTGATTCTCAAGTTTAACCTTTTCCACAACCTCAAGTTCAAAAACAACAGAAACTCAAGTTCAATAATCACACAATCTCAAGTTCACCAAACACGACACAAACTCAAGTTCAAACACAACACAAACTCCAGTTCAAACACAACCCAAACACAAGTTCAACAAACACACAAACTCAAGTTCAAAAACGACACAAACTCCAGTTCAAACACGGCACAAACTCACGTTCAACAAACACGCAACTCAAGTTCAACCAACACCTGATTCTCAAGTTTAACCATTTCCACAACCTCAAGTTCAAAAACAACAGAAACTCAAGTTCAAATACACCACAAACTCAAGTTCACCAAACACGCAACTCTAGTTTAAACACAACAGAAACTCAAGTTCAACAAACACTAAAACTCAAGTTCAAAAACACCACAAACTCAAGTTCAAACACGACAAAAAACTCAAGTTCAACAAACAGACTAACTCAAGTTCAACCAACACCTGATTCTCGAGTTTAACAATTTCCACAACCTCAAGTTCAAAAACAAACAGAAACTCAAGTTAAAAAAACACACAAAGTCAAGTTAACCAAACACGCAACTCAAGTTCAAACACAACACAAACTCAGGTCTACCAAAAACCACAAACTCAATTTCAACCAACACCTAATTCTAAGGTTTAACAATTTCCACAACCTCAAGTTCAAAAACAACAGAAACTCAAGTTCAAAAAACACATCAACTCAAGTTCACCAAATACCCAAATTCAAGTTCACAAACACCAAAAACTCAATTCAAAAACACAACAAACTAAAGTTCAAAAACACAAAAAACTCAAGTTCAACCAATACCCAATTCTCAAGTTTAGCAATGTCCACAACCTCAAGTTAAAAAAAACCACAAACTCAAGTTCAAAAAAACCAAAAACTCAAGTACAAACACAACACAAAGTCAAGTTCAACAAACGCCAGGAACTCAAGTTCAAACACGAAACAAAGTCAAGTTCAAAAACACCACAAACTCAAGATCAAACACGACACAAACTCAAATTCAAAAACAACAATGACTCAAGTTCAACCAACACCCAATTCGCAAGTTTAACAATTTCCAAAACGTCAAGTTCAAAAACAATACAGACTCAAGTTCAAAAACACCACAAACTCAAGTTCAAACACGACACAAAACTCAGGTCAACCAAAAACCACAAACTCAAGTTCAACCAACACCTGATTCTCAAGTTTAAAAATTTTCACAAACTCAAGTTCAACAAATGCCAAAAACTCAAGTTCAAACACGAAACAAACTCAAGTTCAAAAACACCACAAACTCAAGTTCAAACACGACACAAACTCAGGTCTACCAAAAACCACAAACTCAAGTTCAACCACCACCCAAATCTCAAGTTTAACAATTGCCACAACCTCAAGTTCAAAAAACACACAAACTCAAGTTCAAACACAGGACAAACTCAAGTTTAAACACGACACAAACTCAAGTTCAAAAACAAAAAAAACTCAAGTTCAAAAAAATACTCAATTCTGAAGTTAAACAATTTCCACAACCTCAAGTTCAAACATATCATAAAAGTTCAAAAACACCACAAACTCAAGCTCAAACACAACACAAACTCAAGTTCAAACACAACACAAACTCAAGTTCAACCAACACACAAACTCAAGTTCAAAAACACCACAAACTCAAGTTCAAACACGACACGAACTCAAGTTCAACAAACACAATAACTCAAGTTTAACCAATTCCCAAATCTCAAGTTTAAAAATTGCAACAACCTCAAGTTCAACAAAACACACAAACTCAAGTTCAAACACACCACAAACTCAAGTTCAAAAACACCACAAACTCAAGTTCAAACATGACACGAACTCAAGTTCAAACACGAAACAAGCTCAAGTTCAACAAACACACAAACTCAAGTTCAACCAACACCCAAATCTCAAGTTTAACAATTTCCACAACCTCCAGTTCAAATACAACACAGATTCAAGTTCAAAAACACTACAACTCAAGTTGTACACAAACTCAAGTTCAACAAAAACCACAAACTCAAATTCAACCAACACCTGATTCTCAAGTTTAAAAATTTTCACAACCTCAAGTTCAAAAAACACACAAACTCAAGTTCAACAAACAACAAGAACTCAATATCAAACACCACACAAACTCAAGTTCAACCAACACCCAAATTTCAAGTTTAACAATTGCCACAACCTCAAGTTCAAAAAACACACAAACGCAAGTTCAAACACACCACAAACTCAAGTTCTTAACAACACAAACTCAAGTTCAAAAAACACACAAGTTCAAGTTCAAAAACACCCAAACTGAAGTTCAAACATGAAACAAAGTCAAGTTCAACCAAATCCCAAATCTCAAGTTCAACAATTTACACAACTTCAAGTTCAAAAACAACAGAAACTCAAATTAAAACACGCCACAAACTCAAGTTCAACAAAGACACAAACTCAAGTTCAAAAACACCACAAACCCAAGTTCAACCAACACCCAAATCTCAAGTTTAACAATTGCCACAAAACTCAAGTTCAAAAAACCACACAAACTCAAGTTCAAAAACACCACAAACTCAAGTTCAAACATGACACAAACTCAAGTTCAACCAACACCCAAATCTCAAGTTCAACAATTGCCACAACCTCAAGTTCAAAAACAACAGAAACTCAAGTTAAAACACGCCACAAACTCAAGTTCAACAAAGACACAAACTCAAGTTCAAAAACACCACAAACCCAAGCTCAACCAACACCCAAATCTCAAGTTTAACAATTGCCACAAAACTAAGTTAAAAAACCACACATACTCAAGTTCAAAAACACCACAAACTCAAGTTCAAACATGACACAAACTCAAGTTCAACCAACACCCAAATCTCAAGTTTAACAATTGCCACAACCTCAAGTTCAAAAACAACAGAAACTGAAGTTCAAACACGAGACAAACTGAAGTTCAACAAACACACAAACTCAAGTTCAATCAATACCCAATTCTCAAGTTTAACAATTTCCACAACCTCAAGTTCAAACTCAAGTTCAAAAATTGCAAAAAAATCAAGTTCAAATACGACACAAACTCAAGTTCAACCAACACCCAAATCTCAAGTTTAACATTTGCCAATACCTCAAGTTCAAAAACAACACAAACTCAAGTTCAAACACGCCTAAAACTCAAGTTCAACAAACACACAAACTCAAGTTCAAAAACACCACAAATTCAAGTTCAAACATGTCACAAACTCAAGTTCAACAAACACAGAAACTCAAGTCAACCAATACCCAAATATGAAGCTTAGCGTTAAGGGGTGTTCAGACCAAACGCGACTTCGGTGACGTCGGCGATGGCTCCCAATGCAAAGTCTATGGACAGCCGCGACCTGACGCGACTTGGCGACCGCTGGCTACCTGCGTCGCGTTGCCGAGGTCGCAGGACGCCAAGTCTCGTCGCTCCCAAAGTTCAAATATTTGAACTGGGCTGCGGGATGTATATATGAGGGAGAAAAGGAGGGAGATGGAAGGTAGGAGAAGCAGGTCAGCAGCGACCAGCCGTGTCCTGCGACCGCAGCTTTGGACCCGGTGTGAACACACCAGAGCACCACGCGACGCGACCTGGTCGCGGCTGCAATTACACCTAATCCGCGGAGCCAAATCCTTGCAGGTACTGACATTAGTCTTGCTGTGCTCAGACTACAATGATAGACGCATTGTGGATTGCGGAGATGAGCCTGTGATGCTTAAATATCGTGATGCCCGGCTGTTTAAATCTCCGACCTTGGCTGAATTCATAGCTTTCAGCGTATTTGTAGATGTCATATGTAAAGTGTTTTCAGCACGCAGAACTGAACTGGACACATATCTCGCCATTATTTCTGATTCAGCCATGACATAGGGAGGATCATTATTCTAGGAACATTACAAATCATTTTCAGCAAAGCTGCTAAGTACATTCAAAGATTCAGCCAAAGACTTGATCAGTCCGTAGTCGACCTGGCTCTAATCAGTTAACAATTCACTGAGCATCAAGCTTTTTCCTGCTTAATCTGCGGGTCTTTCTCTCACCTGGAGGTGAAAGTAAGCCATTACGCAGCAGTACGCCATTTCGGGAAGACATAATCAGCTGTTTAAAGTTTTCACCCCTGTCATGTATCTAGGCTTAGTCTGTTGCTGCACATCAGTCTGCACTCTGCGTTAAAACCGAAGTAATCCAATAGGACCATGCCGCTTGAGAGTGAGTGGTATTTGCTTACAAATAAACTCCAAGTGGGAGCACCAGTGTGCACTTTTGATTGGACGCTGGTTGCCTAGGTGCAGGGGCCCGCCTTCCGCCTTTTGCGGAAGGAGGGAACTTTTAAAGAGTCAGCTGCTTCAATCTTAATGCAGAAATAAGACAAAATGCAGAGGCAAATAATAATAATAATAATAATAATAATAATAATAATAATAATAATAATTTTATGTTTAAGAGAGAGATACAGCAGATGATGATACTGTGGCATCGGAGTCAGCAACTCGCTTAACTTGGGTGTGCTCCTCTTGTACAAAGTCTACGGGTACAGTACCTGGAGGAACCTTATCCTACCTTGTCCACCCCTGCCCACACCTCTAATCGGTGCCCTAAAACTGTGGCTACAGGCCAACCACCCAAGCCTCTCTAAGCCTACTACTCGGAGAAGCCAAGTTACTCCAGGGACGGGCATCTGAAATCAGCATGCCCATGACGCACCCACCTGGTAAAACGGGAAAGAACAAAGCTGTCTACTCTGTCAAATGTCCTTGAGCCGGGGAAGGCACTGGCAAAGCATCCCAACGGCTGTTCGTGAAGCCATTCATTCAGACTGTGTTAGTCTGAGTGCAGCCTTGCAATCCTTAGTGCTCTCTGTGGACAGCTACTTGGACAGAAGCAAGATGGCGGCGCACACAGTTGCTGCGGCTCGGTGCTCTCTCAGTCAGTGCGATAGATTGTTTTTTTGCTTCGTGTTTTTTGTCTGCTGGGTGTTTTCTGTAAGGCGAACAACATCTATAGCCGGTACGATCTCCTTAAGATAGGAGTCGGTTGTGAACAGAGTATAGCTGCAAAGTTTCTCCACACACACAACATACCGGTCGACATAGCACGGCACCCCGGCTCCCTGTGGATTACTATCCCCGCCGGGAAGCGGCGAAGGCGGCGCAGAGAGAGGAGGCAGAAGCGGGGCTGCAGAGCTGGCCCGCTAGCCAGGCTACGGAGGCAGCCACTTAAACCTCCGCTTCCCAGCCTGTTTCTCGCCAATGCTCGGTCCCTCGCCAATAAAATGGATGAACTGAGGCTACAGGTTGCAACCAACAATGCCGTGAAGGATAGCTGCATTCTACTCTTCACGGAGACCTGGCTTCATCCACTTATCCCGGACTCGGCGGCGGAGCTAACAGGCTACACCATGCAGCGTCAGGATAGAACACAGAGCTCCGGTAAGACCAGAGGAGGGGGGCTGTGTATGTACGTGAACAACAGCTGGTGTACGAACACAGTGACTGTGGACAGCCACTGCTCCCCGGACCTGGAGTATGTGTCTGTGAAATGCAGACCCTTTTACCTCCCGAGAGAGTTCTCTGTTGTAATACTAACAGCTGTTTACATACCGCCGGACGCTAATGCTAAGGTGGCTAGCAACCATCTGCATAGTAGCATTGGCTCCCAGGAGAGTAAATATCCTGACGCTGTACACATCGTAGCAGGGGACTTCAACCATGCCGATTTGAAAACAGTTCTCCCTAAATTCTACCAACATGTCAAATGCACAACCCGTGGAGATAAGACTCTTGACAAGGTCTACTCTAACATCAAGCTTGGCTACAGGGCCAAACCACTACCTCACCTGGGCCAGTCCGACCACTTGTCTCTGCTGCTAATACCCGCATATGCCCCCCTCAGGAAAAGTACACCCACCATCACAAAAACGGTAACAACTTGGCCTGATGGAGCCTCTCAACAGCTGCAGGACTGCCTCGACAGGACGAACTGGGAGGTGTTTTTACATCACGATCTGGAGATCTTTACAGGCAGTGTACTTGGATACATACAACACTGCATAGCCACTGTTACTGTGGAAAAACAGATCCGGATCTACCCCAACCAGAAGCCCTGGATGACCCGGGAAGTCCAGCAGCTGCTGAGGGAGAGGAATACCGCCTTCAGGTCTGGTGACCAGGTCCTCTACTCTGCGGCCCGGGCTGACCTGAAGAGAGGCGTCAAAGGGGCCAAGTCGGACTACCGGAGGAGGATTGAGGCACACCTGGAAAGTAACAACAGCAGGCAGGTGTGGCAGGGAGTCCAGCAGCTCACCAATTACAAATCCACCTTGGGAGCAGCTGAGGGTGAGGCCTCGCTGGCAGAGGAGCTAAACACCTTCTTTGCACGTTTCGAGGTGGAACCACCCAAGGCAGCCACACCACACCCCATGGTACACAGCAACTTCACCCTCACAGAACATGAGGTGAGACGTACCCTGCGCGCCGTGGACCCAAGGAAGGCTGCTGGGCCTGATGGAGTGCCCGGGCGTGTGTTAAGGGACTGTGCGGAACAGCTCGCCGGAGTCTTCACAAGGATTTTCAACCAGTCCTTGGCCGAGTCCAGTGTTCCACCATGCCTGAAGTCCTCCATCATCGTCCCCCTGCCCAAGAAACCTCAGATCTCCAGCCTCAACGACTACCGGCCAGTCGCTCTCACCCCGGTGGTGATGAAATGCTTTGAAAAGCTGGTCCGGGGTCACATCACATCACACCTGCCAAAAAGCCTTGACGTCCGGGGTCACATCACATCACACCTGCCAAAAAGCCTTGACCCTCACCAGTTTGCATACAGGGCAAATAGATCCACAGAAGACGCCATTGCCTCAGCCCTCCATGCTGCACTGTCCCACCTGGAGCAGCAGGGGAGCTACGTACGGATGCTCTTTGTGGACTATAGCTCTGCTTTTAACACCATACTTCCTCACAAACTGGTCAATCTAGGCATTCCTCACCCCACCTGCATATGGATCAACAGCTTCCTCACCTGTCGCACCCAGAGGGTGAGAGTGGGCCATCACACATCAACGGCCCTCAGCCTCAGCACCGGTTCGCCACAGGGCTGCGTGCTGAGTCCCCTGTTGTTCACCCTTTACACACACGACTGCGTCCCCACACATCACAACAACACCTTTGTCAAATTTGCAGACGACACCACGGTGGTGGGGCTCATCTCTGGGGCAGACGAGTCTGCGTACAGGAACGAGGTTGAACATCTGGCAGCATGGTGTGGGGAGAATAACCTCCAGCTCAACACAGCAAAAACGAAGGAGCTGGTGATTGACTACAGGAGGATAAAGACTGACATCACACCACTCATCATCGGCGGGGATTGTGTGGAGCAGGTGTCAGACTTCCGGTTTCTGGGTGTTCAGATTGAGGAGGGCCTGACCTGGACTGTAAACACCACACAGGTGATTAAAAAAGCCCAACAGCGTCTCCACTTCCTGAGGGTCCTCAGGAAAAATAACATCACACAGAGACTGTTGGTGTCCTTTTACAGGTGTTCCATCGAAGCCATTCTTACATATTGCATTTGTGTATGGTTTAACAGCTGCACTGTGGCCCAGAGAAAGGCTCTCCAGCAGGTCGTCAACACAGCCCAGAGGATTGTCGGTTGCCCCCTTCCCTCACTGGACGACCTTCATTGCGCTCGCTGTGCTAAAAAAGCCCAGAACATTATCAAAGACACCTCCCATCCTGGTCACCTCCTGTTTGAACTTTTGCCGTCAGGCAGACGCTATAGGACAATCAGATCCAGAACGAACAGACTTAAAAACAGTTTTTTTCCGTCAGCAATAACTACCCTCAATGCCTTAAGGAAGTGACTGAATACCTATTTACTCATTTACTTTATTTATTCGGAACTTATTTATTTATTTAGAACTGCTATTTATTACTGTATTTGTTTTTAATGATGCACTGACTGTCTGGCACTTTTTTAATTTCGTTGTACTGGTTACAATGACAATAAAGACTATTCTATTCTATTCTACTTGAGAGCTGGTTAAGCAAAATCAGCATTAAAGTTTATACGATTCTGCATGGTCTCACTTTACCTCTTTTGTACCACCTTCTCTGTAGCCCCAACGCCCTAAATATATCCATTGTATGTGCTTTAATAGTCCACAGTTTTGAATCTCGCACTTTTTTTTTTTCTAATATTTCCAAAACTAACTCTTTCTTTGTTCTTTATCCTCCATGTCCCGCTGCCTGAGAGGCCGGCCACTGGCCAGCCGGCAAGAGTCTCTCTTTGCCACTGAAGAAGGGAAACCTATATCCAGATTGCAGCTTTCTGCTCACCTCTGCCTGCTCTGCCAATCCTGTTGGCTCCTACCTGAGTACAACTCTACGCATTCACCACGCATAGGCACAGCTACAACTGCATCTTCCATCGTCCCCGTCTCGACGCTCAAGGCTACGGGTCAATGGTCCCGATCAGCCTTTGAATGATACCTCAGGCCCAAGGCTAATATATTATTATTATTATTAGAATATTCCTATGCTCGATTAGCTACAAAAAAAAAAAAATTGCTGCTGCTCCTTAATTCTTTCCCATATCTATTGCATTACGCATATTCCCAACTATAAATTTGTGTATGGATTAAATTAATCCTGATCCATGATCATGTTGTGAGGGTAACCAATACTATGCAAGCTTTGTAGGTGGGTAGGTTGCTTCATAGTTTCTCGCTGCTGGCTGCCCTCCCTCCCCTGTAGGTGCCTTCATGTAGCTCATGAAAGCTGGGGAGGGTTGCCAGTATGGCTGCTGCTTTTTCTGCCTTGGCTTTTCATATATGCACATGAAAGGGAGGGCATTCCCTCTCATTGCCTTGGGATTCTATGCAAGCGCATGAGAGAGCAGGGAACTCTCAGAACAGAGCCATACCGACAATGTTAAAAAAATTTTTGCTAGTAATAAATAATTGATTCTAACTAAAGTAGTCCTGACTGAAATTAAGCATGGCTGTAGTTCAGGCAGGACACAAGGTACAGTCAAGCTAAAGGTTAAAGCCAGCTGATCTTAAGCTAGCCCTCAGTCAGATGACAGCTTAGCTGATCGCCCTCCAGTCATCCTTCAGATCGCTACACGGCTCATTCCTTTCACATAGGTGCAGCTACAACCGCAGCTTTGACGGCTCCTGTGTCGACCCTCAAAGCCATGGGCCAATAGTCGTCAGCTGCGTACAAACGCTATCTGCGCCCCGAGGCTCGGGACATTCTCGAAGCCCAAAAACTATGAGTACCTATAACTTTGGCACATAGATGCTAATTAAATGAAATATATAAACAACCTGCAGATAAATATCCATGCTTGGGCAACGGGTCTCTCTAACCCGTCTTTCTTTCAGCAGCGCTCACCTCCCCTGCTAGCTCCTAGACTGCACGGCATGGTTGTTTTGGGGGGGTTCTGTTCATTGCTGCTCTACTCCTGCCTCCTCCGCCTTCATGATGGCACGTGGAGGGCGGGAAGGTGCTCTTCCTGCCGCTGGCCTTTCACCCCTGCCAACGTGGAGAACGGGGGCCCTGAACAGAACCTCGCGTGCGCTCCCTGCTATCGCCTTTCATGATGGCTCGTGAAAGGCAGGAAGGGGCTCTTCCTGCCTTGGGCTTCCACACAAGCGCGTGGAAGGGCAGGGACCCGAAACAGAATCATGCCGCCAAATCTAACTTGCACAATAAAGCTAAAAATTTGGACAAAGTGTACCTGACTGAAATGAAGCATAGCGTTAGTTCTGTCAGGACACAACGTCAAGCGCTGATCCACAGCCAATGGCTAGTAGCCACCTCAACCAGATGATAATCAGCTGATTCACACCTAGATCCTATTGGTTCTTTGCCTATAGAGTGCCTTATTTAAAACTGCACTAACCCAGCCTCTTCCTCTGCTCTGACAGCAAACCAGCAACACACTGCCACACCAGCTCCACCCTCGTGCCAGCTAATTGCTCCGCTGTCCTTGAAGCGCTCCTGTTCCAGGGGGGGTTTGTTCATTGCTGCTCTACCCCCGCCACCTCCGCCTTCATGATGGCTCGAGGAGGGCGAGTTTAACAATTTCCACAACCTCAAGTTCAAAAAGAACACAAACTCAAGTTCAAACACGCCACGAACTCAAGTTCAACAAACACCACAAACTCAAGTTCAACCAACACCCAATTCTCAAGTTCAACAATTTCCACCGACTCAAGTTCAAAAACACCACAAAGTCAAGTTCAAACAAGACACAAACTGAAGTTCAATGAACACCACATACATAAGTTCAACAAATGTCAAAGTTTTAAGTTCAACCAACACCCAAATCTAAAGTTTAACAATTGCCGAAGCCTCAAGTAAGAAAAACAACAAAAATTCAGGTTAAAACACGCCACAAACTCAAGCTCAACACCGCCACAAACTCAAGTTAAAAAGCACCACAAACCAAAGTTCAAACACGACACAAACTCAAGTTCAACCAAATCCCAAATCTCAAGTTTGACAATTGCCACAACGTCAAGTTCAAAAACAACAGAAACTCAAGTCAAAACACGCCACAAACTCAAGTTCAACAAACACACAAACTCAAGTCAAAACACGCCACAAACTCAAGTTAAACAAACACACAAACTCAAGTTCAAAAACACCACAAACTCAAGTTCAACCAACACCCAAATCTCAAGTTTAACAATTGCCACAAACTTAAATTCAAAAAACACACAAAAATTCAAACTAAAGTTCAGAGAAAAATACAGACTCAAGTTCAACAATTGCCACAAACTCAAGTTCAACAAACACCACAATCTTAAGTTAAAAAAATGCCAAAATTTCAAATTCAACAAATGACCTAAACTCACATTTAACAATTGCCAAAAACTCAAGTTCAACAAACTCAAGTTCAAAAATTGCAACAACCTCAAGTTCAAAAAACACACAAATTCAAGTTCAAAAACACCACAAACTCAAGTTCAAAAAAACACAAAAATTCAAGTTCAAAAACACCACAAACTCAAGTTAAATGAACACCACAAAGTCAAGTTCAACAAATGTCAAAGTTTTAAGTTCAACCAACACCCAAATCTAAAGATTAACAATTGCCAAAACCTTAAGTTAAAAAACAACACAAACTCAAGTTCAAAAACGCGACAAACTCAAGTTTAACAATTGCCACCAAATAAAGTTCACTAAAAACCAAAGACTCAAGTTAAAAACTCAAGTTCAAAAATTGCAACAAACTCAAGTTCAAACACAACACTCAAGTTCAAACATGACACAAACTCAAGTTCAAACACGACACAAACTCAAGTTCAAACACGACACAAACTCAAGTTCAAACACGGCACAAACTCAAGTTCAAACAACACCCAAATATCAAGTTTAACATTTGCCAAAACCTCAAGTTCAAAAACACCACAAACCCAAGTTCTAAACGACAAAAACTCAAGTTCAACAAACACACGAACTCAAGTTCAACAATTGCCACCAACTAATGTTCAGAGAAAAATACAGACTCAATGTTAACAATTGCCACAAACTAAAGTTCAACAAACACCACAAGCTTAAGTTCAAAAAATGCCAAAATTTCAAATTCAACAAATAACCTATATTAACATTAAAGAATTGCCAAAAACTCAAGTTCAACAAACTCAAGTTCAAAAATTGCAACAACCTCAAGTTCAAAAAACACACAAATTCAAGTTCAAAAACACCACAAACTCAAGTTCAAAAAACACAAAAATTCAAGTTCAAAAACACCACAAACTCAAGTTAAATGAACACCACAAAGTCAAGTTCAACAAATGTCAAAGTTTTAAGTTCAACCAACACCCAAATCTAAAGATTAACAATTGCCAAAACCTCAAGTTAAAAAACAACACAAACTCAAGTTCAAACACGCGACAAACTCAAGTTTAACAATTGCCACCAAATAAAGTTCACTAAAAACCAAAGACTCAAGTTCAAAACTCAAGTTCAGAAATTGCAACAAACTCAAGTTCAAACATGAAACAAACTCAAGTTCAAACACGACACAAACTCAAGTTCAAACACGACACAAACTCAAGTTCAAACACGGCACAAACTCAAGTTCAAACAACACCCAAATATCAAGTTTAACATTTGCCAAAACCTCAAGTTCAAAAACACCACAAACTCAAGTTCTAAACGACAAAAACTCAAGTTCAACAAACACACAAACTCAAGTTCAACAATTGCCACCAACTAATGTTCAGAGAAAAATACAGACTCAATGTTAACAATTGCCACAAACTCAAGTTCAACAAACACCACAAGCTTAAGTTCAAAAAATGCCAAAATTTCAAATTCAACAAATAACCTATATTAACATTAAAGAATTGCCAAAAACTCAAGTTCAACAAACTCAGGTTCAAAAAACACACAAATTCAAGTTCAAAAACACCACAAACTCAAGTTCAAAAATGCCGAAACTTAATTTCAACTGACACCCAAATCTCAAGTTTAACAAATTGCCACAACCTCATGTTCAAAAACAACAGAAACTCAAATTCAAAAACACCAAAAACTCAAGTTAAAAAAAACCCACACAAATTCAAGATCACAAAACAGCAAAATCTCAAGTTCGAACACGACACAAACTCAGGTTCAACAAACACACAAACTCAAGTTTAACAATTGCCACCAAATAAAGTTCATTAAAAACCAAAGACTCAAGTTAAAAACTCAAGTTCAAAAATTGCCACAAACTCAAGTTCAAACACAACACTCAAGTTCAAACATGACACAAACTCAAGTTCAAACACGACACAAACTCAAGTTCAAACACGACACAAACTCAAGTTCAAACACGGCACAAACTCAAGTTCAAACACGGCACAAACTCAAGTTCAAACAACACCCAAATATCAAGTTTAACATTTGCCAAAACCTCAAGTTCAAAAACACCACAAACTCAAGTTCTAAACGACAAAAACTCAAGTTCAACAAACACACGAACTCAAGTTCAACAATTGCCACCAACTAATGTTCAGAGAAAAATACAGACTCAATGTTAACAATTGCCACAAACTCAAGTTCAACAAACACCACAAGCTTAAGTTCAAAAAATGCCAAAATTTCAAATTCAACAAATAACCTATATTAACATTAAAGAATTGCCAAAAACTCAAGTTCAACAAACTCAGGTTCAAAAAACACACAAATTCAAGTTCAAAAACACCACAAACTCAAGTTCAAAAATGCCGAAACTTAATTTCAACCAACACCCAAATCTCAAGTTTAACAAATTGCCACAACCTCATGTTCAAAAACAACAGAAACTCAAATTCAAAAACACCAAAAACTCAAGTTAAAAAAAACCACACAAATTCAAGATCACAAAACAGCATAATCTCAAGTTCAAACACGACACAAACTCAGGTTCAACAAACACACAAACTCAAGTTTAACCAATACCCAATTCTCACGTTTAACAATTTCCACAACCTCAAGTTCAAACACGACACAAACTCAAGTTCAAACACGACACAAACTCAAGTTCAAACACGACACAAACTCAAGTTCAAACAACACCCAAATATCAAGTTTAACATCTGCCAAAACCTCAAGTTCAAAAACACCACAAACTCAAGTTCTAAATGACAAAAACTCAAGTTCAACAAACACACGAACTCAAGTTCAACCAATGCCCACTTCGCAAGTTTAACAATTTCCACAACCTCAAGTTAGAAAAACACACAGACTCAAGTTAAAAAATAACCAGAAAATCTAGTTCAAACACTTCACAAACTCAAGTTCAAAAACACCACAAACTCAAGTTCAACCAACACCTAAGTCACAAGTTTAACAATTGCCACAAACTTCAGTTCAAAAAACACAAAAGCTCAAGATCAAAAACACCACAAACTCAAGTTCAAACACGATTCACAAACTCAGGTTCAACCAAATCCCAAATCTCAAGTTTAACAATTTCCACAACCTCAAGTTCAAAACCAACAGAAACTCAAGTTCAAACACGCCACAAACTCAAGTACAACAAACACCACAAACTCAAGTTCAACAATTGCCACCAAGTAAAGTTCAGAGAAAAATACAGACTCAAGGTTAACAATTGCCACAAACTCAAGTTCAACAAACACCACAAACTCAAGTTCAACAAATGTCACAGTTTCAAGTTCAACCAACACCCGATTCTCAGGTTTAACAATTTCCACAACCTCAAGTTCAAAAAACACCACAAACTCAAGTTCAAACACGCCACAAACTCAAGTTCAACAAACGCCACAAACTCAACTTCAAAAACACCACACAAACTGAAGTTCTAAAACGACACAAACTCAAGTTCAACAAACACAACAAGTCAAGTTCAAGCAACACCCGATTCTCAAGTTTAACAATTTCCACAACCTCAAGTTCAAAAAACACACAAACTCAAGTTCAAAAACACCAGAACCTCAAGTTCAAAAAACATAATAAACTCAAGTTCAAATATTCCATAAACTCAAGTTCAATGAACACCACAAACTCAAGTTCAACCAACACCCGATTCTCAAGTTTAACAATTGCCACAACCTCAAGTTAAAAAAAACACAAACTCAAGTTCAAACACTTCACAAACTCAAGTTCAACAAACGCCACAAACTCAAGTTCAACAAACGCCACAAACTCAAGTTCAACAATTGCCACCAACTAAAGTTCACTAAAAACCAAAGACTCAAGTTCAACAATTGCCAAAAAATCAAGCGAAACAAACTCAAGTTCATAAGTTGTCACAAACTTCAAACACGACACAAACTCAAGTTCAAAAACACCACAAACTCAAGTTCAAAAAGACACAAACTCAAGTTCAACAAACAAAACTAACTATTTAGAGTAATTTTGAGGTGTTTGAGAGGTTTTTTGTAGACTTACCCTAGTGGTCCTATGTTGTTGTTGATGTGAGGCGTTTCTTTTCCAGTAGTCTAAAATCTGTTGGAGGGGGGAAGGTTCCAGCTGTCCAGCCACGGCGGCAGCGGTGTGTCTGAAGTCCGGGGTCCTCGGCGGGGGAAAGAAGATAGGCGCTCCGCGGCAAGGTTTGCTGGGACTCGGTGTCGTCGGCGGGTCGAAGCTCGGTGGTGGGCGGCTTGGAGTGATGGAGGTCTTCTTGGTCCAGTGGTCAGTGCTTTGTCTCAATTACAGCAACAGGAATTGCTCTTTAGTGCACAGCACTTAAATGTGCTTTTGACAGGAGAAGACATCCCCAGAGTTGGGCTCGAGTCATGGTTTGTGCTGTTCCTCTCAGACATGGTTGTGTTCTCTTCTCGATGTTTGTATTCCAGAATGGATGTCTCTTGGTTGTATTTTAAACTTTCAAGTAGTTTTAAGTTCATTTTAATGTAGTTTATTTGTTTTAAATTTAGTTTTGCTAAATTAAATTTGTATGCAATCGTAAGGGATTGTGGGTGTTTTAGTTCTGAGGGATGAGAGCCTAAGGAATCAATCTCCCTGTTGCAGCAAAGGATTGTGGGTAAAACCGTGAGTGAGGGAGGTACATTTTTCCTGGCATGAGAACCTCAGGAGTGAGTCCTTCCTAAGAAAAAAGAGGGGAGGGGGGAAGACAAACAAAAGCACAGGAACCCTAAAATGAAATAAAATAAAATAAAATAAAATAATATAAAACAATGAAAAAATAAAAAATAAAAGAAGAACAAAAGTGGATTGCAAAAGGGAAAGGAGAAGAAAAAAGGCAAAAAAGAAGTGTCAAGAGCAAATAGCAAAAAACAGAAGTGAGCTTAAAAACAGAGAACAGTTCCCTAAAAGACAGACAGAAATGTAAATTTGATCAATGTCCTAAGGGAAAATCTGCACGTGTATGTGTGTTCTTTTTTACTAGCTTAGTCTGGTGTCACTGATGGTCAGTTATCAATAAGTATTTATTATTTAAATTTTTGATGAAGTTGTTTGTAGTGGGGTTAGCTGGCTAATTTTAGAGTGTTAAAAAAGATGTTAGAGGGGGAGGATTTAGGTGGCACGGCGGTTCCCCTTCAGGTCTCTCTTAATCCTCAATATAGGTGACCCAACAGGGGTTACCCCCCGGCCGGGGTAGGCCGAGGCTGGAGATCACCTATTTGTCCTCTGTGAAGGTGAAAATAAAGGGGCAGGGGAGGGAATAAGAAAGAGGGGGGGTGTTAGAGAGAGGGGGAGAGATGAGGGAGAGAGATGAGGGAGAGAGAGGGGGGGTGTGAGAGAGAGAGAGAGAGAGAGAGAGAGAAGGGAAGAGGGAGAGGGGGGTTTAAGGGAGAGGTGGAGATGGTGGAAAATAAAGATTGGTGAGGGGGATTTGGTGGCGGATGAAACATCCCATAGCTCCCCAGCTCTCACCATCCATGTGAGGAGAGTGAGCAAGGGACATAGTCACCCAACCCGACTAGGTCTAGGCTCTGCTCTCCTCACGGTCCTCACAAGATACAAAGAGATATGTAAACGTGGAAGTGAGAGTTCTCTAGGCAGAGTTTTGGGTTTGGTTTGAGCTGAGTTGGTCAGTTGATTATTGATTACTATTTTAAGTTCTAAAAGTGGATAGAGTCAAAAAGTCACAGAGGATTGTGGTGGGAGCAGGTGGTCCATCTGGCACCATTCTGCTCATGCAGGGATTCGAGTGATAGAAAGAGAATAGATCTTGCCACCGTGACTCGCCATTGAGACTCTCCTCACCTGCTGGTTTTCATCCTCTGATAGGAGAGAGGTACAGATCAGGAGAGAGGGAGAAAAGGAGGGAGGCAGGGTGGGGTCAGGAGTTAATTTGTCTTGAAAAGTATTTATCTTTTCGTCATTGCTGTTAGGGTTTAGATGTTTTTTGTTTAGTTTTCTGAGGAATGTAGTGTTAGTATAGGTTCCAAGGTGGAGGATTCTTTGGAATTCACTCTCACCCTTGAAACTGGAAGATCTTAGATTCTATAAAGGGGGGGGGTGAGAGGTTGTGTGCACAGAAGGAGCATGGGCTCAGACTATTCTCGGAATGATATTGTGACAAGTCTGTCCGAAGGTAAGTGGCTGGTTAGGTGTGGGAAAGAGATAGAGTGATAGCCCCCGCTTTCGTCAGTTGACTTGGCGGTTTGAGGTAGGCTGATCAAGGGCTTGCACTGGCCGGCGCATGTCGACCTGTCACATGTTCCAGTCGAGTCTCCGAGCTCAATCTGTGTGTAAAAATTATGTGTTGGTAGAAAGTTTAATGACTCAGCTCAGTTGGTATGCTATGCTGTCTATCTTTTAGACTATGTGTTTGTAGAGCAATATTATGTATATATTATGTTACAGGGCTAGGAAAAGGTTAAAGGTTTTTGGCGTTAGGGTTAAAATCACTGTCCAAAACCTTTGTAGGAACTCGTTTCCAACCTTTTGGAGGGAGCTAGACTAGAAAAAAAAGAAAAAAGAAAAAAAAAATTTGGGGTGTTCGGGCTTTTTTTGGAGTTAGTTATACCGAAAAAAAATGAAAAATGAAAAAAATATATTTGGGGTGTTCGGGCTTCCTGAAGGTAATTAGGTTTTGGGGCTAGGGTAAGGTTTAAGGTTTTGGCGTTAGGGTTAAAATCACTGTCCAAAACCTTTTTAGGAACATGTTTCAGACCTTTTGGAGTTAGTTAGACAAAAAAAAAGAAAAAGAAAAAAAATATTTGGGGTGTTCGGGCTTCCTGAAGGTAATTAGGGTTTAGGTTAGGGGCTAGAGTAAGGTTTAAGGTTTTTGGCGTATGGGTTAAAATCAACTGTCCAATATTTTTAAGGAACATGTTTCAGACCTTTGGGAGTTAGTTAGACAAAAAAAAAGAAAAATGAAAAAAAAATATTTGGGGTGTTCGGGCTTCCTGAAGGTAATACCCAGGTATTAGGTTATGGGGCTAGGGTAAGGTTTAAGGTTTTTGGCGTAAGAGGGTTAAAATCACTGTCCAAAACCTTTGTAGGAACATGTTTAAGACCTTTTGGAGTTGGTTACACCAAAAAAAAAGAAAATGAAAAAAAATATTTGGGGTGTTCGGGCTTCCTGAAGGTAATACCCAAGTATTAGGTTATGGTGCTAGGGTAAGGTTTAAGGTTTTTGGCGTGAGGGTTAAAATCACTGTCCAAAACCTTTTTAGGAACATGTTTCAGACCTTTTGGAGTTAGTTAGACCAAAAAAAACGAAAATGAAAAAAAAATATTTGGGGTGTTCGGGCTTCCTGAAGGTAATACCGGGTATAAGGTTATGGGGCTAGGGTAATGGTTTAAGGTTTTTGGCGTTAGGGTTAAAATCACTGTCCAAAACCTTTGTAGGAACTCTTTTCCAACCTTTTGGAGTTAGTTAGACCAAAAAAAAAAAGAAAAATGAAAAAAAATATATTTGGGGTGTTCGGGCTTCCTGAAGGTAATACCCGGGTATTAGGTTATGGGGCTAGGGTAAGGTTTAAGGTTTTTGGCGTTAGGGTTAAAATCACTGTCCAAAACCTTTTTAGGAACATGTTTCAGACCTTTTGGAGTTAGTTACACCAAAAAAAATGTAAAATGAAAAAAAATATTTTGGGTGTTCGGGCTTCCTGAAGGTAATACCCGGGTATTAGGTTTCTGGGCTAGGGTAATGTTTAAGGTTTTTGGCGTTAGGGTTAAAATAACTGTCCAATATTTTTTAAGGAACATGTTTCAGACATTTGGGAGTTAGTTAGACCAAAAAAAAAAGAAAAATAAAAAAAAAAAATTTGGGGTGTTCGGGCTTCCTGAAGGTAATACCCGGGTATTAGGTTATGGGGCTAGGGTAAGGTTTAAGGTTTTTAGCGTTAGAGTTAAAATCAGTGTCCAAAACCTTTTTAGGAACATGTTTAAGACCTGTTGGAGTTGGTTACACCAAAAAAAAATGTAAAATGAAAAAAAAAATATTTGGGGTGTTCGGGCTTCCTGAAGGTAATACCCGGGTATTAGGTTTTTGGGCTAGGGTAAGGTTTAAGGTTTTTGGCGTTAGGGTTAAAATCACTGTCCAATATTTTTTAAGGAACATGTTTCAGACATTTGGGAGTTAGTTAGACAAAAAAAAAAGAAAAAAGAAAAAAAAAATATTTGGGGTCTTCGGGCTTCCTGAAGGTAATAAGGTTTTAGGTTTTTGGCGTGAGGGTTAAAATCACTGTCCAAAACCTTTGTAGGACCTCTTTTCCAACCTTTTGGTGTTAGTTAGACAAAAAAAAAAACGAAAAATGAAAAAAAAATATTTGGGGTTTTTGGGCCTCCTGAAGGTAATACCCGGGTATTAGGTTATGGGGCTATAGTAAGGTTTAAGGTTTTTGGCGTGAGGGTTAAAATCACTGTCCAAAACCTTTGTAGGAACTATTTCCAACCTTTTGGAGTTAGTTAGACCAAAATAAAACGAAAAATGAAAAAAAATATTTGGGGTTTTCGGGCTTCCTGAAGGTAATAAGGTTTAAGGTTTTTGGCGTTAGGGTTAAAATCACTGTCCAATATTTTTTAAGGAAGTCTTTTCCAACCTTTTGGAGTTAGTTAGACAAAAAAAAAAAGAAAAATGAAAAAAAAATATTTGGGGTGTTCGGGCTTCCTGAAGGTAATACCCGGGTATTAGGTTATGGGGATAGGGTAAGGTTTAAGGTTTTTGGTGTAAGGGTTAAAATCACTGTCCAAAACCTTTTTAGGAACATGTTTCAGACCTTTTGGAGTTAGTTACACCAAAAAAATGCAAAATAAAAAAAAAATTTTTTTGGGTGTTCGGGCTTCCTGAAGGTAATACTAGGTTTCTGGGCTAGGGTAATGTTTAAGGTTTTTGGCGTTAGGGTTAAAATCAATGTCCAAAACCTTTGTAGGAACTCTTTTCCAACCTTTGAGAGCAAGTTAGACCAAAAAAAAAAAGAAAATGAAAAAAAAATATTTGGGGTGTTCGGGCTTCCTGAAGGTAATACCAGGGTATTAGGTTATGGGGCTAGGGTTAGGTTTAACGTTTTTGGTGTAAGAGTTGAAATCATTTTCCAAAACCTTTTTAGGAACATGTTTAAGACCTTTTGGAGTTGGTTAGACCAAAAAAAAAAAAAGAAAAAAAAAAATATATTTTGGGGTGTTCGGGCTTCCTGAAGGTAATACCCGGGTATTAGGTTTTGGGGCTAGGGTTAAGGTTTAAGGTTTTTGGAATTAGGGTTAAAATCACTGTCCAATACCTTTTAAGGAACTCTTTTCAGACCTTTGGGAGTTAGTTAGACCAAAAAAAAAGAAAAAGAAAAAAAAATATTTGGGGTGTTCGGGCTTCCTGAAGGTAATAGGTTTTGGGGCTAGGTAAGGTTTAAGGTTTTTGGCGTTAGGGTTAAAATCACTGTCCAAAACCTTTGTAAGGAACTCTTTTCCAACCTTTTGGAGTTAGTTAGACCAAAAAAAAAGAAAAATGAAAAAAAAAATATTTGGGGTTTTTGGGCCTCCTGAAGGTAATACCCGGGTATTAGGTTATGGGGCTATAGTAAGGTTTAAGGTTTTTGGCGTGAGGGTTAAAATCACTGTCCAAAACCTTTGTAGGAACTATTTCCAACCTTTTGGAGTTAGTTAGACCAAAATAAAACGAAAAATGAAAAAAAATATTTGGGGTTTTCGGGCTTCCTGAAGGTAATAAGGTTTAAGGTTTTTGGCGTTAGGGTTAAAATCACTGTCCAATATTTTTTAAGGAACATGTGTCAGACATTTGGGAGTTAGTTAGACAAAAAAAAAAAGAAAAAGAGAAAAAAAAATTTGGGGTGTTCGGGTTCCTGAAGGTAATACCCGGGTATTAGGTTATGGGGCTAGGGTTAAGGTTTAAGGTTTTTGGCGTGAGGGTTAAAATCACTGTCCAAAACCTTTGTAGGAACTCTTTTCAACCTTTTGGAGTTAGTTAGACCAAAAAATAAACGAAAAATGAAAAAAAAATGTTTGGGGTGTTCGGTCTTCCTGAAGGTAATACTAGATTTCTGGGGCTAGGGTAAGGTTTAAGGTTTTTGGCGTTAGGGTTAAAATCACTGTCCAAAACCTTTGTAGGAACTCTTTTCAACCTTTGGAGTTAGTTAGACCAAAAAAAAAAGAAAAAATATAAATTTGGGGTGTTCGGGCTTCCTGAAGGTAATACCCGGGTATTAGGTTATGGGGCTAGGGTAAGGTTTAAGGTTTTTGGCGTTAGGGTTAAAATCCCTGTCCAAAACCTTTGTAGGAACTCTTTTCCAACCTTTTATGAGTTAGTTACACCAAAAATAAACGAAAAATGAAAAAAAAAAATTTGGGGTGTTCGGCCTTCCTGAAGGTAATACCCCGGTATTAGGTTTTGGGGCTAGGGTAAGGTTTAAGGTTTTTGGCGTGAGGGTTAAAATCACTGTCCAAAACCTTTGTAGGACCTCTTTTCCAACCTTTTGGTGTTAGTTAGACAAAAAAAAAAACGAAAAATGAAAAAAAAATATTTGGGGTTTTTGGGCCTCCTGAAGGTAATACCCGGGTATTAGGTTATGGGGCTAGGGTAAGGTTTAAGGTTTTTGGCGTTAGGGTTAAAATCACTGTCCAAAACCTTTGTAGGAACTCTTTTCCAACCTTTTGGAGTTAGTTACACCAAAAAAAAAATTGTAAAATGAAAAAGAAATATTTGGGGTGTTTGGGCTTCCTGAAGGTAATACCCTGGTATTAGGTTATGGGGCTAGGGTAAGGTTTAAGGTTTTTGGCGTGAGGGTTAAAATCCCTGTCCAAAACCTTTGTAGGAACTCTTTTCCAACCTTTTGGAGTTAGTTACACCAAAAATAAACGAAAAATGAAAAAAAAATATTTGGGGTGTTCGGTCTTCCTGAAGGTAATACCCGATTATGGGGCTAGGGAAAGGTTTAAGGTTTTTGGCGTTAGGGTTAAAATCACTGTCCAAAACCTTTGTAGGAACATATTTCAGACGTTATGGAGTTAGTAACACCAAAAAAAAAAGATGTAAAATGAAAAAAAATATTTGGGGTGTTCGGGCTTCCTGAAGGTAATTAGGTATTGGTAATCAGGCTAGGGTCAGGTTTAAGGTTTTTGGCGTGAGGGTTAAAATCACTGTCCAAAACCTTTGTAGGAACTCTTTTCAACCTTTTGGAGTTAGTTACACCAAAAAAAAACGTAAAATGAAAAAAAAATTTGGGGTGTTCGGCTTCCTGAAGGTAATACGATTTATGGGGCTAGGGAAAGGTTTAAGGTTTTTGGCGTTAGGGTTAAAATCACTGTCCAAAACCTTTTAGGAACATGTTTCAGACCTTTTGGAGTTAGTTACACCAAAAAAAAATTGAAAAATGAAAAAAAATATTTGGGGTGTTTGGGCTTCCTGAAGGTAATACCCGGGTATAAGGTTATGGGGCTAGGGTAAGGTTTAAGGTTTTTGGCGTTAGGGTTAAAATCACTGTCCAAAACCTTTGTAGGAACTCTTTTCCAACCTTTTGGAGTTAGTTAGACCAAAAAAAAATTGAAAAATGAAAAAGAAATATTTGGGGTGTTCGGGCTTCCTGAAGGTTATACCCTGGTATAAGGTTATGGGGCTAGGGTAAGGTTTAAGGTTTTTGGCGTGAGGGTTAAAATCACTGTCCAAAACCTTTTTAGGAACATGTTTCAGACCTTTTGGAGTTAGTTACACCAAAAAAAAGAAAAATGAAAAAAAAATATTTGGGGTGTTCGGGCTTCCTGAAGGTAATACCGTATTAGATTATGGGGCTAGGGAAAGGTTTAATGTTTTTGGCGTTAGGGTTAAAATCACTGTCCAAAACCTTTTAGGAACATATTTCAACCTTTTGGAGTTAGTTAGACCAAAAAAAAAGATGTAAAATGAAAAAAAATATTTGGGGTGTTCGGGCTTCCTGAAGGTAATACCCAGGTATTAGGTTATGGGGCTAGGGTAAGGTTTAAGGTTTTTGGCGTGAGGGTTAAAATCACTGTCCAAAACCTTTGTAGGAACTCTTTTCCAACCTTTTGGAGTTAATTAGACCAAAAAAAAAAAGAACAAAGAAAAAAAAATTGGGGGTTTTCGGGCTTCCTGCAGGTAATACCCGGGTATTTGGTTATGGGGCTATGGTAAGGTTTAAGGTTTTGGCGTTAGGGTTAAAATCACTGTCCAAAACCTTTGTAGGAACATATTTCAGACCTTTTGGAGTTAGTTACACCAAAAAAAAAAGATGTAAAATGAAAAAAAATATTTGGGGTGTTCGGGCTTCCTGAAGGTAATACCCAGGTATCAGGGTAATCAGGCTAGGGTAAGGTTTAAGGTTTTTGGCGTGAGGGTTAAAATCACCTGTCCAAAACCTTTGTAGGAACTCTTTTCCAACCTTTTGGAGTTAGTTAGACCAAAAAAAAAACGAAAAATGAAAAAAAAAATTTGGGGTGTTCGGCTTCCTGAAGGTAATACCCGGGTATTAGGTTTTGGGGCTAGGGTAAGGTTTAAGGTTTTTGGCGTTAGGGTTAAAATCACTGTCCAAAACCTTTGTAGGAACTCTTTTCCAACCTTTTGGAGTTAGTTAGACAAAAAAAAAAAAAAAATGAAAAAAAATATTTTGGGGTGTTCGGGCTTCCTGAAGGTAATACCCGGGTATCAGGTTTTGGGGCTAGGGAAAGGTTTAAGGTTTTTGGCGTGAGGGTTAAAATCACTGTCCAAAACCTTTGTAGGAACTCTTTTCCAACCTTTTGGAGTTAGTTACACCAAAAAAAAGAAAAATGAAAAAAAATATTTGGGGTGTTCGGGCTTCCTGAAGGTAATACCCGGTTGTTAGGTTTTGGGGCTAGGGTAAGGTTTAAGGTTTTTGGCGTTAGGGTTAAAATCACTGTCCAAAACCTTTGTAGGAACTCGTTTCCAACCTTTTGGAGTTAGTTACACCAAAAAAAAATGAAAAATAAAAAAAAATATTTGGGGTGTTCGGGCTTCCTGAAGGTAATACCCGGGTATTAGGTTATGGGGCTTTGGAAAGGTTTAAGGTTTTTGGCGTTAGGGTTAAAATCACTGTCCAAAACCTTTTTAGGAACTTGTTTCAGACCTTTTGGAGTTAGTTACACCAAAAAAAAAAAAAAAATGAAAAAAAAATATTTGGGGTGTTCGGGCTTCCTGAAGGTAATACCCGGGTATTAGGTTTTGGGGCTAGGGTAAGGTTTAAGGTTTTTGGCGTTAGGGTTAAAATCACTGTCCAAAACCTTTGTAGAACTCTTTTCCAACCTTTTGGAGTTAGTTACAAAAAAAAAGAAAAATGAAAAAAAAATATTTGGGGTGTTCGGGCTTCCTGAAGGTAATACCCGGGTATTAGGTTATGGGGCTTTGGTAAGGTTTAAGGTTTTTGGCGTTAGGGTTAAAATCACTGTCCAAAACCTTTGTAGGAACTCTTTTCCAACCTTTTGGAGTTAGTTACACCAAAAAAAAAAAATGAAAAAAAATATTTGGGGTGTTCGGGCTTCCTGAAGGTAATACCCGGATAGGTTATGGGGCTATGGTAAGGTTTAAGGTTTTTGGCGTTAGGGTTAAAATCACTGTCCAAAACCTTTATTGGAACTTTCTTCCAACCTTTTGGATTTAGTTTGACAAAAAAAAAGAAAAATAAAAAATATATATTTGGGGTGTTTGGGCTTCCTGAAGGTAATACCCCGGTGTTAGGTTTTGGGGCTAGGGTAAGGTTTAAGGTTTTTGGCGTTAGGGTTAAAATCACTGTCCAAAACCTTTGTAGGAACTCTTTTCCAACCTTTTGGAGTTAGTTAGACCAAAAAAAAAAAAAAAAAAAAAAAAAAATTGGGGTGTTCGGTCTTCCTGAAGGTATTAGATTATGGGGCTAGGGAAAGGTTTAATGTTTTTGGCGTTAGGGTTAAAATCACTGTCCAAAACCTTTTTAGGAACATGTTTCAGACCTTATGGAGTTAGTTACACCAAAAAAAAATGTAAAATGAAAAAAAAATATTTGGGGTGTTCGGGCTTCCTGAAGGTAATACCCAGGTATCAGGGTAATCAAGGCTAGGGTCAGGTTTAAGGTTTTTAGCGTGAGGGTTAAAATCCCTGTCCAAAACCTTTGTAGGAACTCTTTTCCAACCTTTTGGAGTTAGTTACACCAAAAATAAACGAAAAATGAAAAAAAAAATTTGGGGTGTTCGGTCTTCCTGAAGGTATTAGATTATGGGGCTAGGGTAAGGTTTAAGGTTTTTGGCGTTAGGGTTAAAATCACTGTCCAAAACCTTTGTAGGACCATGTTTCAGACCTTTTGGAGTTGGTTACACCAAAAAAAAAAAAGAAAATGAAAAAAAAATATTTGGGGTGTTTCGGGCTTCCTGAAGGTAATACCCGGGTATTAGGTTATGGGGCTAGGGTAAGGTTTAAGGTTTTTGGCGTTAGGTTTAAAATCACTGTCCAAAACCTTTTTAGGAACATGTTTCAGACCTTTTGGAGTTAGTTAGACCAAAAAAAAACGAAAAATGAAAAACAAATATTTGGGGTGTTTCGGGCTTCCTGAAGGTTAATACCCTGGTATAAGGTTATGGGGCTAGGGTAAGGTTTAAGGTTTTTGGCGTGAGGGTTAAAATCACTGTCCAAAACCTTTGTAGGAACTCTTTTCCAACCTTTTGGAGTTAGTTAGACCAAAAAAAAAAAAAAAATGAAAAAAAAATATTTGGGGTGTTCGGGCTTCCTGAAGGTATTAGGTTATGGGGCTAGGGAAAGGTTTAAGGTTTTTGGCGTTAGGGTTAAAATCACTGTCCAAAACCTTTGTAGGAACTCTTTCAGACGTTTTGGAGTTAGTTAGACCAAAAAAAAAGAAAAATGAAAAAAAATATTTGGGGTGTTCGGGCTTCCTGAAGGTAATACCCAGGTATCAGGGTTAATCAGGCTAGGGTCAGGTTTAAGGTTTTTGGCGTGAGGGTTAAAATCACTGTCCAAAACCTTTGTAGGAACTCTTTTCCAACCTTTTGGAGTTAGTTACACCAAAAAAAAACGAAAAATGAAAAAAAAAATATTTGGGGTGTTCGGCTTCCTGAAGGTAATACCCGGTATTAGGTTTTGGGGCTAGGGTAAGGTTTAAGGTTTTTGGCGTTAGGGTTAAAATCACTGTCCAAAACCTTTTTAGGAACTCTTTTCAACCTTTTGGAGTTAGTTACACCAAAAAAAAAAATGTAAAATGAAAAAAAATATTTGGGGTGTTCGGGCTTCCTGAAGGTAATACCCGGGTATCAGGGTAATCGGCTAGGGTAAGGTTTAAGGTTTTTGGCGTGAGGGTTAAAATCACTGTCCAAAACCTTTGTAGGAACTCTTTTCCAACCTTTTGGAGTTAGTTAGACCAAAAAAAAAGAAAAATGAAAAAAAAAAATTTGGGGTGTTCGGGCCTTCCTGAAGGTAATACCCGGGTATTAGGTTTTGGGGCTAGGGTAAGGTTTAAGGTTTTTGGCGTTAGGGTTAAAATCACTGTCCAAAACCTTTGTAGGAACTCTTTTCCAACCTTTTGGAGTTAGTTTGACCAAAAAAAAAAGAAAAATGAAAATAAAATATTTGGGGTGTTCGGGCTTCCTGAAGGTAATACCCGGGTATTAGGTTATGGGGCTAGGGTAAGGTTTAAGGTTTTTGGCGTGAGGGTTAAAATCACTGTCCAAAACCTTTGTAGGAACTCTTTTCCAACCTTTTGGAATTAGTTAGACCAAAAAAAACGAAAAATGAAAAAAATATTTGGGGTGTTCGGGCTTCCTGAAGGTAATACCCGGGTATTAGGTTTTGGGGCTAGGGTAAGGTTTAAGGTTTTTGGCGTTAGGGTTAAAATCACTGTCCAAAACCTTTGTAGGAACTCTTTTCCAACCTTTTGGAGTTAGTTAGACCAAAAAAAAAGAAAAATGAAAAAAAAATATTTGGGGTTTTCGGGCTTCCTGAAGGTAATACCCGGGTATTAGGTTATGGGGCTATGGTAAGGTTTAAGGTTTTTGGCGTTAGGGTTAAAATCACTGTCCAAAACCTTTTTAGGAACATGTTTCAGACCTTTTGGAATTAGTTAGACCAAAAAATAACGAAAAATGAAAAAAAAAAAAAAATTGGGGTGTTCGGCCTTCCTGAAGGTAATACCCGGGTATTAGGTTTTGGGGCTAGGGTAAGGTTTAAGGTTTTTGGCGTTAGGGTTAAAATCACTGTCCAAAACCTTTGTAGGAACTCTTTTCCAACCTTTTGGAGTTAGTTAGACCAAAAAAAAACAAAAAATGAAAAAAAAATATTTGGGGTCTTCGGGCTTCCTGAAGGTAATACCCGGGTATTAGGTTATGGGGCTTTGGTAAGGTTTAAGGTTTTTGGCATTAGGGTTAAAATCACTGTCCAAAACCTTTGTAGGAACTCTTTTCCAACCTTTTGGAGTTAGTTACACCAAAAAAAAAATGAAAAAGAAAAAAAAATATTTGGGGTGTTCGGGCTTCCTGAAGGTAATACCCGGGTATTAGGTTATGGGGCTATAATAAGGTTTAAGGTTTTTGGCGTGAGGGTTAAAATCACTGTCCAAAACCTTTGTAGGAACTCTTTTCCAACCTTTTGGAGTTAGTTAGACCAAAAAAAAAAGAAAAATGAAAAAAAAAAATATTTGGGGTTTTCGGGCTTTCTGAAGGTTATACCCGGGTATTAGGTTATGGGGCTAGGGTAAGGTTTAAGGTTTTTGGCGTTAGGGTTAAAATCACTGTCCAAAACCTTTGTAGGAACTCTTTTCCAACCTTTTGGAGTTAGTTAGACCAAAAAAAAAAAAAAAAAAGAAAAAAAAATATACGGGGTGTTCGGGCTTCCTGAAGGTAATACTAGGTTATGGGGCTAGGTAAGGTTTAAGGTTTTTGGCGTTAGGGTTAAAATCACTGTCCAAAACCTTTGTAGGAATCTTTTCAACCTTTTGGAGTTAGTTACACCAAAAAAAAGAAAATGAAAAAAAAATATTTGGGGTGTTCGGGCTTCCTGAAGGTAATACCCGGGTATTAGGTTATGGGGCTAGGGAAAGGTTTAAGGTTTTTGGCGTTAGGGTTAAAATCACTGTCCAAAACCTTTTAGGAACATGTTTCAGACCTTTTGGAGTTAGTTACACCAAAAAAAATTGTAAAATGAAAAAAAATATTTGGGGTGTTTGGGCTTCCTGAAGGTAATACCCGGGTATAAGGTTATGGGGCTAGGGTAAGGTTTAAGGTTTTTGGCGTTAGGGTTAAAATCACTGTCCAAAACCTTTGTAGGAACTCTTTTCCAACCTTTTGGAGTTAGTTAGACCAAAAAAAATGAAAAATGAAAAAAAATATTTGGGGTGTTCGGGCTTCCTGAAGGTAATACCCGGGTATTAGGTTTTGGGGCTAGGTTAAGGTTTAAGGTTTTTGGCGTGAGGGTTAAAATCACTGTCCAAAACCTTTGTAGGAACTCTTTTCCAACCTTTTGGAGTTAGTTACACCAAAAAAAAAAAAAATGAAAAAAAATATTTGGGGTGTTCGGGCTTCCTGAAGGTAATACCCGGGTATTAGGTTATGGGGCTTTGGTAAGGTTTAAGGTTTTTGGCATTAGGGTTAAAATCACTGTCCAAAACCTTTGTAGGAACTCTTTTCCAACCTTTTGGAGTTAGTTAGACCAAAAAAAAAGAAAAATGAAAAAAAATATTTGGGGTGTTCGGGCTTCCTGAAGGTAATACCCGGGTATTAGGTTATGGGGCTAGGGTAAGGTTTAAGGTTTTTGGCGTGAGGGTTAAAATCACTGTCCAAAACCTTTTTAGGAACATGTTTCAGACCTTTTGGAGTTAGTTAGACCAAAAAAAAACGAAAAATGGAAAAAAAATATTTGGGGTGTTCGGGCTTCCTGAAGGTAATACCCGGGTATTAGGTTTTGGGGCTAGGGTAAGGTTTAAGGTTTTTGGCGTGAGGGTTAAAATCACTGTCCAAAACCTTTGTAGGAACTCTTTTCCAACCTTTTGGAGTTAGTTAGACCAAAAAAAAAAACAAAAATGAAAAAAAAATATTTGGGGTGTTCGGGCTTCCTGAAGGTAATACCCGGGTATAAGGTTATGGGGCTAGGGTTAGGTTTAAGGTTTTTGGCGTTAGGGTTAAAATCCCTGTCCAAAACCTTTGTAGGAACTCTTTTCCAACCTTTTGGAGTTAGTGAGACCAAAAAAAAATGAAAATGAAAAAAAAATATTTGGGGTTTTGGGCTTCCTGAAGGTAATACCCGGGTATAAGGTTATGGGGCTAGGGTAAGGTTTAAGGTTTTTGGCGTTAAGGTTAAAATCACTGTCCAAAACCTTTTTAGGAACATGTTTCCAACCCTTTGGAGTTAGGTAGACCTAAAAAAAACGAAAAATGAAAAGAAATGTTTGGGGTGTTCGGGCTTCCTGAAGGTTATACCCAGGTATTAGGTTATGGGGCTTTGGAAATGTTTAAGGTTTTTGGCGTTAGGGTTAAAATCACTGTCCAAAAGCTTTTTAGGAACATGTTTCAGACCTTTTGGAGTTGGTTACACCAAAAAAAAATGAAAAATGAAAAAAACATATTTGGGGTGTTCGGGCTTCCTGAAGGTAATACCCGGGTATTAGGTTATGGGGCTTTGGAAACATTTAAGGTTTTTGGCATTAGGGTTAAAATCACTGTCAAAAACCTTTGTAGGAACTCTTTTCCAACCTTTTGGAGTTAGTTAGACCAAAAAAAATAAAAATAAAAAATATATATTTGGGGTGTTCGGGCTTCCTGAAGGTAATACCCGGGTATTAGGTTATGGGGCTAGGGTAAGGTTTAAGGTTTTTGGCGTGAGGGTAAAAATCACTGTCCAAAACCTTTGTAGGAACTCTTTTCCAACCTTTTGGAGTTAATTAGACCAAAAAAAAAGAACAAAGAAAAAAAAAATTGGGGGTTTTCGGGCTTCCTGAAGGTAATACCCGGGTATTTGGTTATGGGGCTATGGTTAGGTTTAAGGTTTTTGGCGTTAGGGTTAAAATCACTGTCCAAAACCTTTGTAGGAACTCTGTTCCAACCTTTTTGAGTTATTTAGACCAAAAAAAAATGAAAAATAAAAAAATTTTTATTCGGTTTTTCAGGCTTCCTGGAGGTAATACCTTAGCCATTAGGTCATGGGGCTATGGTAAGGTTTAAGGTTTTTGGCGTAAGGGTTAAAATCACCATCCAAAACCTTTGTAGAAACTCTTTTCCAACCTTTTGGAGTGAGTTAGACCAAAAAAAAATGAAAAATGAAAAAAACATATTTGGGGTGTTCAGGCTTCCTGAAGGTAATAACCGGGTATTAGGTAATGGGGCTAGGGTAAGGTTTAAGGTTTTTGGCGTTAGGGTTAAAATCACTGTCCAAAACCTTTATTGGAACTTTCTTCCAACCTTTTGGATTTAGTTTGACAAAAAAAAAAGAAAAATAAAAAATATATATTTGGGGTGTTTGGGCTTCCTGAAGGTAATACCCCGGTGTTAGGTTTTGGGGCTCGGGTAAGGTTTAAGGTTTTTGGCGTTAGGGTTAAAATCACTGTCCAAAACCTTTATTGGAACTTTCTTCCAACCTTTTGGATTTAGTTTGACAAAAAAAAAGAAAAATAAAAAATATATATTTGGGGTGTTTGGGCTTCCTGAAGGTAATACCCCGGTGTTAGGTTTTGGGGCTCGGGTAAGGTTTAAGGTTTTTGGCGTTAGGGTTAAAATCACTGTCCAAAACCTTTGTAGGAACTCGTTTCCAACCTTTTGGAGTTAGTTACACCAAAAAAAAATGAAAAAGAAAAAAAAATATTTGGGGTGTTCGGGCTTCCTGAAGGTAATACCCGGGTATAGGGTTTTGGGGCCAGGGTAAGGTTGAAGGTTTTTGGCGTTAGGGTTAAAATCACTGTCCAAAACCTTTTTAGGAACATGTTTGAGACCTTTTGGAGTTAGTTTGACTAAAAAAAAACGAAAAATGAAAAAAAAATATTTGGGGTGTTCGGGCTTCCTTATTAGTATTAGGTTATGGGGCTAGGGTAAGGTTTAAGGTTTTTGGCGTTAGGGTTAAAATCACTGTCCAAAACCTTTGTAAGAACTCTTTTCCAACGTTTTGGAGTTAGTTAGTCCAAAAAAAAATGAAAAATGAAAAAAAAATATTTGGGGTGTTCGGGCTTCCTTATTAGTATTAGGTTATGGGGCTTTGGAAAGGTTTAAGGTTTTTGGCGTTAGGGTTAAAATCACTGTCCAAAACCTTTGCAGGAACATGTTTCAGACCTTTTGGAGTTGGTTACAAAAAAAAAAAGTAAAATGAAAAAAAATATCTGGGGTGTTCGGGCTTCCTGAAGGTAATACCCTGGTATTAGGTTATGGGGCTATGGTAAGGTTTAAGGTTTTTGGCGTTAGGGTTAAAATCACTGTCCAAAACCTTTATTGGAACTTTCTTCCAACCTTTTGGATTTAGTTTGACAAAAAAAAAGAAAAATAAAAAATATATATTTGGGGTGTTTGGGCTTCCTGAAGGTAATACCCCGGTGTTGGGTTTTGGGGCTCGGGTAAGGTTTAAGGTTTTTGGCGTTAGGGTTAAAATCACTGTCCAAAATCTTTGTAGGAACTCGTTTCCAACCTTTTGGAGTTAGTTACACCAAAAAAAAATGAAAAAGAAAAAAAAATATTTGGGGTGTTCGGGATTCCTGAAGGTAATACCCGGGTATAGGGTTTTGGGGCCAGGGTAAGGTTGAAGGTTTTTGGCGTTAGGGTTAAAATCACTGTCCAAAACCTTTTTAGGAACATGTTTGAGACCTTTTGGAGTTAGTTTGACTAAAAAATAACGAAAAATGAAAAAAAAATATTTGGGGTGTTCGGGCTTCCTTTTTAGTATTAGGTTATGGGGCTAGGGTAAGGTTTAAGGTTTTTGGCGTTAGGGTTAAAATCACTGTCCAAAACCTTTGTAAGAACTCTTTTCCAATGTTTTGGAGTTAGTTAGTCCAAAAAAAATGAAAAATGAAAAAAAAATATTTGGGGTGTTCGGGCTTCCTTATTAGTATTAGGTTATGGGGCTTTGGAAAGGTTTAAGGTTTTTGGCGTTAGGGTTAAAATCACTGTCCAAAACCTTTGTAGGAACATGTTTCAGACCTTTTGGAGTTGGTTACAAAAAAAAAAAAGTAAAATGAAAAAAAAATATCTGGGGTGTTCGGGCTTCCTGAAGGTAATACCCTGGTATTAGGTTATGGGGCTATGGTAAGGTTTAAGGTTTTTGGCGTTAGAGTTAAAATCAGTGTCCAAAACCTTTTTAGGAACATGTTTCAGACCTTTTGGAATTAGTTAGACCAAAAAAAAACCAAAAATGAAAAAAAAATATTTGGGGTCTTCGGGCTTCCTGAAGGTAATACCCGGGTATTAGGTTATGGGGCTAGGGTAAGGTTTAAGGTTTTTGGCATTAGGGTTAAAAGCACTGTCCAAAACCTTTGTAGGAACTCTTTTCCAACCTTTTAGAGTTAGCTAGACCAAAAAAAAAAATGAAAAATGAAAAAAAAATATTTGGGGTGTTTGGGCTTCCTTATTAGTATTAGGTTATGGGGCTAGGGTAAGGTTTAAGGTTTTTGGCGTTAGGGTTAAAATCACTGTCCAAAACCTTTGTAAGAACTCTTTTCCAACGTTTTGGAGTTAGTTAGTCCAAAAAAAAATGAAAAATGAAAAAAAAATATTTGGGGTGTTCGGGCTTCCTTATTAGTATTAGGTTATGGGGCTTTGGAAAGGTTTAAGGTTTTTGGCGTTAGGGTTAAAATCACTGTCCAAAACCTTTGTAGGAACATGTTTCAGACCTTTTGGAGTTGGTTACAAAAAAAAAAGTAAAATGAAAAAAAAATATTTGGGGTGTTCCGGCTTCCTGAAGGTAATACCCTGGTATTAGGTTATGGGGCTATGGTAAGGTTTAAGGTTTTTGGCGTTAGAGTTAAAATTAGTGTCCAAAACCTTTTTAGGAACTCTTTTCCAACCTTTTGGAGTTAGTTAGACCAAAAAAAATTAAAATGAAAAAAAAATATTTGGGGTGTTCGGGATTCCTGAAGGTAATACCCGGGTATCAGGTTTTGGGGCTAGGTTAAGGTTTAAGGTTTTTGGCGTGAGGGTTAAAATCACTGTCCAAAACCTTTGTAGGAACTCTTTTCCAACCTTTTGGAATTAGTTAGACCAAAAAAAAATAAAAAATGAAAAAAAAATATTTGTGTTTTCGGGCCTCCTGAAGGGAAAACCCGGGTATAAGGTTTTGGGGCTAGGATAAGGTTTAAGGTTTTTGGCGTTAGGGTTAAAATCACTGTCCAAAACCTTTATAAGAACTCTTTTCCAACCTTTTGGATTTAGTTTGACCAAAAAAAAAAGAAAAATGAAAATAAAATATTTGGGGTGTTCGGGCTTCCTGAAGGTAATACCCGGGTATTAGGTTATGGGGCTAGGGTAAGGTTTAAGGTTTTTGGCGTGAGGGTTAAAATCACTGTCCAAAACCTTTTTAGGAACATGTTTCAGACCTTTTGGAATTAGTTAGACCAAAAAAAACGAAAAATGGAAAAAAAATATTTGGGGTCTTCGGGCTTCCTGAAGGTAATACCCGGGTATTAGGTTTTGGGGCTAGGGTAAGGTTTAAGTTTTTTGGCGTGAGGGTTAAAATCACTGTCCAAAACCTTTGTAGGAACTCTTTTCCAACCCTTTCGGAGTTAGTTAGACCAAAAAAAAACGAAAAATGAAAAAAAAATATTTGGGGTTTTCGGGCTTCCTGAAGGTAATACCCGGGTATTAGGTTATGGGGCTAGGGTAAGGTTTAAGGTTTTTGGCTTTAGAGTTAAAATTACTGTCCAAAACCTTTTTAGGAACATGTTTCAGACCTTTGGAATTAGTTAGACCAAAAAATAACGAAAAATGAAAAAAAAAAAATTGGGGTGTTCGGCCTTCCTGAAGGTAATACCCCGGTATTAGGTTTTGGGGCTAGGGTAAGGTTTAAGGTTTTTGGCGTTAGGGTTAAAATCACTGTCCAAAACCTTTGTAGGAACTCTTTTCCAACCTTTTGGAGTTAGTTAGACCAAAAAAAAACCAAAAATGAAAAAAAAATATTTGGGGTCTTCGGGCTTCCTGAAGGTAATACCCGGGTATTGGGTTTTGGGGCTAGGGTAAAGTTAAAGGTTTTTGGCGTTAGGGTTAAAATCACTGTCCAAAACGTTTAAAGGAACTCTTTTCCAATCTTTTGGATTTAGTTTGACCAAAATAGAAAAGAAAAAGAAAAAAAAAATATTTGGGGTGTTCTGGCTTCCTGAAGGTAATACCCGGGTATTAGGTTATGGGGCTATAATAAGGTTTAAGGTTTTTGGCGTGAGGGTTAAAATCAGTGTCCAAAACCTTTGTAGGAACTCTTTTCCAACCCTTTCGGAGTTAGTTAGACCAAAAAAAAAAGAAAAAAGAAAAAAAAATGTTTGGGGTGTTCGGTCTTCCTGAAGGTAATACCTGGGTATTAGGTTATGGGGCTAGGGTAAGGTTTAAGGTTTTTGGCGTTAGGGTTAAAATCACTGTCCAAAACCTTTGTAGGAACTCTTTTCCAACCTTTTGGAGTTAGTTAGACCAAAAAAAATGAAAAAGGAAAAAAAAATATTTGGGGTGTTCGGGCTTCCTGAAGGTAATACCTTCAGGAGTATTAGATTATGGGGCTTTGGTATGGTTTAAGGTTTTTGGCATTAGGGTTAAAATCACTGTCCAAAACCTGTGTAGGAACTCTTTTCCAACCTTTTGGAGTTAGTTAGACCTAAAAAAAAAGAAAAATGAAAAAAAAATATTTGGGGTGTTCGGGCTTCCTGAAGGTATTAGATTATGGGGCTAGGGAAAGGTTTAATGTTTTTGGCGTTAGGGTTAAAATCACTGTCCAAAATCTTTTTAGGAACATGTTTCAGACCTTTTGGAGTTAGTTACACCAAAAAAAAATTGTAAAATGAAAAAGAAATATTTGGGGTGTTTGGGCTTCCTGAAGGTAATACCCGGGTATAAGGTTATCTGGCTAGGGTAAGGTTTAAGGTTTTTGGTGTTAGGGTTAAAATCACTGTCCAAAACCTTTGTAGGAACTCTTTTCCAACCTTTTGGAGTTAGTTAGACCAAAAAAAATGAAAAATGGAAAAAAAATATTTAGGGTCTTCGGGCTTCCTGAAGGTAATACCCGGGTATTAGGTTTTGGGGCTAGGTTAAGGTTTAAGGTTTTTGGCGTGAGGGTTAAAATCACTGTGCAAAACCTTTGAAGGAACTCTTTTCCAACCTTTTGGAATTAGTTAGACCAAAAAAAAATAAAAAATGAAAAAAAAATATTTGTGGTTTTCGGGCCTCCTGAAGGTAATACCCGGGTATAAGGTTTTGGGGCTAGGTTAAGGTTTAAGGTTTTTGGCGTTAGGGTTAAAATCACTGTCCAAAACCTTTATAAGAACTCTTTTCCAACCTTTTGGATTTAGTTTGACCAAAAAAAAAGAAAAATGAAGATAAAATATTTGGGGTGTTCGGGCTTCCTGAAGGTAATACCCGGGTATTAGGTTATGGGGCTAGGGTAAGGTTTAAGGTTTTTGGCGTGAGGGTTAAAATCACTGTCCAAAACCTTTTTAGGAACATGTTTCAGACCTTTTGGAATTAGTTAGACCAAAAAAAAACGAAAAATGGAAAAAAAATATTTGGGGTCTTCGGGCTTCCTGAAGGTAATACCCGGGTATTAGGTTTTGGGGCTAGGGTAAGGTTTAAGTTTTTTGGCGTGAGGGTTAAAATCACTGTCCAAAACCTTTGTAGGAACTCTTTTCCAACCTTTTGGAGTTAGTTAGACCAAAAAAAAAACAAAAATGAAAAAAAAATATTTGGGGTCTTCGGGCTTCCTGAAGGTAATACCTGGGTATTAGGTTATGGGGCTAGGGTAAGGTTTAAGGTTTTTGGCGTTAGGGTTAAAATCACTGTCCAAAACCTTTGTTGGAACTCTTTTCCAACCTTTTGGAGTTAGTTAGAACAAAAAAAATGAAAAATGAAAAAAAAATATTTGGGGTGTTCGGGCTTCCTGAAGGTAATACCCGGGTATTAGGTTTTGGGGCTAGGGTAAGGTTTAAGTTTTTTGGCGTGAGGGTTAAAATCACTGTCCAAAACCTTTGTAGGAACTCTTTTCCAACCCTTTCGGAGTTAGTTAGACCAAAAAAAAACGAAAAATGAAAAAAAAATATTTGGGGTTTTCGGGCTTCCTGAAGGTAATACCCGGGTATTAGGTTTTGGGGCTAGGGTAAGGTTTAAGTTTTTTGGCTCGAGGGTTAAAATCACTGTCCAAAACCTGTGTAGGAACTCTTTTCCAACCTTTTGGAGTTAGTTAGACCTAAAAAAAAAAGAAAAATGAAAAAAAAATATTTGGGGTGTTCGGGCTTCCTGAAGGTAATACCCCGGTATTAGGTTTTGGGGCTAGGGTAAGGTTTAAGTTTTTTGGCGTGAGGGTTAAAATCACTGTCCAAAACCTTTGTAGGAACTCTTTTCCAACCCTTTCGGAGTTAGTTAGACCAAAAAAAAAACGAAAAATGAAAAAAAAATATTTGGGGTTTTCGGGCTTCCTGAAGGTAATACCCGGGTATTACGTTTTGGGGCTAGGGAAAGGTTTAAGTTTTTTGGCGTGAGGGTTAAAATCACTGTCCAAAACCTTTGTAGGAACTCTTTTCCAACCTTTTGGAGTTAGTTAGACCAAAAAAAAAATTAAAAAAAAAAAAAAATTGGGGGTTTTCGGGCTTCCTGAAGGTAATACCCGGGTATTAGGTTATGGGGCTAGGGTAAGGTTTAAGGTTTTTGGCGTAGGGTTAAAATCACTGTCCAAAACCTTTGTAGGAACTCTTTTCCAACCTTTTGGAGTTAGTTAGACCAAAAAAAAAGAAAAAGAAAAAAAATAGTTGGGGTTTCGCGCTTCCTGAAGGTAATACCCGGGTATTAGGTTATGGGGCTAGGGTAAGGTTTAAGGTTTTTGGCGTTAGGGTTAAAATCACTGTCCAAAACCTTTGTAGGAACTCTTTTCCAACCTTTTGGAGTTAGTTAGACCAAAAAAAAAGAAAAATGAAAAAAAATATTTGTGGGTTTTCGGGCTTCCTGAAGGTAATACTTTATTAGTTTTTATAGGTATTAGTATGGTTTGGGGCTAGGGTAAGGTTTAAGGTTTTTGGCGTTAGGGTTAAAATCACTGTCCAAAACCTTTGTAGGAACTCTTTTCCAACCTTTTGGAGTTAGTTAGACCAAAAAAAAAAACGAAAAATGAAATAAATTTTTTTTGGGGTGTAAAGGCTTCCTGAAGGTAATACCCTTGTATTAGGTTATGGGGCTAGGGTAAGGTTTAAGGTTTTTGGCGTTAGGGTTAAAATCACTGTCCAAAACCTTTGTAGGAACTCTTTTCCAACCTTTTGGAGTTAGTTAGACCAAAAAAAAATGAAAAATGAAAAAAAAATATTTGTGGTTTTCGGGCTTCCTGAAGGTAATACCCGGGTATCAGGTTTTGGGGCTAGGTTAAGGTTTAAGGTTTTTGGCGTGAGGGTTAAAATCACTGTCCAAAACCTTTGTAGGAACTCTTTTCCAACCTTTTGGAGTTAGTTAGACCAAAAAAAAATGATTAATTAAAAAAAAAAATATTTGGGGTGTTCGGGCTTCCTTATTAGTATTAGTTTATGGGGCTTTGGAAAGGTTTAAGGTTTTTGGCATTAGGGTTAAAATCACTGTCCAAAACCTTTGTAAGAATTCTTTTCCAAACATTTTGGAGTAAGTTAGACCAAAAAAAAAAAAAAATGAAAAAGGAAAAAAAAATTGGGGGTTTTCGGGCTTCCTGAAGGTAATACCCGGGTATTAGGTTATGAGGCTTTGGAAAGGTTTAAGGTTTTTGGCGTTAGGGTTAAAATCACTGTCCAAAACCTTTGTAGGAACTCTTTTCCAACCTTTTGGAGTTAGTTAGACCAAAAAAAACGAAAAATGAAATAAATTTTTTTTGGGGTGTAAAGGCTTCCTGAAGGTAATACCCTTGTATTAGGTTATGGGGCTAGGGTAAGGTTTAAGGTTTTTTGGCGTAAGTGTTAAAATTGCTGTCCAAAACCTTTGTAAGAACTCTTTTCCAACCTTTTGGAGTAAGTTAGACCAAAAAAAAATGAAAAATAAAAAAAAAAATGTGTGGTTTTCGCGCCTCCTGAAGGTAATACCCGGGTATCATGTTTTGGGGCCAGGTTAAGGTTTAAGGTTTTTGGCGTTAGGGTTAAAATCACTGTCCAAAACCTTTATACGAACTCTTTTCCAACCTTTTGGATTTAGTTAGACCAAAAAAAAACGAAAAATGAAAAAAAAATATTTGGGGTTTTCGGGCTTCCTGAAGGTAATACCCAGGTATTAGGTTATGGGGCTAGGGTAAGGTTCAAGGTTTTTGGCGTTAGAGTTAAAATCACTGTCCAAAACCTTTGTAGGAACTCTTTTCCAACCTTTTGGAGTTAGTTAGACCAAAAAAAACAAAAAATGAAAAAAAAAAAAAATTGTGGGTGTTCGGGCCTTCCTGAAGGTAATACCCGGTATTAGGTTTTGGGGCTAGGGTAAGGTTTAAGGTTTTTGGCGTTAGGGTTAAAATCACTGTCCAAAACCTTTGTAGGAACTCTTTTCCAACCTTTTGGAGTTAGTTAGACCAAAAAAAAAACAAAAAATGAAAAAAAAATATTTGGGGTCTTCGGGCTTCCTGAAGGTAATACCCGGGTATTAGGTTTTGGGGCTAGGGTAAGGTTTAAGGTTTTTGGCGTTAGGGTTAAAATCACTGTCCAAAACCTTTGTAGGAACTCTTTTCCAACCTTTTGGAGTTAGTTAGACCAAAAAAAAATGATTAATTAAAAAAAATATATTTGGGGTGTTCGGGCTTCCTTATTACCGTATTAGTTTATGGGGCTTTGGAAAGGTTTAAGGTTTTTGGCATTAGGGTTAAAATCACTGTCCAAAACCTTTGTAGGAACTCTTTTCCAACCTTTTGGAGTTAGTTAGACCAAAAAAAAAATGAAAAAGAAAAAAAAAAATTTGGGGGTTTTCGGGCTTCCTGAAGGTAATACCCGGGTATTAGGTTATGGGGCTTTGGTAAGGTTTAAGGTTTTTGGCGTTAGGGTTAAAATCACTGTCCAAAACCTTTGTAGGAACTCTTTTCCAACCTTTTGGAGTTAGTTTGACCAAAAAAAAAAAAATGAAAAAAATTTTTTTTGGGGTGTTCGGCTTCCTGAAGGTAATACCCTTGTATTAGGTTATGGGGCTAGGGTAAGGTTTAAGGTTTTTGGCGTTAGGGTTAAAATCACTGTCCAAAACCTTTGTAGGAACTCGTTTCCAACCTTTTGGAGTTAGTTAGACCAAAAAAAAAAAAATGAAAAAAATTTTTTTTGGGGTGTAAAGGCTTCCTGAAGGTAATACCCTTGTATTAGGTTATGGGGCTAGGGTAAGGTTTAAGGTTTTTGGCGTTAGGGTTAAAATCACTGTCCAAAACCTTTGTAGGAACTCTTTCCAACCTTTTGGAGTTAGTTAGACCAAAAAAAAATGAAAAATGAAAAAAAAATATTTGGGTTGTTCGGGCTTCCTGAAGGTAATTCATGTATTAGGTTATGGGTTTAGGGTAAGGTTTAAGGTTTTTGGCGTTTGGGTTAAAATCACTGTCCAAAACCTTTGTAGGAACTCGTTTCCAACCTTTTGGAGTTAGTTACCAAAAAAAAATGAAAAATGAAAAAAATATATTTGGGTTGTTTGGCTTCCTGAAGGTAATACCCGGGTATTAGGTTATGGGGCTAGGGTAAGGTTTAAGGTTTTTGGCGTTAGGGTTAAAATCACTGTCCAAAACCTTTGTAGGAACTCTTTTCCAACCTTTTGGAGTTAGTTAGACCAAAAAAAAAGATTAAAGAAAAAAAATATTTGGGGATTTCGCGCTTCCTGAAGGTAATACCCGGGTATTAGGTTATGGGGCTATGGTAAGGTTTAAGGTTTTTAGTGTTAGGGTTAAAATCACTGTCCAAAACCTTTGTAGGAACTCTTTTCCAACCTTTTGGAGTTAGTTAGACAAGAAAAAAAGGAAAAATGAAAAAACAATATTTGGGGTTTTCGGGCTTCCTGAAGGTAATACCCGGGTATTAGGTTTTGGGGCTAGGGTAAGGTTTAAGGTTTTTGGCGTTAGGGTTAAAATCACTGTCCAAAACCTTTTTAGGAACATGTTTCAGGACTTTTTGGAGTTAGTTAGACCAAAAAAAAAAAAAAAAAATAAAATAAAATTTTTTGGGGGTGGTAGGGCTTCCTTTAGGTAATAACCGGGTATTAGGTTTTGGGGCTAGGGTAAGGTTTAAGGTTTTTGGCGTTAGGGTTAAAATCACTGTCCAAAACCTTTGTAGGAACTCTTTTCCAACCTTTTCGGAGTTAGTTAGACCAAAAAAAAACGAAAAATGAAAAAAAAATATTTGGGGTTTTCGGGCTTCCTGAAGGTAATACCCGGGTATTAGGTTATGGGCTAGGGTAAGGTTTAAGGTTTTTGGCGTTAGAGTTAAAATCACTGTCCAAAACCTTTTAGGAACATGTTTCAACCTTTTGGAATTAGTTAGACCAAAAAATAAAGAAAAATGAAAAAAAAAAAATTGGGGTGTTCGGCCTTCCTGAAGGTAATACCCCGGTATTAGGTTTTGGGGCTAGGGTAAGGTTTAAGGTTTTTGGCGTTAGGGTTAAAATCACTGTCCAAAACCTTTGTAGGAACTCTTTTCCAACCTTTTGGAGTTATTTAGACCAAAAAAAAACCAAAAATGAAAAAAAAATATTTGGGGTCTTCGGGGTTCCTGAAGGTAATACCCGGGTATTAGGTTTTGGGGCTAGGGTAAGGTTTAAGGTTTTTGGCGTTAGGGTTAAAATCACTGTCCAAAACCTTTGTAGGAACTCTTTTCCAACCTTTTGGAGTTAGTTAGACCAAAAAAAAATGATTAATTAAAAAAAATATATTTGGGGTGTTCGGGCTTCCTTATTAGTATCAGTTTATGGGGCTTTGGAAAGGTTTAAGGTTTTTGGCGTTAGGGTTAAAATCACTGTCCAAAACCTTTGTAGTAACTCTTTTCCAACCTTTTGGAGTTAGTTAGACTAAAAAAAAAAATGAAAAAAAAAAAAAAAATGTTTGGGTTGTTAAGGCTTCCTTAAGGTAATACCCGGGTATTAAGTTACGGGGCTCGGGTAAGGTTTAAGGTTTTTGGCGTGAGGGTTAAAATCACTGTCCAAAACCTTTGTAGGAACTCTTTTCCAACCTTTTGGAGTTAGTTAGACCAAAAAAATGATAAAAGAAAAAAAAATAGTTGGGGATTTCGCGCTTCCTGAAGGTAATACCCGGTATTAGGTTATGGGGCTATGGTAAGGTTTAAGGTTTTTGGTGTTAGGGTTAAAATCACTGTCCAAAACCTTTGTAGGAACTCTTTTCCAACCTTTTGGAGTTAGTTAGACAAGAAAAAAAGGAAAAATGAAAAAACAATATTTGGGGTTTTCGGGCTTCCTGAAGGTAATACCCGGGTATTAGGTTTTGGGGCTAGGGTAAGGTTGAAGGTTTTTGGCGTTAGGGTTAAAATCACTGTCCAAAACCTTTTAGGAACATGTTTCAGGACTTTTGGAGTTAGTTAGACCAAAAAAAACCAAAAAATAATAATAAAATTTTTTTGGGGTGGTTCGGGCTTCCTTAAGGTTATAACTGGGTATTCGGTTACAGGGCTAGGTAAAGGTTAAAGGTTTTTGGCGTTAGGGTTAAAGTCACTGTCCAAAACCTTTGTAGGAACTCTTTTCCAACCTTTCGGAGTTAGTTAGACCAAAAAAAAAAACGAAAAAAGAAAAAAAATGTTTGGGTTGTTAAGGCTTCCTTAAGGTAATACCCGGGTATTAAGTTATGGGGCTCGGGTAAGGTTTAAGGTTTTTGGCGTTAGGGTTAAAATCACTGTCCAAAACCTTTGTAGGAACTCTTTTCCAACCTTTTGGAGTTAGTTAGACCAAAAAAAAGTGAAAAATAAAAAAAAATATTTGGGGTGTTCGGGCTTCCTGAAGGTAATACACGGGTATTAGGTTTTGGGGCCAGGGTAAGGTTGAAGGTTTTTGGCGTTAGGGTTAAAATCACTGTCCAAAACCTTTTTAGGAACATGTTTCAGACCTTTTGGAGTTAGTTAGACCAAAAAATAAAGAAAAATGAAAAAAAAAAAATTGGGGGTGTTCGGCCTTCCTGAAGGTAATACCCCGGTATTAGGTTTTGGGGCTAGGGTAAGGTTTAAGGTTTTTGGCGTTAGGGTTAAAATCACTGTCCAAAACCTTTATAGGAACTCTTTTCCAACCTTTTGGAGTTAGTTAGACCAAAAAAAAACCAAAAATGAAAAAAAAATATTTGGGGTGTTCGGGCTTCCTGAAGGTAATACCCGGGTATTAGGTTTTGGGGCTAGGGTAAGGTTTAAGGTTTTTGGCGTTAGGGTTAAAATCACTGTCCAAAACCTTTGTAGGAACTCTTTTCCAACCTTTTGGAGTTAGTTAGACCAAAAAAAAAAGAAATTAAAAAAATATATTTGGGGTGTTCGGGCTTCCTTATTAGTATCAGTTTATGGGGCTTTGGAAAGGTTTAAGGTTTTTGGCGTTAGGGTTAAAATCACTGTCCAAAACCTTTGTAGTAACTCTTTTCCAACCTTTTGGAGTTAGTTAGACTAAAAAAAAAAATGAAAAAGGAAAAAAAATGTTTGGGTTGTTAAGGCTTCCTTAAGGTAATACCCGGGTATTAAGTTACGGGGCTCGGGTAAGGTTTAAGGTTTTTGGCGTGAGGGTTAAAATCACTGTCCAAAACCTTTGTAGGAACTCTTTTCCAACCTTTTGGAGTTAGTTAGACCAAAAAAATGATAAAAGAAAAAAAAATAGTTGGGGATTTCGCGCTTCCTGAAGGTAATACCCCGGTATTAGGTTATGGGGCTATGGTAAGGTTTAAGGTTTTTAGTGTTAGGGTTAAAATCACTGTCCAAAACCTTTGTAGGAACTCTTTTCCAACCTTTTGGAGTTAGTTAGACAAGAAAAAAAGGAAAAATGAAAAAACAATATTTGGGGTTTTCGGGCTTCCTGAAGGTAATACCCGGGTATTAGGTTTTGGGGCTAGGGTAAGGTTGAAGGTTTTTGGCGTTAGGGTTAAAATCACTGTCCAAAACCTTTTTAGGAACATGTTTCAGGACTTTTTGGAGTTAGTTAGACCAAAAAAAACCAAAAAATAATAATAAAATTTTTTTGGGGTGGTAGGGCTTCCTTAAGGTTATAACTGGGTATTCGGTTACAGGGCTAGGTAAAGGTTAAAGGTTTTTGGCGTTAGGGTTAAAGTCACTGTCCAAAACCTTTGTAGGAACTCTTTTCCAACCTTTCGGAGTTAGTTAGACCAAAAAAAAAAAAAAAAAAAAAAAAATGTTTGGGTTGTTAAGGCTTCAAGGTAATACCCGGGTATTAGGTTATGGGGCTAGGGTAAGGTTTAAGGTTTTTGGCGTTAGGGTTAAAATCACTGTCCAAAACCTTTATAGGAACTCTTTTCCAACCTTTTGGAGTTAGTTAGACCAAAAAAAAACCAAAAATGAAAAAAAAAATATTTGGGGTCTTCGGGGTTCCTGAAGGTATTACCCGGGTATTGGGTTTTGGGGCTAGGGTAAGGTTTAAGGTTTTTGGCGTTAGGGTTAAAATCACTGTCCAAAACCTTTGTAGGAACTCTTTTCCAACCTTTTGGAGTTAGTTAGACCAAAAAAAAAAGATTAATTAAAAAAAATATATTTGGGGTGTTCGGGCTTCCTTATTAGTATCAGTTTATGGGGCTTTGGAAAGGTTTAAGGTTTTTGGCGTTAGGGTTAAAATCACTGTCCAAAACCTTTGTAGTAACTCTTTTCCAACCTTTTGGAGTTAGTTAGACTAAAAAAAAAAATGAAAAAGGAAAAAAAATGTCTGGGTTGTTAAGGCTTCCTTAAGGTAATACCCGGGTATTAGGTTACGGGGCTAGGGTAAGGTTTAAGGTTTTTGGCGTGAGGGTTAAAATCACTGTCCAAAACCTTTGTAGGAACTCTTTTCCAACCTTTTGGAGTTAGTTAGACCAAAAAAATGATAAAAGAAAAAAAAATAGTTGGGGATTTCGCGCTTCCTGAAGGTAATACCCCGGTATTAGGTTATGGGGCTATGGTAAGGTTTAAGGTTTTTAGTGTTAGGGTTAAAATCACTGTCCAAAACCTTTGTAGGAACTCTTTTCCAACCTTTTGGAGTTAGTTAGACAAGAAAAAAAGGAAAAATGAAAAAAAATATTTGGGGTTTTCGGGCTTCCTGAAGGTAATACCCGGGTATTAGGTTTTGGGGCTAGGGTAAGGTTTAAGGTTTTTGGCGTTAGGGTTAAAATCACTGTCCAAAACCTTTTTAGGAACATGTTTCAGGACTTTTTGGAGTTAGTTAGACCAAAAAAAACCAAAAAATAATAATAAAATTTTTTTGGGGTGGTAGGGCTTCCTTAAGGTTATAACTGGGTATTCGGTTACAGGGCTAGGTAAAGGTTAAAGGTTTTTGGCGTTAGGGTTAAAATCACTGTCCAAAACCTTTGTAGGAACTCTTTTCCAACCTTTTCGGAGTTAGTTAGACCAAAAAAAAAAACGAAAAAGAAAAAAAATGTTTGGGTTGTTAAGGCTTCCTTAAGGTAATACCCGGGTATTAGGTTATGGGGCTAGGGTAAGGTTTAAGGTTTTTGGCGTTAGGGTTAAAATCACTGTCCAAAACCTTTGTAGGAACTCTTTTCCAACCTTTTGGAGTTAGTTAGACCAAAAAAAAATGAAAAATAAAAAAAAATATTTGGGGTGTTCGGGCTTCCTGAAGGTAATACACGGGTATTAGGTTTTGGGGCCAGGGTAAGGTTGAAGGTTTTTGGCGTTAGGGTTAAAATCACTGTCCAAAACCTTTTTAGGAACATGTTTCAGACCTTTTGGAGTTAGTTTGACTAAAAAATAATGAAAAATGAAAAAAAAATATTTGGGGTGTTCGGGCTTCCTGAAGGTAATACCCGGGTATTAGGTTTTGGGGCTAGGGTAAGGTTTAAGGTTTTTGGCGTTAGGGTTAAAATCACTGTCCAAAACCTTTGTAGGAACTCTTTTCCAACCTTTTGGAGTTAGTTAGACCAAAAAAAAATGATTAATTAAAAAAAATATATTTGGGGTGTTCGGGCTTCCTTATTAGTATCAGTTTATGGGGCTTTGGAAAGGTTTAAGGTTTTTGGCGTTAGGGTTAAAATCACTGTCCAAAACCTTTGTAGTAACTCTTTTCCAACCTTTTGGAGTTAGTTAGACCAAAAAAAAAAATGAAAAAGGAAAAAAAATGTTTGGGTTGTTAAGGCTTCCTTAAGGTAATACCCGGGTATTAAGTTACGGGGCTCGGGTAAGGTTTAAGGTTTTTGGCGTGAGGGTTAAAATCACTGTCCAAAACCTTTGTAGGAACTCTTTTCCAACCTTTTGGAGTTAGTTAGACCAAAAAAAATGATAAAAGAAAAAAAAATAGTTGGGGATTTCGGGCTTCCTGAAGGTAATACCCGGTATTAGGTTATGGGGCTATGGTAAGGTTTAAGGTTTTTAGTGTTAGGGTTAAAATCACTGTCCAAAACCTTTGTAGGAACTCTTTTCCAACCTTTTGGAGTTAGTTAGACAAGAAAAAAAGGAAAAATGAAAAAACAATATTTGGGGTTTTCGGGCTTCCTGAAGGTAATACCCGGGTATTAGGTTTTGGGGCTAGGGTAAGGTTGAAGGTTTTTGGCGTTAGGGTTAAAATCACTGTCCAAAACCTTTTTAGGAACATGTTTCAGGACTTTTTGGAGTTAGTTAGACCAAAAAAAACCAAAAAATAATAATAAAATTTTTTTGGGGTGGTAGGGCTTCCTTAAGGTTATAACTGGGTATTCGGTTACAGGGCTAGGTAAAGGTTAAAGGTTTTTGGCGTTAGGGTTAAAGTCACTGTCCAAAACCTTTGTAGGAACTCTTTTCCAACCTTTCGGAGTTAGTTAGACCAAAAAAAAAATGAAAAAAGAAAAAAAATGTTTGGGTTGTTAAGGCTTCCTTCAGGTAATACCCGGGTATTAAGTTACGGGGCTCGGGTAAGGTTTAAGGTTTTTGGCGTTAGGGTTAAAATCACTGTCCAAAACCTTTGTAGGAACTCGTTTCCAACCTTTTGGAGTTAGTTACACCAAAAAAAAGTGAAAAATAAAAAAAAATATTTGGGGTGTTCGGGCTTCCTGAAGGTAATACACGGGTATTAGGTTTTGGGGCCAGGGTAAGGTTGAAGGTTTTTGGCGTTAGGGTTAAAATCACTGTCCAAAACCTTTTTAGGAACATGTTTCAGACCTTTTGGAGTTAGTTTGACTAAAAAATAATGAAAAATGAAAAAAAAATATTTGGGGTGTTCGGGCTTCCTGAAGGTAATACCCGGGTATTAGGTTTTGGGGCTAGGGTAAGGTTTAAGGTTTTTGGCGTTAGGGTTAAAATCACTGTCCAAAACCTTTGTAGGAACTCTTTTCAACCTTTTGGAGTTAGTTAGACCAAAAAAAAGAACAAGAAAAAGAAAAAAAAAATTGGGGGTTTTCAAGCTTCCTGAAGGTAATACCCGGGTATTAGGTTTTGGGGCTAGGGTAAGGTTTAAGGTTTTTGGCGTTAGGGTTAAAATCACTGTCCAAAACCTTTGTAGGAACTCTTTTCCAACCTTTTGGAGTTAGTTAAGACCAAAAAAAATGAAAAATGAAAAAAAAATATTTGGGGTTTTACGGGCTTCCTTAAGGTAATACCCGGGTATTAGGTTATGGGGCTTGGGAAAGGTTTAAGGTTTTTGGCGTTAGGGTTAAAATCACTGTCCAAAACCTTTTTAGGAACATGTTTCAGACCTTTTGGAGTTAGTTAGACCAAAAAAAAACGAAAAATGAAAAAAAAATATTTGGGGTGTTCGGGCTTTCTGAAGGTAATACCCGGTTATGGGGGTATGGGGCTATGGTAAGGTTTAAGGTTTTTGGCGTTAGGGTTAAAATCACTGTCCAAAACCTTTGTAGGAACACTTTTCAAACCTTTTGGAGTTAGTTAGACCAAAAAAAAAGAAAAATGAAAAAGAAATATTTGGGGTGTTCGGGCTTCCTGAAAGGTAATACCCGGGTATTAGGTTTTGGGGCTATGGTAAGGTTTAAGGTTTTTGGCGTGAGGGTTAAAATCACTGTCCAAAACCTTTTTAGGAACATGTTTCAGACCTTCTGGAGTTGGTTACACCAAAAAAAATGTAAAATGAAAAAAATACATTTGGGGTGTTCGGGCTTCCTGAAGGTAATACCCGGGTATTAGGTTATGGGGCTAGGGTAAGGTTTAAGGTTTTTGGCGTTAGGGTAAAAATCACTGTCCAAAACCTTTGTAGGAACTCTTTTCCAACCTTTTGGAGTTAGTTAGACCAAAAAAAATGTTAAATGAAAAAAAAATATTTGGGGTTTTCGGGCTTCCTGAAGGTAATACCCGGCTATTAGGTTATGGGGCTAGGGTAAGGTTTAAGGTTTTTGGCGTTAGGGTTAAAATTACTGTCCAAAACCTCTTTAGGGACATGTTTCAGACCTTTTGGAGTTGGTTACCCAAAAAAAAAAGGAAAAATGAAAAAAAAATATTTGGGGTGTTCGGGCTTCCTGAATGTAATACCCGGGTCTTAGGTTTTGGGGCTATGGTAAGGTTTAAGGTTTTTGGCGTTAGGGTTAAAATCACTGTCCAAAACCTTTGTAGGAACTCTTTTCCAACCTTTTGGAGTTAGTAAGACCAAAAAAAAATGAAAAATGAAAAAAAAATATTTGGGGTTTTTTGGCTTCCTGAAGGTATTAGGTTATGGGGCTATGGTAAGGTTTAAGGTTTTTGGCGTGAGGGTTAAAATCACTGTCCAAAACCTTTTTAGGAACATGTTTCAGACCTTCTGGAGTTGGTTACACCAAAAAAAATGTAAAATGAAAAAAATATATTTGGGGTGTTCAGGCTTCCTGAAGGTAATAACCGGGTATTAGGTCATGGGGCGTGGGTAAGGTTTAAGGTTTTTGGCGTGAGGGTTAAAATCACTGTCCAAAACCTTTGTAGGAACTCTTTTCCAACCTTTTGGAGTTAGTTACACCAAAAAATAATGAAAAATGAAAAAAAATATTTGGGGTGTTCGGGCTTTCTGAAGGTAATACCCGGTTATGGGGGTATGGGGCTATGGTAAGGTTTAAGGTTTTTGGCGTTAGGGTTAAAATCACTGTCCAAAACCTTTGTAGGAACTCTTTTCCAACCTTTTGGAGTTAGTTAGACCAAAAAAAAAAGAACAAAGAAAAAAAAAATTGGGGGTTTTCGGGCTTCCTGAAGGTAATACCCGGGTATTAGGTTATGGGGCTAGGGTAAGGTTTAAGGTTTTTGGCGTGAGGGTTAAAATCACTGTCCAAAACCTTTTTAGGAACATGTTTCAGACCTTCTGGAGTTAGTTAGACCAAAAAAAATGTTAAATGAAAAAAAAATATTTGGGGTTTTCGGGCTTCCTGAAGGTAATACCCGGGTATTTGGTTATGGGGCTAGGTTAAGGTTTAAGGTTTTTGGCGTGAGGGTAAAAATCACTGTCCAAAACCTTTGTAGGAACTCTTTTCCAACTTTTTGGAGTTAGTTACACCAAAAAAAATGTTAAATGAAAAAAAAATATTTGGGGTTTTCGGGCTTCCTGAAGGTAATACCCGGCTATTAGGTTATGGGGCTAGGGTAAGGTTTAAGGTTTTTGGCGTTAGGGTTAAAATTACTGTCCAAAACCTCTTTAGGGACATGTTTCAGACCTTTTGGAGTTGGTTACACCAAAAAAAAAAAGGAAAAATGAAAAAAAAATATTTGGGGTGTTCGGGCTTCCTGAATGTAATACCCGGGTATTAGGTTTTGGGGCTAGGGTAAGGTTTAAGGTTTTTGGCGTTAGGGTTAAAATCACTGTCCAAAACCTTTGTAGGAACTCTTTTCCAACCTTTTGGAGTTAGTAAGACCAAAAAAAATGAAAAATGAAAAAAAAATATTTGGGGTTTTTGGGCTTCCTGAAGGTATTAGGTTATGGGGCTATGGTAAGGTTTAAGGTTTTTGGCGTGAGGGTTAAAATCACTGTCCAAAACCTTTTTAGGAACATGTTTCAGACCTTCTGGAGTTGGTTACACCAAAAAAAATGTAAAATGAAAAAAATATATTTGGGGTGTTCAGGCTTCCTGAAGGTAATAACCGGGTATTAGGTCATGGGGCGTGGGTAAGGTTTAAGGTTTTTGGTGTGAGGGTAAAAATCACTGTCCAAAACCTTTGTAGGAACTCTTTTCCAACCTTTTGGAGTTAGTTACACCAAAAAATAATGAAAAATGAAAAAAAATATTTGGGGTGTTCGGGCTTTCTGAAGGTAATACCCGGGTTATGGGGGTTATGGGGCTATGGTAAGGTTTAAGGTTTTTGGCGTTAGGGTTAAAATCACTGTCCAAAACCTTTGTAGGAACTCTTTTCCAACCTTTTGGAGTTAGTTAGACCAAAAAAAAAAGAAAAAAGAAAAAAAAATTGGGGGTTTTCGGGCTTCCTGAAGGTAATACCCGGGTATTAGGTTATGGGGCTAGGGTAAGGTTTAAGGTTTTTGGCGTTAGGGTTAAAATTACTGTCCAAAACCTCTTTAGGGACATGTTTCAGACCTTTTGGAGTTGGTTACACCAAAAAAAAAGGAAAAATGAAAAAAAATATTTGGGGTGTTCGGGCTTCCTGAATGTAATACCCGGGTCTTAGGTTTTGGGGCTATGGTAAGGTTTAAGGTTTTTGGCGTTAGGGTTAAAATCACTGTCCAAAACCTTTGTAGGAACTCTTTTCCAACCTTTTGGAGTTAGTAAGACCAAAAAAAAATGAAAAATGAAAAAAAAATATTTGGGGTTTTTGGGCTTCCTGAAGGTATTAGGTTATGGGGCTATGGTAAGGTTTAAGGTTTTTGGCGTGAGGGTTAAAATCACTGTCCAAAACCTTTTTAGGAACATGTTTCAGACCTTCTGGAGTTGGTTACACCAAAAAAAATGTAAAATGAAAAAAATATATTTGGGGTGTTCAGGCTTCCTGAAGGTAATACCCGGGTATTAGGTCATGGGGCGTGGGTAAGGTTTAAGGTTTTTGGTGTGAGGGTTAAAATCACTGTCCAAAACCTTTGTAGGAACTCTTTTCCAACTTTTTGGAGTTAGTTACACCAAAAAATAATGAAAAATGAAAAAAAATATTTGGGGTGTTCGGGCTTTCTGAAGGTAATACCCGGTTATGGGGGTATGGGGCTATGGTAAGGTTTAAGGTTTTTGGCGTTAGGGTTAAAATCACTGTCCAAAACCTTTGTAGGAACTCTTTTCCAACCTTTTGGAGTTAGTTAGACCAAAAAAAAAAGAACAAAGAAAAAAAAAATTGGGGGTTTTCGGGCTTCCTGAAGGTAATACCCGGGTATTAGGTTATGGGGCTAGGGTAAGGTTTAAGGTTATTGGCGTGAGGGATAAAATTACTGTCCAAAACCTTTTTAGGAACATGTTTCAGACCTTCTGGAGTTAGTTAGACCAAAAAAAATGTTAAATGAAAAAAAAATATTTGGGGTTTTCGGGCTTCCTAAAGGTAATACCCGGGTATTTGGTTATGGGGCTAGGTTAAGGTTTAAGGTTTTTGGCGTGAGGGTAAAAATCACTGTCCAAAACCTTTGTAGGAACTCTTTTCCAACTTTTTGGAGTTAGTTACACCAAAAAAAATGTTAAATGAAAAAAAAATATTTGGGGTTTTCGGGCTTCCTGAAGGTAATACCCGGCTATTAGGTTATGGGGCTAGGGTAAGGTTTAAGGTTTTTGGCGTTAGGGTTAAAATTACTGTCCAAAACCTCTTTAGGGACATGTTTCAGACCTTTTGGAGTTGGTTACACCAAAAAAAAAAAGGAAAAATGAAAAAAAAATATTTGGGGTGTTCGGGCTTCCTGAATGTAATACCCGGGTCTTAGGTTTTGGGGCTATGGTAAGGTTTAAGGTTTTTGGCGTTAGGGTTAAAATCACTGTCCAAAACCTTTGTAGGAACTCTTTTCCAACCTTTTGGAGTTAGTAAGACCAAAAAAAAAATGAAAAATGAAAAAAAAATATTTGGGGTTTTTGGGCTTCCTGAAGGTATTAGGTTATGGGGCTATGGTAAGGTTTAAGGTTTTTGGTGTGAGGGTTAAAATCACTGTCCAAAACCTTTTTAGGAACATGTTTCAGACCTTCTGGAGTTGGTTACACCAAAAAAAATGTAAAATGAAAAAAATATATTTGGGGTGTTCAGGCTTCCTGAAGGTATTACCCGGGTATTAGGTCATGGGGCGTGGGTAAGGTTTAAGGTTTTTGGTGTTAGGGTAAAAATCACTGTCCAAAACCTTTGTAGGAACTCTTTTCCAACCTTCTGGAGTTAATTAGACCAAGAAAAAAACGAAAAATAAAAAAAAAAATTTGGGGGGTGTTAAGGCTTCCTTAAGGTAATACCCAGTTCGACCTGTCACATGTTCCCAGTCGAGTCTCTGAGCTCAATCTGTGTAATGTGTTGGTAGGAAGTTTAATGACTCAGCTCAATTGGTATGCTATGCTGTCTATCTTTTAGACTATGTGTTTGTAGAGCAATTATTTTTGGAGGTTCAGTTAGGGATTAGAGTTGGTATGGTTAAGTGTTAAAATAATAATAATAATAATAATAATAATAATAATAATAATAATAATAATAATAATTTTTCTTATTGAGAAGGACTAGGTGGTGTTAGTAGGGAGGTAATAGGTTGAATTTTATCTATGGGAGTAGGGTGCATTAGTGCAAAGTCTCAGAGGATGGGTGAGAGAGAAACAGGTTGTTGGGACTGCAACCATTCTGCTTCTACAGGGATTCGAGTGATAGAGAGAGAATAGAACTTGCCACAGTGACTAGCCAGATAAACTCTCCTCACCTGTTGGTTTTCATCCTCTGATATGAAAAAAGAGGGTGGGGGTGACTTAGCTAAGATAGAGGTTAGTAAGGTTAGGGTTAGGGTTAGGGGTTAGGGTTAGGGGTTAGGGTTAGATTTAGGGTTAGGGTTAGGGTTAGGGTAAGTGTTAGTGTCTGTAGGGAGCAAACCGTGGCTATTTGGAAGAATTGAAATTCATTAAGGAATACGACACCAGATTGTCTAGACTCTGGACTCTGTTAAAGGTAGCAAAGCTATGGTTGGAAGTAATGAAATTGAAGTATAAAATATAAGGTTAGTTATAAATTGTTATTGATAAAGTATTATTTCAGAGTCAAAAGTGGACAGTTCCGTCTGGAACTCCTTCCACCCAGGCCTGTCTAGGCCATAGACTCTGCTAAACTCCCTAATGCTGTGACCTAAAAATTATTTAGATTAAATTGGAAATATTTATGAATCATTATTTAGAAATTATTAATTCAGAGTCAAAAGTGGACAGTTCTGTCTTGAACCCCTTCCACTCAGGCCTGTCTAGGCTTTAGACGCTGTTTAACTCCCTAACGCTGTGACCTAAAATTATTTTAGATTAAATCGGAAATATTTATAAATTATTCTTTATAAATTATTATTCAGAGTCAAAAGTGGATGGTTCTGTCTGGAACCCCTTCCACCCAGGCCTGTCTAGGCCATAGACTCTGCTAAACTCCCTAACGCTGTGACCTAAAATTATTTTAGATTAAATCTGAGATATTTATTAATTGTTATTTATAAAGTATTATTGTTCACAGTCAAAAGTGGATGGTTCTGTCTGAAACCCCTTCCACCTAGGCCTGTCCAGGCCATAGACTCTGCTAAACTCCCTAACGCTGTGACCTAAAATTATTTTAGATTAAATCGGAGAGATTTATTAATTATTATTTATAAATTATTATTCAGAGTCAAAAGTGGACAGTTCTGTCTGGAACCCCTTCCACTCAGGCATGTCTAGGCCATAGACTCTGCTAAGCTCCCTCAAGGCTATGATTAAAAATTATTTAAGATTAAATTGCAAATATTTATAAATTATTTCAAAATTATTTCAAATTTATTATTTCTTATTTCAGAGTCAAAAGTGGATGGTTCTGTCTGGAACCCCTGCCACTCAGGCCTGTCTAGGTCATAGACTCTGCTAAACTCCCTAACACTGTGACCTAAAATTATTTTAGATTAAATCGGAGATATTTATTAATTGTTATTTATAAAGTATTATTGTTCACAGTCAAAAGTGGATGGTTCTGTCTGAAACCCCTTCCACTCAGGCCTGTCTAGGCCATAGACTCTGCTAAGCTCCCTCAAGGCTATGATTAAAAATTATTTAAGATTAAATTGCAAATATTTATAAATTATTTCAAAATTATTTCAAAATATATTATTTCTTATTTTAGAGTCAAAAGTGGATGGTTCTGTCTGGAAGCCCTTCCACTCAGGCCTGTCTAGGCTTTAGACTCTGCTAAGCTCCCTCAAGGCTGTGACCTAAGATTATTTTAGATTAAATCGGAAATATTTATGAATCATTATTTAGAAATTATTAATTCAGAGTCAAAAGTGGACAGTTCTGTCTTGAACCCCTTCCACTCAGGCCTGTCTAGGCTTTAGACGCTTTTTAACTCCCTAACGCTGTGACCTAAAATTATTTTAGATTAAATCGGAAATATTTATAAATTATTCTTTATAAATTATTATTCAGAGTCAAAAGTGGATGGTTCTGTCTGGAACCCCTTCCACCCAGGCCTGTCTAGGCCATAGACTCTGCTAAACTCCCTAACGCTGTGACCTAAAATTATTTTAGATTAAATCTGAGATATTTATTAATTGTTATTTATAAAGTATTATTGTTCACAGTCAAAAGTGGATGGTTCTGTCTGAAACCCCTTCCACCTAGGCCTGTCCAGGCCATAGACTCTGCTAAACTCCCTAACGCTGTGACCTAAAATTATTTTAGATTAAATCGGAGAGATTTATTAATTATTATTTATAAATTATTATTCAGAGTCAAAAGTGGACAGTTCTGTCTGGAACCCCTTCCACTCAGGCATGTCTAGGCCATAGACTCTGCTAAGCTCCCTCAAGGCTATGATTAAAAATTATTTAAGATTAAATTGCAAATATTTATAAATTATTTCAAAATTATTTCAAATTTATTATTTCTTATTTCAGAGTCAAAAGTGGATGGTTCTGTCTGGAACCCCTGCCACTCAGGCCTGTCTAGGTCATAGACTCTGCTAAACTCCCTAACACTGTGACCTAAAATTATTTTAGATTAAATCGGAGATATTTATTAATTGTTATTTATAAAGTATTATTGTTCACAGTCAAAAGTGGATGGTTCTGTCTGAAACCCCTTCCACTCAGGCCTGTCTAGGCCATAGACTCTGCTAAGCTCCCTCAAGGCTATGATTAAAAATTATTTAAGATTAAATTGCAAATATTTATAAATAATTTCAAAATTATTTCAAAATATATTATTTCTTATTTTAGAGTCAAAAGTGGATGGTTCTGTCTGGAAGCCCTTCCACTCAGGCCTGTCTAGGCTTTAGACTCTGCTAAGCTCCCTCAAGGCTGTGACCTAAGATTATTTTAGATTAAATCGGAAATATTTATGAATTATTATTTATAAATTATTATTCAGAGTCAAAAGTGGACGGTTCTGTCTGGAACCCCTTCCATTCAGGCCTGTCTAGGCCAAAGACTCTGCTAGACTCCCTAACGCTGTGACCTAAAATTATTTTAGATTAAATCGGAAATATTTATGAATTATTATTTATAAATTATTATTCAGAGTCAAAAGTGGACGGTTCTGTCTGGATCCCCTTCTACTCAGGCCTGTCTAGGCCATAGAATCTGCTGAACTCCCTAACGCTGTGATCTAAAATAGATCTTAAAGGTTAGTTATAAATTATATTTTGGAAATTATTATTTCAGAGTCAAAAGTGTCAATTTCATTAATAATTGCATAATTTAGTTTTGTTATATTATTAATTTTAGATCAATAAATAGAATTATTGGTCCAGAGTATCGACTTTTCAGAAGGTTGCATTGTTTTAGATGGATAAGTTTGGAGTTAAGTGGAGATTTTTTATATAGATTATATAGGACCTAGGGTTCACTGTAAATTATTATTTCAGAGTTAGAAAGTGAGTAGGAATTGTAGTTTATTTAGGTATTGGACTATTCTAAAGTTGTAATCCATGAGTTAAACAATTTTGAGTTTAATAAGTAAGGTTAGCTCCCAAATTGTTGCTTACGGGTGTAAATTAGAATGTTGTATAAAATTGTGTCATCACTTTCTACACTGTTTATTTTGTTAAAAAGTACAAACAGGAACTGTTAAATTATAAAGTACATTAGTATGAAAAATAAAAATTGAATGTATAGTTGTTCCAAAACATTTTTTATTTGTTCAAAAAAGGTACAATATACAGGTAGGGGGAAATTAATAGGAAAATAAAAATAGAACTAAAAATAAAAAATAAAAAATAAAAACTGGGATAAAATATGGAATGTACAATGTTTACCAAATTAGAAAGTGGGAAATACGAGAGTGGCAAAAACGAAAAGGTGAAAAAAGGAAACTGTAAAAAACTGGACCCTGGGATCAAGAGGTGGGAAATACGAGTTTGGTAAATGGACAAATGCTGAAATGCTATGTTAGAGTAGAAATTAAAGTAAACCATAAAAGGTGCGGGTTTTAAGGCCTTTATTCATGCACCAGGATAAACCAACACTCAAAATAGAAGACCAGAGGACCAGATTGTGTTGAGTTAAGTGCTCAATTAATTATTTTGGAAAATCTTATTTTTTTGAAAAATTCTTCAAATAAACCATTACATTGACCCAGCGCTGGTATTGGACATTAAATTTCAGGACACGTCCTCAGTAGTGAACCCCGAAATCATCGGATGTTTCGGCCGTTTTAACACTAGATATCCTCATTCAAGGAAGGCCCCACGGAGTCGATCAACTTTCCTGTTGTGCCCTGTAGCCAATTGGAGCTATTTTAGTCCTATTTAGTTTTGGTGCTGTGAAGTTTTAGTTGTATGCTAGTTTGGTAGTTGCTATTCTGTAACTATTTAGAGTAATTTTGAGGTGTTTGAGAGGCTTTTTGTAGACTTACCCTAGTGGTCCTATGTTGTTGTTGATGTGAGGCGTTTCTTTTCCAGTAGTGTAAAATCTGTTGGAGGGGGGAAAAGGTTCCAGCTGTCCAGCCGCGGCGGCGGCGGCGGCGGTGTGTCTGAAGTCCGGGGTCCTGGGCGGGGGAAAGAAGATAGGCGGTCCGCGGGAAGGTTTGCTGGGACTCGGTGCCGTCGGCGGGTCGAAGCTCGGTGGTGGCCGGCTTGGAGTGAAGGAGGTGCGGCGTCTTCTTTCAGGTGGCGGCACTGGGTCTTCCTCGAGGCGGTGGTCCGTCTTCTTGGTCCAGTGGTCAGTGCTTTGTCTCAATTACAGGAACAGGAATTGCTCTTTAGTGCACAGCACTTAAAAGTGCTTTTAACAGCAGCAGAGATCCCCAGAGTTGGGCTCGACTCATGGTTTGTGTTGTTCCTCTCAGACATGGTTGTGTTCTCTTCTCGATGTTTGTTTGGTTGTATTTTAAACTTTCAAGTTGTTTTAAGTTAATTTTAAAGTGGTTTATTTGTTTTAAATTGAGTTTTGCTACATTAAATTTGTATGCAATCGCAAGGGATTGTGGGTATTTTAGTTCTGAGGGATGAGAGCCTAAGGAATCAATCTTCCTGTTACAGCAAAGGATTGTGGGTAAAACCGAGAGTGAGTGAGGTACTTCGTTTCTGGCATGAGAGCCTTGGGAATCCATCTCCCTGTTGCAGAAATGGATTGTGGGTAAAACCGTGAGTGAGGGAGGTACATTTTTCCTGGCATGAGAACCTCAGGAGTCAGTCCTTCCTAAGAAAAAAGAGGGGAGGGGGGAAGAAAAACAAAAGCACAGGAACCCTAAAATGAAATAATACAATATAAAACAATGAAAAAATAAAAAAATAAAAGAAGAACAAAAGTGGATTGCAAAAAGGGAAGGGGAAGAAAAAAGGAAAAAAAGAAGTGTCAAGAGCAAATAGCAAAAATCAAAAGTGAGCTTAAAAACAGAGAACAGTTCCCTAAAAGACAGACAGAAATGTAAATTTGATCAATGTCCTAAGGGAAAATCTGTACGTGTGTGTGTGTGTGTGTGTGTGTGTGTGTGTGTGTGTGTGTGTGTGTGTGTGTGTGTGTTCTTTTTTGCTAGCTTAGTCTGGTGTCACTGATGGTCAGTTATTGATAAGTATTTATTATTTAAATTTTTGATGAAGTTGTTTGTAGTGGGGTTAGCTGGCTAATTTTAGAGTGTTAAAAAAGATGTTTGAGGGGGAGGATTTAGGGGGCACGGCGGTTCCCCTTCAGGTCTCTCTTAATCCTCCATATAGGTGACCCAAATGGGGTTACCCCCCGGCCGGGGTAGGCCTAGGCTGAAGATCACCTATTTGTCCTCTGTGAAGGTGAAAATAAAGGGGCAGGGGAGGGAATAAGAAAGAGGGGGTGTGTTAGAGAGAGGGGGAGAGATGAGGGAGAGAGATGAGGGAGAGAGAGAGAGAGAGGGGGGGGTGAGAGAGAGAGAGAGAGAGAAGGGAAGAGGGAGAGGGGGGTTTAAGGGAGAGGTGGAGATGGTGGAAAATAAAGATTGGTGAGGGGGATTTGGTGGCGGATGAAACATCCCATAGCTCCCCAGCTCTCACCATCCATGTGAGGAGAGTGAGCAAGGGACATAGTCCCCCGACCCGACTAGGTCTAGGCTCTGCTCTCCTCACGGTCCTCACGAGATACAAAGAGATATGTAAACGTGGAAGTGAGAGTTCTCTAGGCAGAGTTTTGGGTTTGGTTTGAGCTGAGTTGGTAAGTTGATTATTGATTACAATTTTAAGTTCTAAAAGTGGATAGAGTCAAAAAGTCAAAGAGGATTGTGGTGGGAGCAGGTGGTCCGTCTGGCACCATTCTGCTCATGCAGGGATTCGAGTGATAGAAAGAGAATAGATCTTGCCACCGTGACTCGCCATTGAGACTCTCCTCACCTGCTGGTTGGAGTACTATGTTACGGGGTTGGGAAAGGTTTAAGGTTTTTGGGGTTAGGGTTCAAATCACTGTCCAAAACCTTTTTAGGAAAAAGTTTCAGACCTTTTGGAATAGTTAGACCCAAAAAATTGTAAAATGAAAAAAATATATTTGGGGTGTTCGGGCTTCCTGAAGGTAATACCCGGGTACTACGTTATGGGACTAGGGTAAGGTTTTAAGGTTTTTGGCGTTAGGGTTAAAATCACTGTCCAAAACCTTTGTAGGAACTCTTCCAACCTTTTGGAGTTAGTTAGACCAAAAAAAAACGAAAAATGAAATAAATTTTTTTGGGGTGTAAAGGCTTCCTTAAGGTAATACCCTTGTATTAAGTTATGGGGCTAGGGTAAGGTTTAAGGTTTTTTGGCGTTAGGGTTAAAATCACTGTCCAAAACCTTTTTAGGAACATGTTTCAGGACTTTTTGGAGTTAGTTAGACCAAAAAAAAACAAAAAAAAATAATAAAATTCTTTGGGGGGTGGTAGGGCTTCCTTTAGGTAATAACCGGGTATTAGGTTACAGGGCTAGGGTAAAGGTTAAAGGTTTTGGCGTTAGGGTTAAAGTCATTGTCCAAAACCTTTGTAGGAACTCTTTTCCAACCTTTCGGAGTTAGTTAGACCAAAAAAAAAAACGAAAAATGAAAAAAAATGTTTGGGGTGTGAAGGCTTCCTGAAGGTAATACCCGGGTATTAGGTTATGGGGCTCGGGTAAGGTTTAAGGTTTTTGGCGTTAGGGTTAAAATCACTGTCCAAAACCTTTGTAGGAACTCTTTTCCAACCTTTTGGAGTTAGTTACACCAAAAAAAAATGAAAACTAAAAAAAAATGTTTGGGGTGTTCGGGCTTCCTGAAGGTAATTCATGTATTAGGTTATGGGGCTAGGGTAAGGTTTAAGGGTTTTGGCGTTAGGGTTAAAATCACTGTCCAAATCTTTTTAGGAACTTGTTTCAGACCTTTTGGAGTTGGTTAGACCAAAAAAAAGAAAAAAGAAAAAAAAAATATTTGGGGATTTCGCGCTTCCTGAAGGTAATACCCGGGTATTAGGTTATGGGGCTAGGGTAAGGCTTAAAGTTCTTGGCGTTTGGGTTGAATCACTGTCCAAAACCTTTGTAGAAACTCGTTTCCAACCTTTTGGAGTTAGACCAAAAAAAAATGAAAAATGAAAAAAATATATTTGGGTTGTTTGGGCTTCCTGACGGTAATTCCCGGGTATTAGGTTATGGGGCTAGGGTAAGGTTTAAGGTTTTTGGCGTTAGGGTTAAAATCACTGTCCAAAACCTTTGTAGGAACTCTTGTCCAACCTTTTGGAGTTAGTTAGACCAAAAAAAAAGATAAAAGACAAAAAAAATAGTTGGGGATTTTGCGCTTCCTGAAGGTAATACCCGGGTATTAGGTTATGGGGCTACAATAAGGTTTAAGGTTTTTGGTGTTAGGGTTAAAATCACTGTCCAAAACCTTTGTAGGACCTCTTTTCCAACCTTTTGGAGTTAGTTAGACAAGAAAAAAAGGAAAAATGAAAAAAAAATATTTGTGGTTTTCGAGCTTCCTGAAGGTAATACCCGGGTATTAGGTTTTGGGGCTAGGGTAAGGTTGAAGGTTTTTGGTGTTAGGGTTAAAATCACTGTCCAAAACCTTTGTAGGAACTCTTTTCCAACCTTTTGGAGTTAGTTAGACAAGAAAAAAAGGAAAAATGAAAAAAAAAATTTGTGGTTTTCGAGCTTCCTGAAGGTAATACCCGGGTATTAGGTTTTGGGGCTAGGGTAAGGTTGAAGGTTTTTGGCGTTAGGGTTAAAATCACTGTCCAAAACCTTTGTAGGAACTCTTTTCCAACCTTCTGGAGTAAGTTCGACTAAAAAAAAATAGAAAAAAAAAATATATATATATATTTGTGGTTTTCGGGCTTCCTGAAGGTAATACCCGGGTATTAGGTTTTGGGGCTAGGGTAAGGTTGAAGGTTTTTGGCGTTAGGGTTAAAATCACTGTCCAAAACCTTTGTAGGAACTCTTTTCCAACCTTTTGGAGTTAGTTAGACCAAAAAAAAAGGAAAAATGAAAAAAAAATATCTGGAGTTTTTGGGCTTCCTGAAGGTAATACCCGGGTATTAGGTTATGGGGCTTTGGAAAGGTTAAAGATTTTTGGCGGTAGGGTTAAAATCACTGTCCAAAACCTTTGTAGGAACTCTTTTCCAACCTTCTGGAGTTAGTTCGACTAAAAAAAAATAGAAAAAAAATATATATATATATATTTGTGGTTTTCGAGCTTCCTGAAGGTAATACCCGGGTATTAGGTTTTGGGGCTAGGGTAAGGTTTAAGGTTTTTGGCGTTAGGGTTAAAATCACTGTCCAAAACCTTTGTAGGAACTCTTTTCCAACCTTTTGGAGTTAGTTAGACCAAAAAAAAATAAAAAAAAATATATATATATTTGTGGTTTTCGGGCTTCCTGAAGGTAATACCCGGGTATTAGGTTATGGGGCTTTGGAAAGGTTTAAGGTTTTTGGCGTTAGGGTTAAAATCACTGTCCAAAACCTTTGTAGGAACTCTTTTCAAACCTTTTGGAGTTAGTTTGACCAAAAAAAAGAAAAAAAAAATTGTTGGGGATTTCGCGCTTCCTGAAGGTAATACCCGGGTATTAGGTTATGGGGCTTTGGAAACGTTTAAGGTTTTTGGCGCTAGGGTTAAAATCACTGTCAAAAACCTTTGTAGGAACTCTTTTCCAACCTTTTGGAGTCAGTTAGACCAAAAAAAAATAAAAAAAAATAAAAAATATATATTTCGGGTGTTCGGGCTTCCTGAAGGTAATACCCGGGTATTAGGTTATGGGGCTAGGGTAAGGTTTAAGGTTTTTGGCGTTAGGGTTAAAATCACTGTCCAAAACCTTTGTAGGAACTCGTTTCCAACCTTTTGGAGTTAATTAGACCAAAAAAAAAAGAACAAAGAAAAAAAAAATTGGGGGTTTTCGGGCTTCCTGAAGGTAATACCCGGGTATTTGGTTATGGGGCTATGGTTAGGTTTAAGGTTTTTGGCGTTAGGGTTAAAATCACTGTCCAAAACCTTTGTAGGAACTCTTTTCCAACCTTTTTGAGTTATTTAGACCAAAAAAAAATGAAAAATGAAAAAAAAATATTTGGGGTGTTCGGGCTTCCTGAAGGTAATACCCGGGTATTAGGTTTTGGGGCTAGGGTAAGGTTTAAGGTTTTTGGCGTTAGGGTTAAAATCACCATCCAAAACCTTTGTAGAAACTCTTTTCCAACCTTTTGGAGTGAGTTAGACCAAAAAAAAATGAAAAATGAAAAAAACATATTTGGGGTGTTCGGGCTTCCTGAAGGTAATACCCGGGTATTAGGTTATGGGGCTTTGGTAAGGTTTAAGGTTTTTGGCGTTAGGGTTAAAATCACTGTCCAAAACCTTTGTAGGAACTCTTTTCGAACCTTTTGGAGTTAGTTAGTCCAAAAAAAATAAAATTAAAAAATATATATTTGGGGTGTTCGGGCTTCCTGAAGGTAATACCCGGGTATTAGGTTTTGGGGCTAGGGTAAGGTTGAAGGTTTTTGGCGTTAGGGTTAAAATCACTGTCCAAAACCTTTGTAGGAACTCTTTTCCAACCTTCTGGAGTTAGTTCGACTAAAAAAAAATAGAAAAAAATATATATATATATATATTTGTGGTTTTCGGGCTTCCTGAAGGTAATACCCTGGTATTAGGTTTTGGGGCTTTGGTAAGGTTAAAGGTTTTTGGCGGTAGGGTTAAAATCACTGTCCAAAACCTTTGTAGGAACTCTTTTCAAACCTTTTGGAGTAAGTTTGACCAAAAAAAAAGAAAAAAAAAATTGTTGGGGATTTCGCGCTTCCTGAAGGTAATACCCTGGTATTAGGTTATGGGGCTTTGGAAACGTTTAAGGTTTTTGGCGTTAGGGTTAAAATCACTGTCCAAAAACCTTTGTAGGAACTCTTTTCCAACCTTTTGGAGTTAGTTAGACCAAAAAAAAAAATAAAAATGAAAAAAATATATTTGGGGTGTTCGGGCTTCCTGAAGGTAATACCCGGGTATTAGGTTTTGGGGCTAGGGTAAGGTTTAAGGTTTTTGGCGTGAGGGTAAAAATCACTGTCCAAAACCTTTGTAGGAATTCGTTTCCAACCTTTTGGAGTTAATTAGACCAAAAAAAAAGAACAAAGGAAAAAAAAATTGGGGGTTTTTGGGCTTCCTGAAGGTAATACCCGGGTATTTGGTTATGGGGCTATGGTTAGGTTTAAGGTTTTTGGCGTTAGGGTTAAAATCACTGTCCAAAACCTTTGTAGGAACTCTGTTCCAACCTTTTGGAGTGAGTTAGACCAAAAAAAAATGAAAAATGAAAAAAAAATATTTGGGGTTTTCGGGCTTCCTGGAGGTAATACCCCGATGTTCGGTTTTGGGGCTAGGGTAAGGTTTAAGGTTTTTGGCGTTAGGGTTAAAATCACTGTCCAAAACCTATGTAGGAACTCTTTTCCAACCTTTTGGAGTTAGTAAGACCAAAAAAAAACGAAAAATGGAAAAAAAAATATTTGGGGTCTTCGGGCTTCCTGAAGGTAATATCCGGGTATTAGGTTTTGGGGCTAGGGTAAGGTTTAAGGTTTTTGGCGTTAGGGTTAAAATCACTGTCAAAAACCTTTGTAGGAACTCTTTTCCAACCTTTTGGAGTTAGTTAGACCAAAAAAAAATGATTAATTAAAAAAAATATATTTGGGGTGTTCGGGCTTCCTTATTAGTATTAGTTTATGGGGCTTTGGAAAGGTTTAAGGTTTTTGGCATTAGGGTTAAAATCACTGTCCGAAACCTTTGTAGGAACTCTTTTCCAACCTTTTGGAGTTAGTTAGAACAAAAAAAAAATGAAAAAGGAAAAAAAAATTGGGGGTTTTCGGGCTTCCTGATGGTAATACCCGGGTATTAGGTTTTCGGGCTAGGGTAAGGTTTAAGGTTTTTGGCGTTAGGGTTAAAATCACTGTCCAAAACCTTTGTAGGAACTCTTTTCCAACCTTTTGGAGTTAGTTACACCAAAAAAAATTGAAAAATGAAAAAAATATATTTGGGGTTTTCGGCCTTCCTGAAGGTAATACCCCGGTGTTAGGTTTTGGGGTTAGGGTAAGGTTTAAGGTTTTTGGCGTTAGGGTTCAAATCACTGTCCAAAACCTTTGTAGGAACTCTTTTCCAACCTTTTGGAGTTAGTAAGACCAAAAAAAAATGAAAAATGGAAAAAAAAATATTTGGGGTCTTCGGGCTTCCTGAAGGTAATACTAGGTAATAAAGGTAAAACCTAGTATTAGGTTATGGGGCTAGGGTAAGGTTTAAGGTTTTTTGGCGTTAGGGTTAAAATCACTGTCCAAAACCTTTTAAGGAACTAGTTTCAGACCTTTTGGAGTTGGTTACACCAAAAAAAATGTAAAATGAAAAAAAAAATATTTGGGGTGTTCAGGCTTCCTGAAGGTAATACCCGGGTATTAGGTTTTGGGGCTAGGGTAAGGTTTAAGGTTTTTGGCGTTAGGGTTAAAATCACTGTCCAAAACCTTTGTAGGAACTCTTTTCAAAGCTTTTGGAGTTAGTTAGACCAAAAAAAAAGAAAAAAAAAAATTGTTGGGGATTTCGCACTTCCTGAAGGTAATACCCGGGTATTAGGTTATGGGGCTTTGGAAACGTTTAAGGTTTTTGGCGTTAGGGTTAAAATCACTGTCAAAAACCTTTGTAGGAACTCTTTTCCGCCCTTTTGGAGTTAGTTAGACCAAAAAAAAAGAAAAAAAAAATTGTTGGGGATTTCGCGCTTCCTGAAGGTAATACCCGGGTATTAGGTTATGGGGCTTTGGAAACGTTTAAGGTTTTTGGCGTTAGGGTTAAAATCACTGTCCAAAACCTTTGTAGGAACTTGTTTCAGACCTTTTGGAGTTGGTTACACCAAAAAAAAATGTAAAATGAAAAAAAAATATTTGGGGTTTTCAGGCTTCCTGAAGGTAATACCCGGGTATTAGGTTATGGGGCTAGGGTAAGGTTTAAGGTTTTTGGCGTTAGGGTTAAAATCACTGTCCAAAACCTTTGTAGGAACTCTGTTCCAACCTTTTGGAGTTAGTTAGACCAAAAAAAAAAACGAAAAAGGAAAAAAAAATTGGGGGTTTTCGGGCTTCCTGATGGTAATACCCGGGTATTAGGTTATGGGGCTGTGGTAAGGTTTAAGGTTTTTGGCGTTAGGGTTAAAATCACTGTCCAAAACCTTTGTAGGAAGTCTTTTTCAACCTTTTGGAGTTAGTTAGACCAAAAAAAATGAAAAATGAAAAAAAAAATTTGGGTTGTTCGGGCTTCCTGAAGGTAATTCATGTATTAGGTTATGGGTTTAGGGTAAGGTTTAAGGTTTTTTGCGTTTGGGTTAAATCACTGTCCAAAACCTTTGTAGGAACTCTTTTCCAACATTTGGAGTTAGTTCGACCAAAAAAAAAATGAAAAATGAAAAAAACATATTTGGGGTGTTCGGGCTTCCTGAAGGTAATACCCGGGTATAAGGTTATGGGGCTTTGGAAAGGTTTAAGGTTTTTGGCGTTAGGGTTAAAATCACTGTCCAAAACCTTTGTAGGAACTCTTTTCCAACCTTTTGGAGTTAGTTAGACCAAAAAAATGTAAAATGAAAAAAATATATATTTGGGGTGTTCGGGCTTCCTGAAGGTAATACCCGGGTATTAGGTTATGGGGCTATGGTAAGGTTTAAGGTTTTTGGCGTTAGGGTTAAAATCATTATCCAAAACCTTTTTAGGAACATGTTTCAGACCTTTTGGAGTTGGTTACACCAAAAAAAATGTAAAATGAAAAAAAAAAATATTTGGGGTGTTCGGGCTTCCTGAAGGTAATACCCGGGTATTAGGTTATGGGGCTATGGTAAGGTTTAAGGTTTTTGGCGTTAGGGTTAAAATCACTGTCCAAAACCTTTGTAGGAACTCGTTTCCAACCTTTTGGATTTAGTTAGACCAAAAAAAAAG